ATTTGACATCATGTGACTGATTGACCAATTGAGCAGAAAGAAAGTGGGCAAAGCTAGCTAATGCTGCATTGAGAGACAAGAGTGGATGTAGGAAATTTCATGTTAGTGTCTAAGAATGTACTCCCTACAAACAGTTCATTGAAGGCCGAGATGGTTTGACCTACCGCATCGCCACTTGTGGTTGAAACAGAACACAAACATTCCTGCAAGTGTTTGTCAACTTTTTCTTTCCTGATATCAAGTCCTGTTAAAACCACAGGCTGTCAGAAGTGGGATTCGAACCCACGCCTCCAGAGGAGACTGCGACCTGAACGCAGCGCCTTAGACCGCTCGGCCATCCTGACTGTGTAAAGTGCCGTTCAGGCTTAATCCAAAACGAGATAAGACATCGCTTCCAGGAAGTGCAAATAAATTGCATCAATCACAATGCATTGGGCCTAAACGTCTTTCTAAATTTAGATCTACAGTGAATAAAAGTAGGGGATTCAATGTGTACATGTTGTCAAGTAAAAGGAAGCAAATAGGTGCTAGTGGGTAATTTCCTGATGCTGACGAAAGGTGGGTGATTTTCCCAAAAAAGGAGGGCACACAGTGTTACTACGTCCAAACAAACAGGTCCCACCGAGATTTGAACTCGGATCGCTGGATTCAGAGTCCAGAGTGCTAACCATTACACCATGGAACCGCGGAACAGCTCCCTCTGTTGGCTGCTGGAGCGCGTAGTGCAATAGAATTTAAAGCCTCCCGTAAAGCATGAATGGCAAGAGATTGAGTCACTTAAAACTCGTATAAGTTATATTACGTTACACACTAATTATACTAACAGGGTCTTCTTGCAAACCATCAAAACATAGAACCACTGCACACACTTTGTGTCATGGAAATGTACAACAGCATCATACAATATGAATGTCGCTCTTAATATAGGCTATATTACATAGCATACAATAGGGATAGGGCAGCATTGCGATACCGAGTCTAATTTTGTGAAAATTGCAACCTGTATCTGATTAAGGTAGTAAACGTAGGTTTGCTAACTGTAGCTTTAGCTAGCACTCTGTAATTTGAACATCTACATTTTAGCCCTGGTTCTCAGCATATCTGTAATTTGAACATCTACATTTTAGCCCGGATTCTCAGCATTTTAGGGCCGACGGTACTTGGGACAGTAATAAAATTATGTGTAGTTCAATATAATATAAACATGGGCTTTTTTTTTACCTGTAGCTTGGCAGGTCTTTCGTTTGGATTTGACATCATGTGACTGATTGACCAATTGAGCAGAAAGAAAGTGGGCAAAGCTAGCTAATGCTGCATTGAGAGACAAGAGTGGATGTAGGAAATTTCATGTTAGTGTCTAAGAATGTACTCCCTACAAACAGTTCATTGAAGGCCGAGATGGTTTGACCTACCGCATCGCCACTTGTGGTTGAAACAGAACACAAACATTCCTGCAAGTGTTTGTCAACTTTTTCTTTCCTGATATCAAGTCCTGTTAAAACCACAGGCTGTCAGAAGTGGGATTCGAACCCACGCCTCCAGAGGAGACTGCGACCTGAACGCAGCGCCTTAGACCGCTCGGCCATCCTGACTGTGTAAAGTGCCGTTCAGGCTTAATCCAAAACGAGATAAGACATCGCTTCCAGGAAGTGCAAATAAATTGCATCAATCACAATGCATTGGGCCTAAACGTCTTTCTAAATTTAGATCTACAGTGAATAAAAGTAGGGGATTCAATGTGTACATGTTGTCAAGTAAAAGGAAGCAAATAGGTGCTAGTGGGTAATTTCCTGATGCTGACGAAAGGTGGGTGATTTTCCCAAAAAAGGAGGGCACACAGTGTTACTACGTCCAAACAAACAGGTCCCACCGAGATTTGAACTCGGATCGCTGGATTCAGAGTCCAGAGTGCTAACCATTACACCATGGAACCGCGGAACAGCTCCCTCTGTTGGCTGCTGGAGCGCGTAGTGCAATAGAATTTAAAGCCTCCCGTAAAGCATGAATGGCAAGAGATTGAGTCACTTAAAACTCGTATAAGTTATATTACGTTACACACTAATTATACTAACAGGGTCTTCTTGCAAACCATCAAAACATAGAACCACTGCACACACTTTGTGTCATGGAAATGTACAACAGCATCATACAATATGAATGTCGCTCTTAATATAGGCTATATTACATAGCATACAATAGGGATAGGGCAGCATTGCGATACCGAGTCTAATTTTGTGAAAATTGCAACCTGTATCTGATTAAGGTAGTAAACGTAGGTTTGCTAACTGTAGCTTTAGCTAGCACTCTGTAATTTGAACATCTACATTTTAGCCCTGGTTCTCAGCATATCTGTAATTTGAACATCTACATTTTAGCCCGGATTCTCAGCATTTTAGGGCCGACGGTACTTGGGACAGTAATAAAATTATGTGTAGTTCAATATAATATAAACATGGGCTTTTTTTTTACCTGTAGCTTGGCAGGTCTTTCGTTTGGATTTGACATCATGTGACTGATTGACCAATTGAGCAGAAAGAAAGTGGGCAAAGCTAGCTAATGCTGCATTGAGAGACAAGAGTGGATGTAGGAAATTTCATGTTAGTGTCTAAGAATGTACTCCCTACAAACAGTTCATTGAAGGCCGAGATGGTTTGACCTACCGCATCGCCACTTGTGGTTGAAACAGAACACAAACATTCCTGCAAGTGTTTGTCAACTTTTTCTTTCCTGATATCAAGTCCTGTTAAAACCACAGGCTGTCAGAAGTGGGATTCGAACCCACGCCTCCAGAGGAGACTGCGACCTGAACGCAGCGCCTTAGACCGCTCGGCCATCCTGACTGTGTAAAGTGCCGTTCAGGCTTAATCCAAAACGAGATAAGACATCGCTTCCAGGAAGTGCAAATAAATTGCATCAATCACAATGCATTGGGCCTAAACGTCTTTCTAAATTTAGATCTACAGTGAATAAAAGTAGGGGATTCAATGTGTACATGTTGTCAAGTAAAAGGAAGCAAATAGGTGCTAGTGGGTAATTTCCTGATGCTGACGAAAGGTGGGTGATTTTCCCAAAAAAGGAGGGCACACAGTGTTACTACGTCCAAACAAACAGGTCCCACCGAGATTTGAACTCGGATCGCTGGATTCAGAGTCCAGAGTGCTAACCATTACACCATGGAACCGCGGAACAGCTCCCTCTGTTGGCTGCTGGAGCGCGTAGTGCAATAGAATTTAAAGCCTCCCGTAAAGCATGAATGGCAAGAGATTGAGTCACTTAAAACTCGTATAAGTTATATTACGTTACACACTAATTATACTAACAGGGTCTTCTTGCAAACCATCAAAACATAGAACCGCTGCACACACTTTGTGTCATGGAAATGTACAACAGCATCATACAATATGAATGTCGCTCTTAATATAAGCTATATTACATAGCATACAATAGGGATAGGGCAGCATTGCGATACCGAGTCTAATTTTGTGAAAATTGCAACCTGTATCTGATTAAGGTAGTAAACGTAGGTTTGCTAACTGTAGCTTTAGCTAGCACTCTGTAATTTGAACATCTACATTTTAGCCCTGGTTCTCAGCATATCTGTAATTTGAACATCTACATTTTAGCCCGGATTCTCAGCATTTTAGGGCCGACGGTACTTGGGACAGTAATAAAATTATGTGTAGTTCAATATAATATAAACATGGGGCTTTTTTTTTACCTGTAGCTTGGCAGGTCTTTCGTTTGGATTTGACATCATGTGACTGATTGACCAAGTGAGCAGAAAGAAAGTGGGCAAAGCTAGCTAATGATGCATTGAGAGACAAGAGTGGATGTAGGAAATTTCATGTTAGTGTCTAAGAATGTACTCCCTACAAACAGTTCATTGAAGGCCGAGATTTTTTGACCTACCGCATCGCCACTTGTGGTTGAAACAGAACACAAACATTCCTGCAAGTGTTTGTCAACTTTTTCTTTCCTGATATCAAGTCCCGTTAAAACCACAGGCTGTCAGAAGTGGGATTCGAACCCACGCCTCCAGAGGAAGCTGTAAGTGCTTTTCCAGCTAAACCCTGTGAAGACAGAACAGGCAGGTACAGAGATAGGTTTCCACCACATACCCACACACCTTACCACAACAGTGTCACAAATGAAAGTGCCATGTCAAAAGTGGGATTCCAAGCCACCCCTTCTAGGAAACAATTTCTTGAAAAATTAATCATGATAGGAACCATAATATTACCATATCGAAAACACGCCCTTTTAGTTGCAGTGTCAGATCTTGATCTTGATCATTTTTTTTGCATTTTTTCAATCCCACTCTTTCTGACATAATAGGCTTCATTGTAAGTGTAACATCAACTACTAGTACTACTACTACTACAACTACTACTACTTTTTTTATTGTTATCATTATTATTATTAGTAGTTGTTGTTACAGTTACAATAAAGCCAATCCTAGCCAAAGCCAATATAATAATAATAATAATAATAATAATAATAATAATAATAATAATAATAATAATAATAATAATAATAATAATCACTATTATTATATTAATGATATATTACCACCAACCTAATGTATGGATTAATTCCAGTGTCTATTTAATCGAATTTATTAATTGCTTCTCTTGTAAAGAAAAACTACGTTTTAGGTCATCCAAGTTCATCTTTAAGTCAGAAGATTATAGATTGCAGCTATTTGCTTAAACAGTGATGACACTTAAACTCTTCACATCATATTTTATTGTCACAATATTAGCGGTGAGTGTGCCGGCTGATTGGTCGGTGTCCTCCAGTGGCTCTTTAGGGGCGTGTGTAGGTTTAAATCAGAGGCGGTGCTTATCAAACAGCTGTAGAGAGATTAGTGGTAGTGATTGAGCACGTGAAGAGGTGGACACCAGAGTCTTGGTGGTCTCTGGCTTGTCGGTTTCTCTCTCGCAGTTACTGTCCTTTGTGGAAACATCGGATGAAGTTCCAGCTGCAGTTACGTTGTAACAATGTTTGACCTGAAGAAGAGGAATAGTCTGACTCTGAACTGCAGCCGGGAGACGGAGGAGTTCAGACGAGTGGCAGTCAGACGGAAGGTCAAAGGTGCTGCGGTGGACTGCCTCGCCTCACAAACAGGTGAGCTACCTTTCATTGAACAGATGATTTTTTTAAAAACTGAAAACACAAAAGAAGTCGCCCATCTTTCTGACATTGAGGTAAACCCTGTTTTTACCATAATGTTATATCTCCTTACCTTGTCTGCAACTCATTGGGTTGGTGTATGTTAAGCTACTAACCAATGAAGCAGGCATTAAATCTAATCCAAGTAGGTATTTATACAAAAATGAAATAGTTTATCAGGCCTATATTGTTGCATATATTTTGCTTTCAATGCAGTGTAAATCCCACCTTCATGAAGGTTATAATGTTCAGTTTTTGTTTAACATGCTTAGAAAAGTGTTGGTATATATTTATGGTTATTTTCATCCTATTTATATCAATGATGAAAGACTACATATGAGAGACATTTAATGAGAATAATGGAAAACTCAAACTGTTCTGTAAGAGGGTGACTAGCGTAGCGGGTATTACACTCCTCGTTGTGCATGGCTTACATCAGTAAATGCTATTTTAGCTGAGTTTCCTTATTAGCTTGTGAATGGAACTGCACTTGGTGTGTGTGTGTGTGTGAGAGAGAGAGAGTGTGTGTGCGTGGCCCTTACATTTGAATTTTGTTCGGCACAGTTGGCACCTGTTAGCCTCTTGGCTTGTTGGATTACTGCAGTAAAATCTCTTTCCCCTGATTCAGCCTGGACTTTGCCTGTGTGTCTTGAGACCAGCATTTGTCAATTCCCCCCCCCCCCCCCGCCCCCCCCCCAGCACACACACACAACACACACACACACACACACACACACACACACACACAAAGCCTTTCTGTTCCCCCACTGAGGCAGAACTATCTGTCTAGATTTGAGAAGTATGCTTGCTCCAATGGTACTGTTAGATGCCAGATTCAACAGCACTGTTCATCTCTTCGACCTTTCTGGTGCAAATTATTCTTTGGCTTGGTGTGAGGCTTGTTGCAACAAACGCACTGACAGAAACAAACACTGACATTGTTGCAGTAGGAGCGTTAAACCAGGAGATGAATACATTTCAAAACTTCCGGAAAGCAGTTGATCTGTACATAGTTCCTTCTGGAAGCAGTAAAAAATATACCTTAAAGTAGTAGTTTGACAATTGGGGAAATTGTCTTATTCACTTTATGGCCAAGAGTCAGGTGAGAAGATCAGTGTCACTCACATGGATGTCCATTCAACATGTAACATGTTATGTTTTATTTGTTTAACCTGTGTAAAAACTATTTTTACAGGGGCTATATGCTGGACTGTTTCTTGGCTGGCAACATTAACTTCTAATTAGTTGAGAAAGAAAACAAATAAGCGTTAGTTTAGCATATTTAAATTCATTTATATATTATTTTTATTTTTCAAAATCTCTTCAACCTGACTCAGTTATATTTGGAAAAATAGCAAACGATAAAAGCTTAATAATAATTGAAAAAGCTGTCACATATAGTTATAGACGTATAGCATATATCTTTCTCTTTGTGATTGTCTTTAAACGTTTGGTGCTGCACCTATATGTCAGTGACCTCTTGAAACTACACTGTGAGAGTAATAGTACAGAGTAAATTTGGACAAGTCCTGAAAGTTGTTTCTTAGGTGTTAACATAAGTTGTAAGACTGGCAAAGGTTAGACTCCCTGAAGAAAAACAGAAGTGAGAAAGCAGAAGTATTATGCTGTTGAGAAAGTACGCTTTAGCCCTCTGCACATGACCAACAAATCTGTCACACTTCAGCAAAGCCAGGAGCGAACTGGAAAGCTTTACTTTCTTATATAAGCAACGGATAACAAAGTTTGGAAATAAACTGCAGGTAAGGAAACAAGCGGTTGCATAACTTGTCAGTTGTTGTGAAGTGAGGATGTCAGTGTGTAGATTTCTAAGAGTAATTACACAGGAATGAATAATGTGGTGTGTGTAACATGTGTATTGTTGTTTACTGTTTTAAGAGCATCTTCATTAACAAAAAAATGAATCCTCACCCAAAACATTCAATAAGTCTAAATCAGTGTTTGTTGTGTGAACTTGTGCGTATGTATGAAGAGGATGTAGGAGAGGTTAAATATTTTGTTTCATTGTGACATTTTTCTTATGCAAAATTAGGTAAAATTTTTGATATTGATCATGTTATGATGGAAAATGATTACCAAGAGAAATATGAACATGAATGTTTGTGCATGTAACATTTTTGCTGTCAGTTGAAGGCTCAGAAGGATCTAAATCATGCCCTCAAAATGGTTTACATTTGAGAAATATTGAACACCACTGTGTTCTTTCTACAGTGGAAATGAAACATTGTTCAGAGAGTTTATCCTAACATTGTTGCAGAACTTCCCATAAATGTGAGGCACTTGCAGGTTGCTTTGCTTCACCTTCTGTCCAAACCAGCTCGATGGGGTTTAAGTCTGGAGACCGTGCTGCTCTTCCATCATGTGAAGTCACTGTCTAGTTCTGTTCCTCCGAAGTGTTGGGTCATTATCTTAGGATGAACCTCTGACCAACCAGTCTGCCTTATTTTGTTACCTGCCTTTTTCTCACCATTCTGTTAGCAGTATACTTCCTGCAGCACAGTATTGTCCTAATAATGCATCTGAGGGTGTAGGAACAGTTTGTTCCATCACTGCCTTTGTACAGACAGAGGGTTTCATCCACAAAAGTTGTGGCACCAATAGGAATTGTTTGCATTAACTTTCAAGGCTTCATTTACTTCCATTATTGCAGGAAAGCTGTAAGTTAACCAATTTCTTAATCCTTGAAAAAAACAGTTTTCTATGAAATGTACATTATTTTTCAATTTTTTGTGACTTTAACCCTCTTTTTCTTTTTTCTTTTCTTTTCTTTTTTACCAGCTTATCACTTGAACTGCTTTAAGTTCAATAAAAACTGTAAAAATTGGGGTTTTCTAAAACTTTTCATCTGTGATGTGAATTTTAAATTTGTAAGTTTAGTGTTTCATCCAGTATAACTGTGATAAAGCCTCAGTAAACAGAGAAAGAAGTGCTGTATATATAAAAAACAAACAAAACATTGGCATGGAAAATATGTATATGTGGTTTAAACAGTAATGGCACATTTCTTTTACTAGTGAGCAGTGGAGTGTGTGGCTCGTACGGCTGTGGCCATGCTTGTGACAGGGTCTGTGGATCAGAACCAAATTCCAAGGAAGACCACGGAACAAGCCCAGCCAAAAGATCTCCATTCAAACCACAAGGTAGGCTGGAATCCAGTAGCCTATAAATATCACCTGAACTGCCCATGCTCACTCCGTTGAGTAGTGTAAATAATTCCTTCTTATTCTTATCACATCTTGTCTTCACTCAACACTGTGTGCTGTGGTCAAAACTACATGCATTGGACTGTAATCACAAACCAACCACACTGTTTATCTTTGTAGTGCCTCCTAAACCAGCTTACCTCCAGAGCCCTGTGAGGCCGGGACAAGATCAAGCCTACAGTCCCACTACAGGGAAATTACCGCCCCGAGTTAGTGGCACAGAGGAAGACCGGAGTCCTAACAGAAGTTGTGGATTTTCTGTTCCCTGTGTAAGCCCTGCACAGAATTGCCTAAGCCCCCCTAGTCTTGATAGAGGAGGGGGGAGCTTTTTTTTGAATGGAGTACCTGGAGCACATATCAGCCCTGCCAGACATGTTCAGGGGATTCCACATCTTGCAAGCAGTCCAGTTTTAGGATCTCCAAGTCCAAGCAAAAGAGGCATTCAGAACTGTAGCCCGTTGAGGGAGGGTGGGCACAGCCCTGCAAAGTTGTCCCCAAGAAACCTTAGCCCTCTCACAGGAAAACTGCGGACCCCCAGCCCTGTTCTGTGGAGAAAAGGGAGCTACAGCCCCGCCAAGAACTCTAAATCCTGGCTGGGACTGCACAGAATCCCAAGCAGCAAGATGGAAGGACAAGAGATGAAGACAGGGAAATCTTTGAGTGTGCCTGACTTGATCGTTTACATGGATGAGAGCAGGTAGGACTCTTAATTTGGTCTGTTTCTGTACCTCAACTACCTAAATACCTTCATGCAGCATGTAGAATCCAATTATTATAAATATAACTTCAACTTTCAATCATTTATACACTTTATTTCTGCAGGATTCCCACTGAAAAAGCTGAACGTTCTCCACTGAAACCACTGCAATCACCTAACTGCAATGGGCCTGCCATCACCATCAAAGCACCAACTAACCATAGACTCAATCATCCCACAAATGAAGCCCATCTATTAAGCGATGGCAGAGAGCATTCTCCAGGACAGAATGGCATCGTGCAGGAGAAAGAATGGCCAGTAGTAAATGGGAACGGAATAAATGAGAAACTGGAACAAAGCAAAATAGCCATAGGATATGGCTCCAAATTTTCCTGCCAATGGAATGAGGCCACTACAGAAGATGGCAGGATTCATGAGGAGTCTGTAGGAGAACAAAATGAGGAGGATAAGAGTAAGGAGAGAGGAGGAAGCGACCCAAAAGATGAAGAGAACACAGAGCAGAAATTGTATAAGATAGCCAATGAACTCCTGCAGACAGAGAGGGCCTACGTAGCTCGCCTTCACCTGCTAGACCAGGTCAGTGTGGTGAAACACAATGCTCGCGATGCTAAACTTTCTTTCTGCAGTTGAATTTGTTCCTGCAGTGCCAGATAGTTATTGTTCTTGAGCGGCAGAACAAATGTTGTGTAGAAGATCAACAACTGTAAAACTAATGAGCATGCCCTGGCTCTGACTCCCACCACAGGTGTTCTGCTTACGACTGACAGAAGAGGCAGGTCGAGGATCATTTCCTCCCGAGGTGATAAGAAATATTTTCTCCAACATTTCCTCTATCTACTCCTTCCACAGCCAGTTCCTGCTACCTGACCTGGAAACCTGCATTAGCCACTGGTGGGTTGTTTGTGTCACGAACCTAGGTGACATTCATGTAACATTGTCTGTTAGAGCAGACCCTTACCTTTTCCACTTCCACCAAATCTAGGCGTGAGAGGCCAGGCCTGGGTAATGTTCTGCTGCAACACGCACCCTTCCTGAGGATGTATGCCGACTATGTGAGGAACTTCGATCAGGCTGTGGAGCTGGTGAGGACCTGGACTGAGCGCTCCTCTGCCTTCAGAAACATCATCCAGGACATACAGGTGGGACATATTCAGCAGGTTATTCATCAGTACCTTTTCCTACACAGCTAAGAGTGAAAAGTGCAGAGGGCTGAGCAGGACGTAATGGGTGTATTATCCTGTTTCAGAGTCAGGAGGTGTGCGGCAGCCTGACCCTGCAACACCACATGTTGGAGCCGGTTCAGAGGGTTCCACGTTACGAAATGCTGCTGAGGGATTATCTAAAGAAGCTGCCTGAGGATAACGCAGAGTATGAGCTTGCTCACAGTGAGTAAACTGTACCATCTCTTCATCAGTGTGTCTCATAAAGTGCCTGTCTGTATCTGAAGGCTCATTAAGTCTGTATTGAGCAGTATGAAACTCTTCCTTTGTCTCCTCCCCCAGAGTCCCTGCAGACTATTTCCATGGCAGCGACCCACTCAAACAGCGCCATTCACAAAGCTGTACGTTAGTATAACATACCACGTCATTTACCATAGTCCTAAGTAAGATTTCATCACTTTACACAACAAATTAAGTGATCCTAAAGTGATCCTAATAATAATAATAATAATAATTTTAACTCTTCTGGCATCTGTCTTTTTTTGATATTTTGAATTGTCAGTTGTGGGAATAATAATTGTCATACAACTGTGATTCAGTGTTTTTTCACCATGTGTCTTTGCCTGTAGGAGAGCCTGAAGCGGCTGCTGGAGATCTATGAGATGGTTGGAGAGGAGGAAGTGGTCAATCCGACCAATGAGCTTCTCAGGGAAGGTCGCCTGCTCAAGCTTGCTGCCAGGAACACGTCTGCCATGGAGAGACACCTGTTCCTGGTTAGAGCACTGATTTATATTCAGAAACGTTTTTGTTAAGACAATGATCCATAATCTTTCTTTTACCTCAGTCACAGACTTATGTTAAACTGCATTTTTTCACGCAGCCTAAGAGCACCCTGAAATGTAGACCTAATATGGAAAACTGTTTGTAAAGTTAACCTTGTGAATTATTGTAATGATTTTCTCCACAGTTCAACAACTTTCTGCTGTGCTGCACCCCAAAGTTTAGCCTAGTTGGGCAGCGTTTTACTGTTCGGTGCAGAATTGGAGTGGATGGCATGCACGTGCAGCAGACCACCAATGAAGACCACCCATACACCTTTCAGGTCTCTGGAAAGGAGAGGACCCTTGAGCTGCAGGCCAGGTGTGTTTGCATGTGTGCGTTACATGTGGGGTGTATAATGCCTCGGACCAAGAACCAAGCTTTGGATGCTGATCCATGTTCACATCCAGGAAGTTTTTAAAAGGACTTATGAGACATTTTTGCTATTTTCTGTTGAATTACTGCACTTACTTAAATGAGGAAATCTGGCACATGTATTCCATGATTGTTTGTTTCCATGTATAATGTGATGCAGTTCATTTTCTATTCTATCTCTATTCTATTATTAAATAACAAATTCAGAGGCTCGTGCAGCCTTGGCAGCAGCGCACAATCTGAGTTATAAAGTGTATTAAGCTGTGTTTCATTTAAAATTACTGTCGCCTGTGAACACAACTATGTTTTTATTAAATTTCAGCATACTGTACATTCAATGCATTAACCTGAATTCCACTTTAAATGTAATTGTTTTGTTGTTATCTTCTTTTTAAGCTCTGAACAAGACCGAGATGAGTGGATAAAGGTACCAGCGTCATTTTATTTAGTGTTTGATGCTGCACATTAAATATATATAAAGAAGGAGGAAAAGATTAAGTTGTTTTTTTTTCTAAAGAAAGTCTTATCTGTCCTATATCCAGGTGATTCAAGAAGCCATTGATGTGTTTCAGAAGAAAAATAAAACCTTCAAATTGGCTTCTAAGGAGCTCAATTTAGAAGAACCAGTAAGTTTTATAATACTTATTTAGGAAAAAGTATGATCCAAAGACATTTGTGCGTACTTCCATCCCAGCTGTGACGTGCGTATGTTTCACAGATGGAGGAACTTGGCCGACGAGCCCCTCGCTGGATCAGAGACAACGAGGTGACCGTGTGTATGAAATGCCAGGAGCCTTTCAACGCACTAACAAGAAGAAGACATCACTGCCGAGCCTGTGGCTGCGTAAGTGACCAACGCCTTTGTAATGCAAACACCTGACATTATTTTTACCAAAGCGCACGATTCAGCGGTGGTGGTTTTTCTACTCCCCAGGTGGTGTGTTGGAAGTGTTCAGACAACAAGGTGGCTCTAGAGTATGACAGTAACAAGCTAAACAAAGTGTGTAAAACCTGTTACAACATCCTGACTGGTCAGAGAGGGGACAGGGTGGAGGGCAGGAAGAGAAGAATACTAGAGGTGAGTCTTTAGGGGTTAAAGTTTATGACAAGGTTTCAAATCAATAATTATACCCATAACTTATTACTGCGGACTGTTGGGCATCTGGGAAGTCTCTTTTAAGGATCATTAAATGCATCATAACAAGAATGTAAGTCTTTGACATTCTCTTTTCTTGCGTGTTGTCTCCCAGTCTGAGGCATCTCCAGTGTCGAGTGACGTTGTAATGAGTGGATTCCTGCAGTATGGTGACAACCCCAAAACCTGGCAACGAGTGTGGTCTGTTGTCACAAGGACTGAGCCTCCAGTTCTCTCCCTGTATGCTGTTCCACAGGTAGGGATTCTCTGTGATGAGAACATGTCTGGTACATTATTGTTGAATGCATTTTGTAAACAAACCATTGCATTTTAGTTTCAAGCTTTAAGTAGTGATGCAACATATTTGTCTCTGTTTGTAGTTCACTATTATTTGGGTGGAAGTGTGTCTCTGGAAGGTTTCCATGTGATGTTGTCATACACAGATGTTGCCACAATCACTAACCCAGAGTGGCAAACATGTAAAACAGTCAGCAACTTCCATCATACTCTCATGTGGGGAAAAAGGGAAACTAAAGCTTAAATTGTGAGAAGCTGCTGCGCAATCAACTGCACAAACAGATTCTGAAGTAAAAGGTCAAAGTCTACAGAAGACAGGGAAACATGTTGCCGCAGACTTTTCTGAATGAAAACTAATAAAATTATCATTTTTACAAAACTGTCCAGACAACTAGAATACTCTGTGAACTCCTTGTGATTTTGATGAGCCACCAGCAAAAAAACTTGTGCTTTAAATCTGGATCAGGTGTCTACAGTTTATGTGGAGAGTGCAGGCAAACAGGTCAAACAAAATTCCCATTCATTCATCATTCATCAAACTATTCACTGACACCTCATGCTCCGCATTCAGTATGTTTCTCCTCTTATTTATTAACCTCAATGTATCACTGACTGACTGGTGTGCTTGTCACCAGTAGTATCATATGGAAAAAGTGACACCGCTGCTTAAGAGCACACTTTTCTGTTGGAGCCCATTGTGGGGCTTTGTAAACAAACAAAAAACAACACGGATGAAAAAAGACAAATTACGTTTTACCATATCGAATGTTGCCTTGCACAGCTTCAATTTTTGCTTCCGCTCCCTCTCCTTTTCACTCACCCCCTCCATCTCCAGGATGTGAAGCATGTGTCTAGTATACCTCTGATGGGCTGCAGTGTGGAGGATTCCCCTCAGGAGCTGCAGGGGCAGCCTTGTTTCTGTTTAGGTCAGTCCAAAACCACCCACACTTTCTCCTGCGACAGCCTGGACCTGAAACGGCGCTGGCTGACTGTTCTGAATATTGCTGCGACAGGCAGGATGCCAGTGTGCACGCTGATTGGCTCTGACATCACCACCAATGGCTCTGGATGTGGCATTAATGATAATGTCAGTGATGGAAGTGTCTCTAGTGGTGAGGAATTTATCATTAATAGCAACAAGGAAACCCACTCCTGAATGTTTAGGTGCACAAACCTACAACAACAGACCAAACAAGTTCATTGATATTAAAGAGACAATGGCTTTGAACTCCATATTTTAAATGAAATCAAGAGGTGAAATTCAGAACTGACAACTGTTTTCTTTACAAGTGGCTGTGCACTTTATTTCTGAAATGTTTTACAGTAAAATAAATAAAGTGAAAGTGTTTTAACATGAGTCAGACTATACCTTCAACTACAAGGATGTTTTCTCTGTACAGGTTTGACTAAGGTGTCATGAAAATGTGCTTAAAGTTGTTTTCTTACAGTGGACAGTTGAGCATGATTTGCATGATTTCAGTGATACACAGGCTCAATGGGATCATTATTGTCTTATAAAACACATTCAACTGATCCCATTTCTTCACAGATAGATACAGCAATAGAATATTTACACTCAAACATTTACAGCTAAACAACATAAACACACTAAATAAAAAAAGAATAAATAAAAAATGAAATGGATAAGAATGACCCCTGTGAAACATAATGACCTGGGGTGTATTCTAACACAAACTCTCTTGTTTGTGTCATGTACTCAGCATATATCAAGACCAAAGCACCAGATTATCGCACTGTGTGGCATGTTTCTGTCAGAGAGAGGGAAGAAAACTTCAGAAGCAAATACCACCACAATTGACTTAAAGAGATGTTACTTATGTAAAATTTTTCTTTACAGCACATGTATTTTCAAGTGTCGGTGATGAAATGATGTTAGTTTAAAGGAATTTCCCGCAGACACTGATCTTGGTGTTTCACATGAACTATACCTGATCTATGCATGAATGCAGGCTCAGACTGAAAATGTCCCACAAAGGGGAGACGATGCTTAAAGCTGCATTAATAAATATGTTTTATAATAACAGAATCTCAAATGACAACATGTAATGTGAAAGGGGCTAATCTCTGTTGTTCTATTCAGCTTTAGCCTCTAAGATTTTATTGGGACATTTACTGAATAGTTCAGTGTGACTGCTCTCAACCATGTCCCCAGCATCTAGTTGTTTTTAGCAAGAAGTTACAATGAACTGTTTACAGATTGTGTGCTGCTTACCCAGCGCTAAACAACAGACATAAAGTCAGCAGCTAGCTGATGAAAAAAGTTGAACAGCTAGCAGCTAATAACCCAAATATTTTTCTCAAGAGTTGGTGAAGACCAAAGTAGAGCTTAAAAAGCAAACGTAAGACATGACACGACATGAATGCTAATGCTTTTCTGCGAATACTGTATGCGTAACAATGCAATTGTTTACTGAGGAGTTCACACCATTAACACTGTAAAAGTAGTAGCTGTCATTTTAAAGCTCTTGTGCCCCCTAGTGGCCAAAAACAATTAATAATGCACCTTTTAAACTGCAATAAAAAATGCAATTTTTTTGGTCACTTGTGGGTAACAGGAAACAGGCTGTGAACATAACATTAAAATCTAAGAGCTGGCTTTTAAGATAGTAAATGCACATTATGTTCACCAGCTAGTCACTAAGAGTGTCTGGTGTTTGGTGCTGAGCAGGTGGTGAACAGTGGGATTTTAAAGCTTTGGCATAAATGGCTGCCAAGAGGAGGTGCCAAATCATGTGATAATTCTCTATAGGTTCACCTACAGGTAACCCATTCCACATCATCATAGTGTTCTCACATTGTCATTTGATACATTGTTATTATAAAAAAATATTGATTATAGCCGCTTTACATTTCTTGAAACTTGTGATCTCATTTCTTTTATGTCACTTGCGTGTTGCCTCCAATATCAACAACACACAAGAATAAGATACCCTTCCAGTTTTGTTGCTAAAGGAGCTAAAAATATCTTATATGCTGCTGAGAGTGCGTCAAAAATATGGACGACTTAAAAGGTATCGAATTGTGTTTAAACCCATTCCTTCCGAGAATCAGCTGAAGTTGTTAGTTAAATCCCTGTCTGTCTTTCTCTTGATAGCTGAGCTGAAAACACAACCGGACCGTTAAGAAAAGCTTGAAACCCCTAAACAGTGTTCTGACTATCTGTGTAACAGCTTATTCTGAAATGCAGGCCCATATTACAATGTGCATAAAAGCCATTTCTACACGCCTTTGCCTGTTGGACATCATTAGAAATCTGATTTGGTTTCAGCATAGGCAAAAAACATTAAATGGAAATACTGGATAGGCCAAATCCATCAACTGGTCATTTTCCACTTAATCAGCAGTGGTTACAGACATGGCTCTTGAAGACAAAGGCGGTTTGATCTGGTGGTGATGACACATTTCAAGAACGGAGGCCCTGATTTAGATAAAGAGGCTTAAAATGGGATGTTTAAATCCAGCACTTGATACAAGGATAGTAACACTGGCAAACAGTCAGACCCAAAATCACACATACGCTGACACATTGTACGCAAAGAAAAAACGTAGCATTATTTACAGAAAGGCTACCTCTCTTTCACTTTCATACATTAATCATCAGTACATGTTTTGTTCACTGAAAATCTCCAAACCACTACCTTTAACCCAGAGGAAGTCCTCTGCTCTGTCATTCAATTCCATTAATTCAACTTAATGTCCCAGTACTGTACATTCCTCGTGAAGAATTATTCCTGCTGGGGAGTGAGAAATCCAACTCCATGGTGAGTTTATCTCCATGAGGCTGTATCAAGCAGAATTGACCACGTTACTCATGAGATATAACCGTTATCGTTTCTCTTGCCATCAGGTTGAGGGAGCAGAACCACGGTGAACAAGGGACAGGGAGATGTACAACAAAAAAAGTTATACTGGAGGAATTTCTAGAGGCTCAAACTGTCTTTAAGACTCCAAGAAGCCAGTAGTGCAGCACACAGAGTTGGCTCAAGGCAGATCAACTCCCTTTTACAACCAGCAGTGATGGAAAGCAGAAAAGCTTGCCATCAGTTGTCTCTCAGCTGCAGCAAAGCTGCTCTGACACCAGCAGGGTGTCATAGCCATAGATCTCCAACAGGTGGAGCAGGAAGAGCCTGTCTCCATGGGGGTCCAGACCCATGGCTCTCACACTCTCCTGTGTCAAAGTGGGATCAGGGCTTCCCGCCACTTCACTCAGGGTCTGGAAAATTCGGTTGTTTTGCTCCAAGAAAAACCTGGGAAAGTTATCAGTGGGAAAACAGGTGAGTCTGTTACTGTTTGATTCATTTCTTCTGTTGTTCAAATTCCTGTAATCACTTCAATACATTTCTCTAGGCTGAACAGTAGCAGTGATAACATGAATAAATCACAAGAAATCTGTACAAATCTGCACTGTGAGACATAATGACAGACTGTTGGAGGAAGAGAGATCTGGGGATTCTGCCAGACTCAGTCGTCTACCTCTTGGATTTTAATTTTCCAAGTTTCCAAGTTATCCCTGTGACAACTGTCATAAAAAGAACAACTCATGTCAGGTGGTTAACTAGTAGTTACCACTCCACTGGCTGGTTAAATGAATCATGGTGCACTTACAGAATAAAGAGATCCTCTTCACTGGACACACAGTCTCCATTCTCCTCCTGGGAGTACAGCCACATCTGCCTACACACACACACACACACACACACTGAATTTCTAGCGGTTCCCTGGAAAACCCACAGGACTGAGAGCGCTGTCTGCCCTTGAGCTTTACACCAAGATATGTAATGTATACTTGTTCTGGTCTGTGAGGCTGTTCTGTGAGCTAAATGCTACCGTTAGCATGACAAAAGCATGCTAACATTTAGCTAATTACTCAATAATCAATAATGATAATCTTGTTACTCAAGCAGGAGGAAATAGTGTATTTGTTGGGCACTATTTTCATCTGCGGAATAATACACATTTCCAGCAGGAGGACAGTAGGCTATAAGTCGAACTGAAAATAAACACCCAGTCACCCCGTGCAACAGTATTGATGTGTTTCAAGTTTTTAGTAATAATTTTTGGTCAACAATAGAGCTCTATCACAGGAAATATATTTTATGGGATTTGTTGACAATTTGATAAATAAAGAATATCATCATCCTTATCTTTTTCCTTACTTTCTTATCTTGGTAAGTAATGTGACCTTTCAGCAGTAGTCCAGTTGTGGTACCTACCTCTGCTCTGTGAGTTTGCGATATTTCTCTCGGTCTGCGGTACTGAGTCGGAGCAGAGGCTTCAGGCCGTCTCTGCAGGTTTTTACATTCTGATTGTCTACATACACATCGTACAGATCCTTCTTCTCCTCAAAGATCTTCTCAGTAGTACCTAAACATACAAACACACAGGAAAAAAAATTGAGATTCAGGAGATACTAGTCATACCTGTGCAAGGTGTGTATTAAAGCCTGACTCCTATTTCAGTGGGTCTTTTTCTTCACAAATGTTAAGCATGTTTCTAGGATCCACTTACATGCTACATAGGAGAGCTCGTTCTCCAGAGCACTGATATCAGCCACATTAACATAGAAGAAGGGGCGGAACTCAGGCACGGCCACGCTGACCCCAGGGATGGAGATGTTTGCCAGGCAACAGCAGCAGTAGACTGAGAGGGGGTGGAGGGCGAAATTAGAAAAATTATGCATGAGTGTGGGAGAGAAAGAGAGGAACACAGGATGTGAATGTGTGCATGACGTGTGGGCTTTCCAACACTGAGACAGCTGGAAAGGAACTGCATGTATGCTGACATGCAATCGCCAGACTCATGCAATAAATTAGTAAAAGACAGTTTTCTGAATAAATAAATAAATAAAAGAATAATATTTTTTTTAATGATGATTTTTAAATTAAAAGAATACTCAGATAAATACCACTTTTACTGTGATTGAGCCTTCAGACTGTTAGCTTAGCCTAGCATAATGGCTAAAGCTCAGCACCAACAAATTACCACTTTCACCCTTCAGTTTTTGTACAAATTATACAAATGAGAGAAAACATGTTAATTAGTGAACTTGAAAGGTACTGGTGGGCAGATGTTTTTTAACCTTTGGACAGAGCCAGACTAGCTGTTTCCACTTGTCTCCAGTCTTTATGCTAAGCTAAGCTAGCTGTCTTCTGGCTCCATACTGAACAGATAGGCATGAGAGTGGTATCAATCTTCTTGTTTCAGTCTAGGCAAGAAAGCGAATACACGTAATTCCCACAATGTCAAATATTTTCTTTCAACTTCTTTCGGTTCAAACCCTTGTGAACACATCCACGTTTCTCACCCCTGTAGCAGACCACACCCACAGGAGGAGGGGAGAAGATGAGGATGCGTCTGCGGAGGAGAGCCAGCTTCCACAGCACCATGATCTGCTCTCCAAAGAAGCGGATGAACTGGGACATACATCCTGCTGGGTGCGTGATCTGGTCCACAGGTAGTCACACACAGAGGCACACAAGGTTATCGAGTAATACAGTGTAAGACACATTTCAGTCAGAGACACCAGCTGGCATAGTTGAAATCGAGGTGGAAAATTCCCTTCTACCTTCATCTCAGGGTGCATGCTGTGATTGATTGCAGCTCCCCAGGCATTGGCTGGACATGCAGTAACAACACCATCTCCACTGGGGGGCAGGAGCGCTCTCTTGTCCTCATAGAAGGCCTCCAGAGGAGAGTAGTGGCCTGGAGACTGGAGCTGGAGCCTGAAGGAGGGGACGAAATAATATCCAAAGTCATTGTCCTATAAGTAAAAATTAAAGAATGGGATACAATGAGCATTATTGAGGACAATACGTTGGCAAAATATATTATTGCTTGCATTAAACTAAAATAAATGTAAATCAGTCACAAATGAATACTTTGATAATGCCAATCTGTCCAGCAGCTGAATACTACTGTGCACAAGGCAACCACTGCCTCTTGATGTATATGCATACCTTGATTTCTCCCTTGAATAAATGTCCCAAATGACGAGTTAACTCCACTTCTGAAACAAATGATCAGCTGCTGCCCTTTCTTATAGAAATGAATATGTCTATGGCTTGGGAATCATCAATCGGCAACAACGGACTGGACTGAATTGAACTTTCAACCATACGCAGTGGTCTGGATGTCAGTATGGGAAAAACTATGCTACAAAAGCACAGAGGAAAAACAGCTGCCAACACTGCTACACCCAGACTATGGCTACAGATATTTATGTTAAGGCTTTGGTAAATATATTATTTCTTGGTACCTTGCTATGAAAGCCTTTCTTAAACTAGAATATGATCTGATTAGGGCTGCAACTGGTGATTAATCTTTGAGGAATTTTTTTATTATTTGTTTAGCCAATAAAATGTGAGAAAATTGAGAAATTTTTTCTCTAAACCACTTCTTCAAAATATTTAAAAACCCTACATTCTGACATCCAGATCCACACACTAAAAAATATACAATACAGAAAGAGAAGGAAAAAACAGCAATATGGTAAAAAAAGAGGAAAAATAGTAGAAATAATAGTCAAAGTTACATGATAAATTATCAGATCATAATCTCATTTCATACATGGGGTCTTGGTCATTTCTGTAAAATATCCTGACAGAGCATCCTGTGTAACATAGTTCAACCCTTCAAATCCATAGATTACCACTATCCGTTTCACAGTAGTCCACTAACAGGTGGAAACTGGATTATTCAGGCAGCAATATAAACATGACCAAACTGTACCACGGATTCTGTTGTACACATACTAACTTTACCCTCCTATTATTAGACCCCAAGACACATCTCCACTTATCATCCCTACCCTTGCTCGCATAATTAGCATTTCTCTGTAAAACAAATGAGTTCCATTAGCTGCAAATGCCAGGAGAAGATAAATAACAGGCTCAAAATCAGAGAGAGAAATGAGAGAAAGAGAGAAAAAAGGGAAAAGTATCCATAAATTCCTTAATATCCTAATCACCTCATGACCAACAGAGAGCCCTTTGTATAGGAAACAGACGACTGCCATAGCAGTCAGCAGATGGGGAATCTGGAGCGAGCTACATAGGGAAGGATGAGTAAGGAGCATGACCGCTGCATGACTGGAGGCCAGGAGAGGACAGAGAGTGGGAACTGTGGAGGGGAAAGAGAGGAGGGTCAGGGAAAGCAGAAAGAAAGAGGGACTGAATAGAGAGAGGGTTTTTCAAAGGGCCACTGAAGAGGAAGTGTGACAGGGGTGTGACAAGACTTCAGATGTAACACTGAAGTACACAGGCCTGTTTATACCAGCAAAAAAGTATTAATGGGGTCAAAAGAGAATGGAAGTGTTGTGTTGCTGGAGGAGATAAAGGTTGTCAGAGAGAGAAAACTGAAGTGTGAAAGTTGTCTTTTTGAGATGATGGAAAAGAAAGAAGAGGAACTGAACTAGTAGCAGTGAGAAAGCCCCACTAGCAGCTCATAGAGGCTGTGTTTGGATTTACCATGGACGGACATTGATAAACCTGAAGCCTTTTATTACTTGTACAGCCCAACCATATAAAAAGCTTTTTTATATTTTGTGCCCATACTAGTTGCATGCTTCTAGGGATGTTGGTTGGTCCCTTTGGTCTTGACTGCATCTTATTTCATGGTCTGAACATCTCCACATATTTGTCTGAAAAGTCAGAATGGTGCATTCAAGTGCAGTCATATAAAGTAGAAATGCATTCAGTAATCAGAAATGAGCAAGTGAATGCAATGATGTTTGTAGTTTCACTTAGTAATAGATATAGATATAGACAGATAGATAGATAGATAGATAGATAGATAGATAGATAGATAGATAGATAGATAGATCCTCTTACCTGACCTGGTGCTCCAGGAAGCTCATGTAGCGGTAGAGCAGTGTGTAGGAAGGAGACAGGATCCCTACCGACTTCATCCTCGCCCCCCTCTCCACCGTGCTCTCCACCGCCATGTTGGCAAAGCAGGCCAAGCCAAAGTAGCTGCCCTTCCGGAAGTAGCTGTGGATGCAGGAGAGAGGGAGACAGACGAAGCCATGAGTCAAGAAAAGCAAAGATACTGCCAGATGGCTGTGCCTTTTTTTTTTTTTTTTTTTTTTTTTTTTGCCAGGCAACACTATGTGTTGTTCTGTCCTGCCAGGAGGGAGACATGGGGCTGCATCCTAATACTCACAGTCAGCCTCCTCCATTTAGTTTTTTGTACACACACACACACACACTTACATGAAGTCTGTGGTGACTCGGTGGGAGCCGCTGGCGATAGCTTTGAACTCCACACCCTCCAGGTCCATGTCTTTGGGCAGACACCACTCCAGCATGTTTCCTATCACACCCACACAAAAAACAAACAATAAGAAAACAAACATGCAGGCAGACAAACACTGATACAGGAACAGACGGTAAATATATTATCACCATTTCATTTCATATTCATGATACAACAGTGACGCAGCCCGGCTGGATTCTTTGGACTTCATTTTGTGTCGGTTGAGCAGTGACGCTCGAGCAGCAGCTGAGCAAATATGGTCTGATAGGAGCAGGGAAAGAGAGTAGGTGACTCAGCCAGTGCGGTTTTCAACCTAATCATTAGCTACCTGTATCAGTCAGGGGAATTTCTGCAGAAACATAACTATATCGCCCACCAACTTAAGGCTGGTCTGTTTCATCCACTGAGACATAAGCCACCTGCACCTGAACACCAAAGGTGCTCTGTCACCCATCTGACAGCTGTTATTGACTTAAAGTATCAAGCTTAAAGTACCATACAGTGCAAAGGTATTTGCTGTACAGAGAGAACATTATTAAACAGTCACTGCTAGGTAAAAATGGGTTGCGGTGTGATATTTTTAGAAAATCAGGATGGTTTGCTTTGATCTGTGATGTATCATTTTGCTCTTCATGCTTGACTAAAGCCTCTAACACATGATCTTAAAATCAATATTCTGTCTGAACTTTCTGTCAGCCTTATAAAGCATTATTACAGGTGCAATACTAAAGTTAGCCCTAATTCTACTCTAATGAATCCTCTACCTGTTCTAGTGCAGTTGGCCTATAGACTCTCTTTTTAAGACTCATTTTGTAGCTTCAAAAGTGGAACTACAGGGCTTTGGGGTGCTGACCACATGGTCAGTTCAAATCTGGTTGTATACCTTTGTTGCATATGTTCCCCCCTCCTTTTTTCCACTCATTTTCTTCTCTTCTCTGTTAGCTCTACTTAATGAGCTAAGTAGATCTAATTATACAAAACACACCCACCAAATTATCAGAAATGGGGTTTACTATGTGTTATAAATTGGTAGATTATTGATATACAACATGCATTTGCACTAGAGGCCATGGTAACGGTACTGACCGTACAGATAAGGAATTGATTCATCTGATCCACCTGGAGTCTTATTTCTTTGCTTTCCTGCAAAGCCCCTATCAGACTGCGTGACATTGTGTTAGTGGTGGAATATTATATTGTCAGTGACCCTTTAACTGAACAAATATTTTTAAAAAAAAGCATCATTATCACCAGTTCATCACCTTATTCTCCTGGTCTCCTTTCAATCTGACATTCTGCAAAAACTGAAAAAAAAATACCCAGCTCCACCCTGTCAGGCTTCTCCTGTGTAGCATTCAAGACAGGTTTTTTTCTTTTAACATTTTGAAACATCAAATCCTCTGATTCTTAAATTGGCTGCTATTTCACAGGGGCTTATCCTGTCTTCAAAATGCCCCTCATTAAAAATGTATGGGCCTTTTCTGCAGGAACCACCAGCTGATTGATTTCCATCATAAAACTCATCCTGACATTTGGAAATATCTGTTATGTAGGAAGGCTACAGAAGATGACATGGCTTTTAATCATATCTCCAAACTTATGAACAGGTCAGAAAAAGCCACACCTGTAGGAGAAGGGTCTGCAGACTTGGTACAAACATGCGCTGATCATTCTGGGCGTCAGACAGAATGATCTGAATCCGTTGTATTAGACGAGGCAGGCTTCATCTGTTTCCACCCTTTCCTGCCTATAAACATAATCATTTCCCTTTCTCTGTAAACATTTTGTATTTTATTTAATATAGCAATGTTAATTTCATGTTGCATATTTTATACCCCACCTGATCTGGTGTTGAATGTAACCACAAAAACCGACACAATCTGGTCCTTTTCCTCCCATTTCACCATCCTGTCTTCCAGCGTCACCTCCCTCGGTCCTGAATCCGACAGATGCTCCTCCTTGTCGGGACGCAGCCCTTCATCCGTGCCCGCCGGGTTGCTGGAGGTCATGGGCGGGGTGCTGCAGCCGTCTGAGCTGGAGACAGACCTGCTGGGAGTGGGACCCCCCGGACCGCTGCTCCACCCAAAGCCCGGCGCGGAGCATCCTGATGAGGCACGAGTGTTAGAGGGGCTCGACAGACGGTCCTTAGCGTGAGCTGCCGCCGGTGCTGCACCGCCGGGCTTCTCCGCTGACGGAACCTCCTCCCAATCCAGCAGAGGGGCACGGTCCGACCGCTCCACCATCCTGTCGGCGGTCCCGCCTCGTCAGTCTCACCGCGGATTGTAAATGATGTATCAGCCGACGTGCACCAGGTCCATCCGTGGATAATCACACATCAGAACAATTACCGCATTGTGAAGTTATTTCTTAACAGTTCAGAACGGTTGCATTTGGCATCAAATTTTGCAGAGCAGCTTTCACATCTAGCTTTTAAAATCGTTCTAGTCTGAGGCGATCATAAATTTGATGCTGTTGAGAGAAGGCAACTCCTTCGTCTAATGTGAGTTGCATTCAAAACAAATCACCACCTACGATCACATTCCCTTCACTAAGAATAGCTGTGGAACGTTTGATAACACGAGTTCATTTCGGCTTCTTGAATGTACCCTGCACCACAGCGTCGGGATTAATCTTTTCTTTGCCAGCCGCACTTTCGATTAAAGATTTACGTTTTTCTAAAGCAGTGCATTTACGAATCATGTGTATAAGATCTCAAAGACGATTAATTTGTTTGTTGAAAATATTTTGAGTGTGTGCCAATAGTCACTATTAGTCTATTCCACAGTTAAACGTGCAATTTTGAATGTGTCGAAAGTTGCGAAACAAAATCCAAGCTAGAGTTGGTGACATCGTTCAGCGACACGTCAACTACACGGAAGAAGGTCTCAGTCCAACCTGCGGCTGTATTTATTGCTGATATAAGGAGCATAGTGTTGTCGAAATGGGTGAGCATTTTAAATGTTGGTCGACAAAATATATATTTTTTCCTTTTGTACCCGTAACCTACGTGCGTATGAATACTTATCCTGATAGATACACACATATCTCTGTCTGCCTCACTCAACGCGCAGAGCGACAGTTGCCAGTTCGCTAGCTAACGTTAGCTATTTACAGTGAATACCGTATTTTTTTCATCCATGGTGTTTTGGTGTGGGCAGTTACTTAATATATTTTTCAAGCAATTCAGTTTGGCTGCTCTTTATCTATATCTATATCTATATATTGGTATCAAGGGTGTAACTTAAAAAAAGCACGACAACTTGCGGTTTTCAGTTAATTCCATCATGCCATGGTTATTGTAGCTAAGCTAACCACGGCTAACTTGCTCAACCACCTGAGTGATACTGACTGAATGATAAGCCATTAGCCTTTGAGTAACCTTTACATTTAGTTTTTTTTGTCATCATTCTTTCTGTTTATAAAAAGTCAAAATGATAAGTAATGCCCAAAGTGATGAGTTACATCTGGTACATCTAGACTATTCAGTTCATAATTAAGGTGGAACAAGGAAATGCTTGCTGCTTTAGTTGATAAATGATCCATCCACTAATCAAAATCATAATTTCTCAGCACTAAAAATTTCTCCTGTGTGTCTTTCTCCAGGTGGTTTCTTCTCTAGTCTCTTCTCTGGCCTTTTTGGCACCAGGGAGATGAGGATTTTGATCCTTGGTTTGGACGGTGCAGGAAAAACAACTATTCTGTACCGGTTACAGGTTGGAGAGGTGGTCACCACAATCCCCAGTATGTACTGCTTTTCTCTGTTTCTTTATTTCTATACTTGTGTAGTGTTTATTCCTCATCACACACCATCTCTAGGTCTTTAAAAGCTTTAAAAGTTTATCAGATGCACTTTTTTTTTTAAAACAGTGGTGTGAGAACAACCTATGTTTATACAGTAATTAGATTACATATGGCGTTGACCATTAAACCTGCAGGCAAATGCTGTGACAGGCTCGACAAACACGTGCAACCAGTCCAGTCGGCATTCCTCTTTGACACACAAGTATTTTGACTGAGGAGAAGCAAAGCTGGTGGGAAGAAACAAGTGAACTGGCTCTAATTTAACAAATTTAATTACAGCTAATAAAGAATGTACTGACATATTATTTTCATGTGATAGCAGCCCCCCCATCACTGTTGCTGAGTGACCAATCAAACCAACTGTTGGCAACTATGAATGGGGATAATTGAAAACATGAGAAAGACAAAAAAAGTTTAGGCCAACAGAATTAAAATTAATCCACAAAACGGTTAACATTGAAATAGAAACGTATAGGTCCTGTTGTAAAGCAGGGTATTTTTTAGCATGATAACAGTCACATGGACCTGAAAACATATTCTGGTTGTTGGGGCAGGTTTCACAATCACTGCTTGATTTAATTGCGTGCCTTTAGTCATCTGTGAAAACTTCCTGCATAATTTCTGTTTCTTCATACTTTTTAGCAGCATTCTCCTTTTCTTTTTCTCCCTGAATATGTAGTTGCTCAGTATGTGCATGTTTACCATCTGGAGGGGTGTGGCCATGGCATCACAAACTTCACATGTAGACATGTTGTGTCACTGCCGTTTGTTGTCAGTGTTGCTCATTTTCAGATGTGGCCTACCACTGATTTATATATTAAAAAAAGGTGGAACACTATAGATTTTAAGTTGTTTAATGAACCCTCACTCATAATTTAAAAAAAAAAGGAAAACAATATTGTCTATTTCTCATGACTAATGTGACTAGCCCGCAATTAGTTTCAGAGGGACAGACTTCAGAGACTAAAATTCAGCATTATTCCTCTTCTGCTGTCTTCTGCAGATTTCATAGCCTGAGAATAGAAATCAAATTAAGGAAAAAAAGCTGTGTCTGCATGTGTTGCAGTGTTTATCATAATTGCAGCACTCAGCAGAAGCATCACACCGTACATCCAGATACAGCAGTGGTGAGAATCAGGCTCATGTACTCTGCCCTCACTGCAATTGGGTTTCTCTCCACACAGCAATCGGCTTCAATGTTGAGACAGTCACATACAAGAACCTGAAGTTCCAGGTGTGGGATCTGGGAGGACAGACAAGTATCAGGTAGGTCTGGCAGAGTATAGCTGTACTGTGAAGGTCTCAGGTGTCAATGAGTGGAAATGAAAGCATGTGGAGCAAGAACAGCTCTAAACAGCTTGATGCTCTGTCAGCACCTAGGAGACTTTTCCCAATATTATGTTAATTTAAACTATTTTTACCTCACTCTTTAAATGTAGTAACATTGTCTTCATGGTTATGTCTTTGCACTGTCTAACCGCCAATCACCTGCTCACTGATTAACCTTATCTTCTACCTTCCCTCCTCTGTCTAATTCACAGGCCCTACTGGCGGTGTTATTACTCAAACACAGATGCAGTCATCTACGTCGTTGACAGCAATGACCGCGACAGGATGGGCATCTCCAAGTCTGAGCTGGTGGCCATGTTGGAGGTAAGATGACCAGTTCTCAACTACAACCTAAGAACACTCGTGAGGATATTTCATTACAAGCTAGAACCATCATGATAGTGATATCCAAAACTTTGGTTCAGACTGAAATTTCTTAACTATTGGATAGATTTCCATTACATCAAATCTAGTAATTTCCTCGGCTGCCACCATGAGGTCACATTATCTCTTTGAACACTGGTACTTGACAAGGTACTGTGGTCGTCAGATCATATAAGTTGTTTATTAAGGCTCTGTTATATGGATACATGAGGCATACAACCACAACTGAATATCTACCACTCTACCACATTTAAATATTTTACATCAAAAACAATTTGTCTGGATATATGTAGTTTTAATTAATCTTTTGAAAATGACAGTACGTAATTTCAAGAGTTTAACTTTTTTTGATGTGTGGTGTGTGTTTTTTTTATTTTCCAGATTAAATTTTGAATTAAAATTTGTCAAGCCAAAAAAATCTGGTTGCTTAATTAAAAAAAAAAAAAAAAATTCAAATTTAAACTGCATTTTTGAAATTGCACTGTTGATCTAGGAATTTAAAAAGGAAAATTCAAGCCACATGAATTCAAAGTTTTTAGAGTAAAATATTTAAAAGTTGTCAATTGAGTGGTATTTAAGAGTGGTTAAATTTCAGCTATTTCATTGCTTATAAGATATAAATTATTACAGTGGTGTTTATTTTACTTTCATGACACTGATATTTGGAGCTGCCACTTGGCAAGTCTCTGACTACTAGCTGGCCTTTTTGAAATTAGATCAAAACTTCTATTCTCATGATGTAATTTTGTGACTGTACATCTTATACAGGAGGAGGAGCTGAAGAAAGCGATCCTGGTGGTATTTGCAAACAAACAGGACATGGATCAGGCAATGACACCCACTGAGGTGGCGAACTCTTTAGGCCTTCCCGCCCTCAAAGACAGAAAATGGCAGATCTTCAAGACCTCAGCCACAAAGGGCACAGGCCTGGACGAGGCAATGGAATGGTAGGCTTCACCATACGTATGTGCTATATCAAGAAGTAACAGTAAATTCATTTGTAATGGGTCTGAGGTAGGAATGGTACATTATGATTGATTTCATAACAAGTTAATTCCACTAGATTACACATTCTCTTCACTGTTAGTTCATACACATATTGCACAGCATGTTATCTGTTCCATGTGATGGCCGAGACTGAATTATATTTGCTTTCTGTCCTTCAAGGTTGGTGGATTCCCTGAAGAGTCGGCAGTAAAGGCTCACCCACCCACTCTGTATATACTCCTGACCTTTGACCCTTCTGTATGAAGCCTTGTGACTGACCCCCTCCCCATGTCCCACTTTCCTTTGGACCAGTGCTTGCACTCCTGCCCTCCTTTCCCATACCCACCTGAAGCCTTGGCCAAGCCCTCCCAATGCCTTTCAAGCCTGGAACTAAAGAGCGAGGGCTGCAGTAACGTCTGGACACACACTACACCCAACTGAAGGTTTTAGAGAGCCGTAGGACTGCAGGGATGGATGGGCAACAGTTAAACTGCAGTATTTGCATTTTTATATGTTCTGGAAATGCATCCAAGTGTCAGTTAATTAACACCTGTGAACATGTCAAATACTGCTAATTTTATGAATCCATTTGTAATAGTGTCAACATTAAAATGTTATCATGGCTTAAGAGTAATCAATAATGAGGCTCTGTGAAAAGCATTTCTGAAAGCAGGCTGGTCGCTGCATCAGTTAGCTTCAGCTAATGATTTCCAAGAGGGAAATTCTGAATAATCTGCATGTGCCAGAGAACTTAGATTAGTACTTGATGGGCACTAGCAAAAAACATGCCATGAAGATCCACCAGGAGGCAGCAATTTCTCCCATAAAGCACAAAGATCAGAGGTCTGTTCCTAACCTCAGCAATCAGTCCAGGACACATCACTGAGAAGCAGCTGCTGGGTTTTAGTTTGCTGGACAGCATTGAATTCCATGTCCATGTTAAGTGCAGCAAATCCAAGTTTATTTACACAGAGATGTTATTCAAACTGCTGACCTGTATGACATGTTCTGATTTACTTTTGGAAAGTAAAATTAATTTGGCTTCAGACTGATTGAAAAAAGATTTCTCTACATCTACTACATGTCCTCTAGCCAAGTGTTACTGCAGCCTGGGCTGTTTTTGTACTATAGTCAGACAGATGCAATGAAATCGATTTCTACTTTTTCTTCCTGTTCAATTGTGTTCCCAAATTTTTAAAATATATTGTGGTGGTTAAAGCCTTTTTCCATTGAAATCCTTGAGTGCAGCTTTGGCATATTAGTCATTTAATTACTGAACACTAACTGTATGCTCAAAGTTTTATGGAGGCATAATTTATATTTGCTTGTACAGTGAAATTTATTCTCAGTAAAGATTGCTATCAGTGATTGTACCATTACTGTGTTAAAACTCCTTGATTCTAAAATTAGAATACAGCACAAATACCACAACAAATTATCAGTAAAAATGTTGGATCTTTTTTAATTACAAAACATACATTATAAATGTGAGCACAGTTCTACACTCACTGGTCACAACAGGAAAACAAAAAGTAGATTTCACCTTTGATCTGCAATTCATATGAAGCAATGTCAGTGATACAGAGACATCCTGTCATTTCTAATTCTTTTACACACACAAGGAGGTTGGATGTCTTTTACAACCTTGCTTGTTCTTCACATATTCAGCAAGAAACATCTGTCTTTCTTGGCCCAATCCAATGTTTTCTTTGTCAACTGACATTAATTACAATAGTGAAAGTCATTATGTAACATCTTGAGGTGAGACTTACAGAGTCTGCAGCCCATAAGTGTCTGAGGATGAGTTAACGCCTGCCTGCTCACCTGGCCAGCGTTGATCCCCACCAAGTGTCCTTGATAAAGAGATGCAGCCACCCACATGGCTCACTGCACCATGGCCAGGTCTTTGAGTGCATGGCTGCGATGCTTCTTGGCTTTATATCCGGGCCGTAGGAACTCAATCTTCCTCTTCTTGGCTTCGATTTTGTTCTTGTGTTTCTTGAGTTTCTTCTTGGCAGCGATGTCTGGGTTAGCTACCGCCTGGAGAAGAGGAGGAGGACAAATGTAAGGTGGCTGCCAAGGATAATGTTGTGCCCATTCATCGTGTTTTGCCTACATCATACCTGCATGGCCCTGTGTCGTTTACGTGCTGCTCGCCTCTGTGAGAACTCCCTCTGGACAGCGGAGAAGGCCAATGAGAACTTCTCCAGCCCAACTTGTCTCTTCAGCAGCTCGATCAGCTCCTGCGCCAGGTTCTTCAGTGTGGGGTCTGAGTAGAGACAAAGAGCGGGGGTCAGCGATGGAGTAAAGTTTGAGGATGATTTCATTTTTCAGCCATTTCCTCATGTGACAAGCTGGGCCCTGGACAAAGAGTGTATGTGTGTGAGGATTTTTAGTTTTTTTTTTTGAAGATGTGGGAGCTGATACCTTGGTCTGCATAGGTGCTGTCCAGCTCTCTGTACAGAGGAGTGATGATGGTTGTCAGATAGGGGCCAAGCCTTTCCTTCCCCAGGTCCATGGCTATCGCTCCCAAGAACTTAAACACACAAGTTCTCTGTTGGAGAAAGTGGAGGGAAATAAAATAAAATTACAGCTCAGACACTGAAAGACTGACCATTTTAAATGTTGATACATTTTCTTTATATTCTAAAGAAAACATTATCCATTACCATTTCATATCCTACATTTCCCCTTAAAAACAAGTGAAGCACATAAGTAAATAATTAGATACATTTCTACATTAGCAACATCTTGTTTATTACATCACCTCTTGACTACCATAACTGTCTTTATAAGGACGTCAGCCATCAGCTAGATTAGATCAGCAAGATTTCTCACCGGCATCAAGATTAGAGACCACATTTCCCCTGTACTGACCTCACTTCACTCATTACCAGTGAAATGCAGAAATGATTTAAATTTTCTTGTATTTGTTTTTAAAGCACTGCATGGATCAGCACCAGCTTGCTTCCCAAATCTCCAAAGTCCATATTCTATTTCCAGACCTTGATCAATTACTTACATCCCCAGTTAAAATGTGACCAAACTTTTACCATCACTATTTACCTATTTGTTTTTGTTGTCATTATTTAATTTCTCTATGAAGCATTTTGTTCAGCATCTGTTTTATTTATTTGACATGTTCAACACCAAGCAGGGAAATAAGGGCAGGGCATCAGGTGATGTTACAGGTGCCACACAGCACACTTGTTACATCTCTGACCACACCCATCAGAGACACAGGCTGTGGTCTTTAAGGTGTCAATACTGTTATGTTTATGTTATAAATGATGGACATGAAAATATATATGACTTCAGGGTCTTCCATGGTAGTTGTGGACTTAAGAAAACATTTATCACATCTACTAGAAAATGTTTGCATAAAATTATTTCAATATGCATGAGTGCATGCAATGAGCTGAACCATCCTGACACCCTGCCCTGTCAAATTAAACTAATTAAGAGATTTATTTTTCTGCTGTCATGCACTGAGCTGTTTTTGAAACGTCTAAAATATAAATAGTCAATGCTTTTAAGTACTAAAAAGTAAAGACCACAGTACAACATACTAAATTAAATTCACTGGGCCAACACATAATACAACCATGGAAGGCTACAGATAGAGTAGATGTATTTATACTGAGCTCTTAAAGGCTGCAGTAATAAGATGGGAGCCCAAATGTCAGATAATGTTCTATTGTTAAGTTTATACCTAGTCACTGAATAACAGGATACTTAGCTATCATCAACCAGAGAACAGGACATGTGACTCCTAGTTTCTATGGTTACCTTTAGGGGAACTTTGGGAGTATGCGCTGCCTCTCTCTTGGCCATCAGAGACAGCTTGTTCATCAACCACAGAAGGGAGGGAGGTCTATCATCCTTGTCATCTTCCTCCTCCTCTTCTTCCTTCTCTTCCTCTCCATGTCCCTCCTCTTCATCTCCATTCTCCCTCTGCTCCTCCTCCTCTGTCACCACATCCTGAGGGGGAGTGACATCAGACTCGGGGGAAATGAGGTAGATCACCTTGCCGACGAACAGCAGGTTCTTGATCACCTGGGGGCGGAGCATAACATGTCCTTCACTCAATCTAATCTGTGATGTGTGTTGAAATATGTTTGAGACACAGTATGATGGGTGTGTTTTGGTGGAGTCTGTGCACCTGCTCTCCTGATGCTGTGTCCAGGAACTTGGATTGCAGCTGATGGCAGAACGATAACGCCAACTCTCTCATCTAGAGGTCAGAGAAGGAGGGAAACAAGAAGAAAAATGTATTCAAACAATAAGAATAAGATGCAGAAAGTGCAAAAGAGTGGTCCTTTGCCTCACCTTCTTGTCCAGGTTGCTGGTGATGAAAGCAGTGGCTACTGACTGGGATGAAGTGTCTCCATCCTCTCCTCTCCAAACATCGAGCAGCTGTTCTGCTTGGTGGGCTGCAAACAGCTGGCCAAAGAGTTGCGAGGCAGTCAGCCACACCCAGCAATGAGGGTACCGCAGGTGGGCTTCAATGTGACCTGCAGGTGTATTGGAAGAAAACTGACTGAGTGTATGTGGAATTTGGCTGCATATGTAAGAGAAGAGCAGTTGTGTGTGTTGGGCCTTTACCCCAGATACGAAAGAGTGTGTCGTCACGCTTGCTGAGCTCCAGCAGGCCACAGTGCTTGCTGAGTTTGGTGATGAGAGTCAGATAACTGAACAACAGCCTGTCTGCTCCTTTCTCATCCTGCTCCTCTTCAATCTGAAAGACAGAGTCACAGAGATGCTTTCTATTCCTCATGTTTCAAAACCTGTGGCCAGAGATGGTGTGAATGTGTTGACATTTACATCTTCATAGTTGTCGGGGTTGATCTCTCTCTCCAGCAGAGGCAGCAGGTCGTCCAGTCGTCGGGCAAAATTCTCCTCCTCCACTTCCACGAACAGACCACAAATCTGGGCACCGAGACGGCGAAGGCTGGCCTAGGAAGGAGGGAAAAGTCAGAGATCTTACTGAGAATTATTTTAAGTGGAAGTTCCAAAAAAGCTGCTGATTTAATTCACTTTTGGCTAAAATTGTTTTCCTAGATGTTTTACATGCATTTTAGTTCATGTGTTACCTTTTCTGCATTGAGCCAGGTGTTGACGAAGGCAAACAAGGTGTTCTGGTGATTTATGTCCAGCTGTGTCAGCAGGGCCTTGATAGCCATGGCGGCCATTTTTTTACAGCGTGCCGAGTCGTCGTTGACCACGACCAGGGCCAGCGGGGCAAAGAACAGACCGCTGTGCTTTAACAGCAGGTTCTGAACAAACAAAAACATAATGCAGTTTTGTTGAGATCATATGTGAAGTCAAAAGTCATCATTGGTAAAATACTATATGGTTGGTTCTTATGTTAAAGCTACTGATGTGAATTATGCCCAAAGTAAGAGTAGATTATGGATATATGGATGATATGTGTGTGTTTTCCATATATGTAGGTGAAAACACCCGACAATATTATGCAGTCCAGTTGAGGTGAAATTTACTCACCTGAGGGAAAGTCTGGAAGATGTATGCCAGCATCTCCAGCACAGACTCTCTGCCTGTGTCATGCTCATAGTGCAGCTGCGCCACCACAAAGTCCAGGTGCCCTCTCAGCTTCCTCCCCAGTGGGTAGTCCAGCAGGTACTTCAGATAGATCTGCACAACACAAACACTGTTTACTTTCTGCCTGAACTGAAGACTAGAGTCTCTTTATTAGACATTATGCAGCAGAGAGGAGAAATGAAGCTGTTGTGTGTTTTAGTACCTGTCGACAGTGTATTCTGATCATAGCGTTGCTGCCGGTGACCGACAGCTTGGCAACTTTCTTCATCACCTCCTCCATCTCTGGAACTACAAGTTTCCTAGACAGAATCGCCTGAGGGAGACAGATAGACATAAAAATATAAAAAAAAATTAAACAATTTGTCTTAAAGCTCTTTTACAATTTTGATCCTCTGATTTGTCCTGTACATAAAGTTTACAGCCCTAAAAACACAGAGTGGTTACCTTCAGCAGGCCGAAGGCAGTGGCTTGGCGTGACTGATCGTAGATGTCCTCCTCAGCATATCCCAACAACACCTGCAGCTGCATCTCAGAGATGTTGTTGCTTTTGACGTTCTTTACCAGTATGGTGATGGCCTGCGAGACAAACAAAGACAGGAAGGAGACAACAATATGAATCAATGCATTTTTATCTTCAGTTTTTTGTTTGTGAGGTTTTACCAATCCTGGGGGCCCTGATGAAACAAAACAACAACAAAACTATTTATCATGTTGTGTTTGCATACATACATACATACATACATACACATATATATATATATTCCTTGTGTTACCTTGAAGCAGTTCTGAACCAGGTGGTAGTTCTCTCCGCGGGCAGCTCCGGCCTTGGAGTAATCCTTCAGCAGAACAAAGAGCTGCTTGGTCAGCTGGTCGGCATTCTGTTCCACTGCTGGGAGAGGGAACTTGAACAGCCAGGTGAATGCAACCAGAGCCTCTGTGATCACCTGAGAGGAAGGAGACAGAAGAAGAGGGCAAGTTATTATCTCTGTCATCTGATTTGAGAGATCAGAATTTGTTTGATCAACCAATGCTCATAGTTGGGGTGATATGTAAACATCAAATGCTCGTACCTTGACGTGCATGGAGTCGAGGCAGTCGAGCAGCAGCCTTACGAAAGGGTCCAGCATCTCTAGAGCTGAGGCCTCAGATGATGTCACTTTGGATTTCTTCAGACTCAGGTGGAGCAGCTGAGGAACAGATGGATTCATATGATGACAAACACTTCTGCTTCTGATTAATTTTTTTAGACTCACAAAACAATCACAAGGCAATCCTTCCTTCTCCTGTAATCCACAATATTTATTTTACTGGAGAGGATAAGACAATGCAGAAAGTGTTACGCATATTGTTGGAGAAGTACAAAGAATGCTTTTTCTGTGATATGATATGTTCATATTAGTGAACTATGTGGAACATTATGCTTCTGTTACTATATCAGGACAAAAAAAACTTCAGAGGAAAGTAGTGTTAGAAACAGTACATTGCAACAAACTGATGCTAATACAAACATCGTATAAGATGACTGAAGACAAGTTTGAGTGATGTGTACCTTGAGGCCAGCGTCCACCAGGATGTGCATGTTGGTTCGGCAGCTGACAGGAGCTTTCTGACCCCCTCTCTTTGGGGTCGGAGGCAGGAGCAGGCAGCTGGGAGGGGGCAGCCTGGGGTCAGGGGGAGGCTGTGCCGACGCTTTCTCTCTAGAATTACAAACAGATACAGTGTCATAAATACTGGATGCAAATAAGCATTAAAGTGATTTACTATACTTCAATCTGAACTGAACTGTGTGTGTGTGTGTGTGTGTGTGTGTGTGTGTGTGTGTGTGTGTGTGTGTGTGTGTGTGTGTGTGTGTGTACCGGTCTCGCTTGGTGAGCAGCGGCAAACTCTGGCTGACCAGGCCGTGGCTCAGCAGCAAAATATCCTGAGGAGTCATGCCCCCGTTGACAAGCAGACCCAGGACCAGTCGCCGCAGCACGGCACCAACTCGGTTACACACCTTCAGACTGGATGAAGTCTCCAGTATCTGATGGGATGATAATACTTGGTTTTTCAACATAATTTTGTTCATGGATAAAATGGAATTTCTCTGTGCTCCTTAGACAAGACAAAACATGCACTTGAAGACCCATTTATGCAATCACTGCATTGAACACATGCAGAAACCTATTCAAATTAAATCACGCCCTCACCTCCTTCAGTGGCAGTATGAGCTTGGTGATGCTCTCCCTGCTGCAGAACTGGGCCAGCAGCTCGTAGGAGTCCATGCTCTTGCTGTGTCGAGCCTCCATCAGCTTGGAGACGATCCCCTTCACCTCCTTCTCCTCAGCCACGGCCCCGAACAGCTCATTGTTGAAGATCTGACCAATATTGAACAGAGAAGAGGGATAATAAAGGATTAAGATCAATATAAATGAATCTACCTGTAACACATGTTAATCAGGGGTTTTAATGGCTAATCCATCCTCAACATCTGACAAATGGGAGTCAATATAGTAATATGGAGTGAAGTTCTTACATCGATGAGCATGTTCATGCACAGGTCCAGATCACCACTCTTTAGGGTTGGCCTGAGGACAGACAGCAGCTGGTACACTGTAAATGTTAGCACATGGACCTGGATGGGGGAGGGGCAGAAACAGTTCAGAGACAATACAAACATGTCGCTTCACAAAAAGGGTGATGAACCACCATCTACAAAAATCCTCCTTCTATTAAAGTGTATGCACTGAGATATTATTTTGTTAAATGACAATACTGCACGTCAAGCTGTCGTTCCATACATCTGTATGTTCGACCAGGGTATGTGTGTGTTCTTCTCTGCCATTTATTATATCTGTGTGTGCGCGTGTGTCCTCTTGCCTGGTAGCCCTTGACCAGGACGCTCTGCATCTCTTTGAGCAGGTACCGCAGGTATCTGCACCCCAGTGTCTCAATGATCTTCACCAGCGTTCCTCTTGCTACGTCACGTATCTCCTGGAAACGGTTCCTCAGCAGCACACACACCTTGATCAGTATCCTGGATAACATCCACACACGCACACACAAACATTTAATGGTATAGAAAATCATACGGAATATCATATAGCATATACATCATCAATGAAATGTCATATTCTTATCCTAACCATATTACAAAATCTTAATTGTCCCCAAATCTGTGGATGCCACACATGATTCATGTGTATTTGGATCCTGGATGACAGGATTACTTCTGATCTAGAGATTTTTCTTTCTCCATATGTTTAAAGACATTCACCAGCAACACACTCAAACACATGCAAGTGCACATAGCAGCATACCCAGGCAGGTTGGCCTCCATGATGTGTGGAGGCAGAGTCTGCATCAGTTTAACCATGGCAAAGGCTATCGGTACCCTCGCCACCTCCTCATCCTTCACATCCTTTGACTTCACCGCCTTGTGTTCCTCTTCACGCTTTACCTAGAGGACACACACAGACATACTTTCACTATTCCACTGCTGTTTAGGATTTTTACAATAGATGTCATGTGTCACTTGTGTGCAGTGTTGTACCTTTGCCGTGAGACACTTGTGTAGGCGTGGAAGCACGCTGTCTTTAACAGTCTGGTGGATGGCGCTGATCAGAGACTCCAGCTCCTCTTTGCTCTGTGGCAGCCCGCTCGCCGCCACAACAGGTTTAGGAGCCACTGGTCCCTTGACTTTAGTGGTGGCCATTTCCTCTGAGACACCATCCTTTTCTCCATCATTATTATCCGTTTCCATGGGAACATCAGATGGAGCAGTCTTATTGTCAATCTCCATTGCCTCCTCATCATCGCTTGCATCTGATTCGTCAGCTGCACCTTCATCCCCGTCATCTGCATTGACTGTGACGCTCCCAGCTTGTCAAAAATGTGTTGTTTTATTTAGCAAATTTTATACAGAGAACAAATATGAGTGGACACAGAACAGTTCTAATTAGTCATTCACCTTCTCTGGCTTTAGCTGCCTCCATTTCTCTGCTGAGGGTCTGGTGGTCAAAATGGAAAGCATCCAGGACTGTGACTAGCAAACTGGGTTTAGGGAGGGAGGAGAAAAGAAGAAGAAACACTTATGAAACGCTTTAAGTATCATGAATTAAAATGGAAGGAACAAAGGGCATTAAAAAGGTAAAAAGACAAGAATATAAAAAGCAATCCAATGGTCAAAAAAACGATTTAAAAGCACACAAGCTTGAGGAGAGCCTTACCTGACAGCCAGTTTCTGCTCAGCCTGCGCAGTCTGCAGGATGTGGACGAAGTGTTTCAGGTAGTAGAGGTACTTGGACCAGGTCAGCCGTCGACACACTGCACCCACCACCTCCACCGATGCTGACGTCATATTCTCATGCTGCAGCATGGGAGAAGAAGCATTTTTAGTTTTCCTGCACAGGTTTTAAAAAGTTCTCTCTCAAAATCAAACTTCATTACATTGCATTTCGAAATGAAATTGTATCCATTATGAAAGGTTGAGTGTAGATAAGTCACCTTGAGCATCTTTTCATCTAGCAGGGCCGTCATGGCGTACGGCATTATGTAATTCTGCAGCGAACGAGACGTCATGACCACCGTGCCCTCCGTCAGCTGCTTTGCCAACTTCCTCAGTGCGCGACCACGACGGTGGATCTAAACAGAGGAATGTGTTAGTGTTTGTGGTCCTACCTGTACAACAGTCAGATAACAGGGGAAATAAGTAAGAGGAGTGAGTTTTCATGGTTTCTTTCTCACCTGAATGTGCTTCATGTGCTCAAAGAAGTCAGACTCGGGATCGTTGTAGTCTGTGAGCTGCACCAGGTCTCTGAACTCTTTTCTGGAGGGAAAGATCTTCACCAGGCAGGCGAGCACAGTGGTGTAATCATGCTGCACACTCTGGTAAAGTGAAGGGGGTTAGTAGAGGAAGAGACAACATTTTAAACGTACATCTTCATGAGTGTGTGTAGTGGTTTCTTATTTGATATAGCTAGTGTGTTCAGAAATAGGAGGAAGTGTGTGTGTGTACCTCTGTCTTGCTGCGAAGCCCCTTGTGTACAGCATCCAGGATGGTGTGTTGCACAATGTCCTTGTAGATCTGTTCTCCAGGTCCGACCGCTGCCAGCTGGACAATCACTGCAGACAGACACAAGGTGGCGTTGTCTGCCAGCGACATGTCACCAATCTGCACCAAAGGAGGGACAATTAATGAAAATCTTCTTATGTTACAGCTATTAGATTAGACAGCATTTCTGTATCATATCTGCTGACCTCAAAGGTGTGGAAACAGTTGTGTATGATGGTGGTGATGTAGTCCAGGTCCAGAGTCTGCATGTCTTTGACCCGCCGGGTAGCCTCTTGGAAAGCCGTCAGACGCACATCAAAGTAGATCTCATCCAAGTGTCGACTGTCGAATGCGTTGAGCTGGAGAGGACGAGCGGGAAACAGTATGGTTGCCATTACTGACTGTAATAATGTGGAGCAGGTGAATCTGACCACAGAGGTTAAAGTGTAAATAATAAAACATCATATAAGTGTAATAGATGATCTTACCTTTGCTGCCAAATCAGTGATATATGCGAGTGAAGGCTCCAGATCTGACAGAGTCTGAAATCAGAGCAGCAAAGATAGATTAAGAGTAAGGAAGGTTAATTTAAAGATTCTCTTAGTTTTATTGAGTGGAATCATTATTTTGAACTACAACCATAAATAAATGCCAAATGCACATCTTCTCTCTATCATTCAAGTCAAGTCTGGGCTTGATATCAATAGCATAGACATACATCTGCACCAATTCAGTCATCCTCTACTAGTAATATTCAGCATATTCAAAAATTTTGTAACATCAGGCCAGTTCAATAATTCCAAACCTATTTGGCTTGTGACCTATTTAAATGACTCAACTTTTGAACCCTCATCACAGCTTAAAGAGGGATTAGTGTTAAAAAAAAAAAAAAAAAACATCTACAGAGGATCCATATCACTCTACTTTACTATATATAAATGCATAGGCTACATATATGCATACATACTTAGAGGACATACCAGAAGTGAGATTCAAGCAGTTGAATGCAATATGTAATGGTGATACCAACAATCTTGAATCTCAATTACTGTGTTCCTGTAATCACAATATTTTGTTGTCTGTCGGACCTGGAAGACGTTGGCGAGGGCCTGCCGGGGCAGCTTGTTGTGGATGATGGAGAAGAGTTTGCTGAGAGGGCGCAGGAAGGCAGACGGCTGCACACACTGCCGCAGCAGGTTTTGTATGGTGGCCAGGATGTCAATTTCTGTCTCCTGAAACAAACAAACTGAGGTAAATAACTGGTAGCATGAATACATACAATCTGTTATAAAAACTTCTAATTTGGCAATTTTTTCCTTGAATTGAATACAGACCCTAACATTAAACATCCATATCTTTAAGCTTTAATTCATAGAGATAGTCAGAGATGGTACAAAAAAACTTGGAGGCTCAGTTCAGGTAGAAAGCTCTTAATTTTACATTAAAACTTAACTATGAAATCAGTCTCATTCGAGCTGTCATAGAGCACACAATAATTTGTTAGTCTTACTTGAGGGTTGTTGCCTTTCTGGAGGTAGGGTAGCAACAGGCTGATGAGCACTGAGCTCTGCTCCTTGTCGCTCACAAATCGACTGACCCTGGGCGACAGAAGGCAACAAATAAAAAATAAATAAAAAAAGTTTAATGAGATGAAGCAAACCGCCATCACCTGATGTTTCAGAGAGAGAGAACATCTTGGATACAATAGAGCAGGAAAAAAAAATGAATTAATGTGATCTGTACTGTATTTCCTCAAATCTAACCAGTCAGTTGACAGTGAACTCACTTGGAGAGGATGTTGAGTTCCTTTGCCACCTGCGCTCTGAACTTCTTCTTCTTGAGCCTGTCAGTGTTGCGTACGACTCCGCTCAGGTAGTGCAGCAGAGTGGAGATGTGGGGAAGCAGCAGCCTGGAACCCTGAGTTAATGAATCTAGAAAAGCACAACAACACACATATCTAACAGTGGCCAGCATCGGATTAAGAAGAGATATACAATTAGGATAAAACAAGGAAAACTACATTCAGATTGTATTTTGAGGAAAACAATTTGCTCACCTGCAGTGACAAGAGCGCCCTCCCCAGGCTGCGGGAAAACACTGCTGTTGACGCTCAACCCTGTCTCTATCCCTGAGGGAACAAAGTCTTCTGTCGTTGCAAGAGACTCCGCTATGTCCATTACCATAGCGATGGTCACTGGGGAAGCCTTCTTGGCAGATAGGAGGGCAAAGACGTTAAGGAGGACATCACACTCTGAATGGTCTGGTCTGTGTTTGGCCAGAAGGGGGAAGTACCTGACACAGAAAGAATATCCATCTTTATTGAACTCACTCTGGATGAAAGACTCTATATGCTGGTTAATGTGATGAAAGGATGAGGAACAGATTGTGTTATGGGAAGAAGCCACAGACTGACCTGGCATTTTTGCACCACACATGGATGAGTTTCAGCAGAGGTGTCGGGGAGTAGGGGCTCTCTGTGGGGAGACGACACACCTGCACAAAAAAAAAAGAAGAAAAAAAAGAAAAAAAAAAAGAAATTTAAACTTGTAGGTGAACCAGAACTCTCTGGACAAAGACAACTAACACAGTAGAACCTCAGAAAAACACAGCACAGAAGCTGTTTGCAGTATGTACCTGAGGCCAAACCACAGCCTGGAAGACAGCATCCAGTTCGCTTGGGCTGAAGTTGTAGGAGTCAAAGCCGTCAAAAAAGTCCTGAATCCTCAGGATGCCGAGTCGCCTTAGGTTCTTCAGAGGACTGATGCAACCTGCCCTCAGCTACAAACAAAAAAGACAGAATACAGCACTGAGAAGCACTCAGAGGATTTTTTTTAGATATGTTCCCTTTTAAGAGACTTAAAAAGCACAGTTGTTGATTCCCTGAGGAAACAGTCTCCTTACACTGTAAGTAAGAATACTTAAAATAACACAGGAACTCCATCTGAACAGCTTCAACCATCTCAATTTGGTATTTTTAGGATGCTCTCAAGTCATCTTGCTGACTGTAATTTATACAGTATAAAAAAGAATTCAGGAAACAAACATTGAAATCACTATCAATCCTCATTCTGATTACCTGGTCCCTGTTGTCCAGGACAGTGGACACAGAGGCAGTGACACACAGCAGGATCTGCAGCACTTTAGGCAGGTAGATGTAGATGAGATGCCCCAGCTTCTGGATCACCACATTGATGATGTTCAGCAGGCCGTGCTGACGGCCCAGTGGCAGGATGGCGCTCACGTCTGTCTCAGCAACTGCCCTCTCCACTGCTGCCAGACAGGAACCTGAGGACACGGCACATGAAAAGATCAACGAGGGAACTTCTACTGTTTAAATGCTGTTTTTTCATGTCTGAGTCTCAGGAAATTTTTAGCTCAAGAGAGACTTGTTTTCTTGTGTAGCTCTTGTGCACTGAGCTGCAAACAGTATGATACACAATTGATACTCCTCAGGAGTGCAGTCTTCCTGTAGACTGCTGCCAGTGGCTGGAAGAAACAATTTATATAACGTCTATAAAATGTATTTATCAGTTCATAAAATAGCAAAAATAAAGAATGTGCCCTCACATCACAGGTTACCAGAGCACAAGTGAATGTTTTCAAATGCTTCTTTTGTTTTACCAGCTTAAACCCCAAATAATACATTTTTTATTATGTATAATCGAGCACCTTTGAAATTTGAACTGCCAAATATTACAGGTTTTATTTAGACTACATTACATTTATAGATTAATAATGAAAAAAACATGTTAATTATCCTTTTCTGTGGATTCGATACACAAGTCAAACAGAGCACGGAAAGAAATACAAACTCAGACAAACTTTTAGTTGTAAACAGAGAATTTTCAGAGAACACAGAATCTTAATGAGACAACCACGTGAAAAACAAACTTAATAAATGTTGATTGGGGTTGAAACTCAACCAAAAATCTAAACTGTAGTAGAGAATCCATTTTTCTTTCTAAAAAGGTAAGGCGTTTCCTGTAGCTTCTTATAATGTGTTTTTGTGTGGTCAAAAATGTTTTGTGACTGAGGAAATCTTTTATTTTCTACCTTGGCTGTAATGGCAGACGGGCTCCAGCAGCAAGTCGATGAACATTCCTAGCTCCTCAGCCTGGCAACTTGCCAGGAAACGCAGAATGATGGAGGACCGGGACGCGGAGGCGGCTTTCCCCTGAAACTTACTGCCTGCTTTACTGCGCAGACGCCCAAACAGGATCCTGTAACATGAACAGCAAAAACAAGGCTGGTGAGAGAATATCAAACTATAGATACTTGTGATAAAGCTGTCCCACATTATAATCAGAAAAAGGAAAATAATTAAAATGTCCTCTTGTATTTTTGTGCAAAATAGTTTGTCAGTGTAATCGAGTCATATACTACATATGACTCGAAAGAACGTGTGCACTGTTGAGACCACCTTGGCCCATTTCTGAAGCTTTCTAAAGTGGTAGAAAATGTTGGCAACAAGCAGCAGAGCGAAAAGACTGATTCCATGTAAACGACAGAATGAATGAAATAGAACCAATATTTATATTAAAAAAAAAAGATAAACAATTCAAGTGTGGGAGCCAGACTGGCTGGGGACAGAGTGTGCAAAAGCACACTCCTCTTTTGTAAACACTTCTACCTGCTTTCTAGCAAATAAAACTGATGAAATTAAACTATCAGCTGTCTTTGTGTGTTTTTGTGCTAATATGTAATCTATGGGTGTTGTTTTGTAGTTCAATAAATGACTCCCAAAATGAGCAAAGTGATCATTTGCAAGTTCAAGGAATAGTTGGACACTCTCATGTCTGTCATATATGCTAAATATGAAGCTACAGCCAGGAGACTGGAAAGAGCCTGACACTGTCCACAGGTACAAAGAAATCATTTAATGACACTTAGATGTGAGAGTGATATCAATCTTCTCATCCAACTCTTGGAAGAGAGTGAATAAGCATTTTAAACATACTTTGCAACACACATACAGGTACAGTACCTCATAAGCAGTGGGATCAGTCTGTCTCTGTGTGAAGCATCAACCACTCCCGTCTCCTCAGAAATGTTGAAATGGACAATCTCCTCTTTGAAGTTTTTGTCTTCCAGTAGCCTCTCAAGATTCTCCCTGAACAAACACACACACAAAAAAGAAAGAGGTTAAAACACAGAGCAGCATCCCTGGGACTTGCACCGGTCGCTTATAGTGGGTTCAACATTTTGTTCAAAGACTTACTAGCAGAGCACACACTCAAACTTAGGTCAAAGAAATTCCCATTTGTCAATAATAAAGTCTCATAACAATTTTATATGTGATTAATAAACAAAACAATAAGAAGCACTGTCTAGAAACCAGGTCAGTGTAACAGCTTGATGCTGAACAAAGAGCCACACATACAGACATCTGTAATTACAACCGGATCCACACATCTGTCTGCAGGTAGGCTGGAAGTGCGGTAAGTGGATAACTTGCTAACAGCTAGTGGAGGGTATAATGTCAGGCAGAGTCAGCACTGAAGTGGAGGTTAACATTCCTCTGTCTGTAACCATAGAGGGTTGGTGACGAGAGCCATAACTTTTCAAAGAAGCTCACAATGATCCCATTGAGGAAGAGGGACAAACTGGGAGACTGTTGGACAGAAATGTTATTACTGTACATTCGTTTTCCTGTTTGCCATCTCATAATGTGATGAAGGTAGTTTTCTCACTTGTATGGTACTATGTTGGGGTCTTTGTATGTAAGAACACATTCCAGCGCCACTCGCTGAATCTGCTGGTCCTGATGGCAGAGCAACTGAAAACAGACAGAGAGAAATACATCACACTGGTGGTTTGATGCCTGAGGAGCTACTCTACCTACTACTACTACTACTAACTGAAAAAGTCCAAATCGACTCAAACTCCCCATTCCTCGTTTTGAAAACCGAAAAAAAAAACATTCAAGAGAAAATACTCATGTTCCAGTAATAAGCAGCTCTTAATTGGTTTGGTTTAACGCCAACTGCAGATGCATTAGAAGTATTAGTATTACCTGGTTATACAGCTCACTGAGACTGCCCTCCAGGTAGAGAGCACGAGGGTTGGTGAACTTGGCAAAAACTTTCAGATGTGCAATCAGCTGTCTATGGGAGGAAAAAGAAAGCCCATTAAAACTTAACACAACCAACAATTGCCATAATAGAGAGCACAATCCTGTTACAATGTAACACCAATACAGGTACAATGGTCATTACATGTTGAAGGTTTTATTGTGACTAGATCATCAGTCAAATTATTCTGATGGTTTAGGTTTATCTTTGTAAGAAAAGAGTCAAATGGTTCAGTTTATAAGTTGCTTTCAGTCCATTCATTCTCTGATCCTTGAAAATCCTACAAAGTCTTCACAAATTCAAACATTGAGTATCAGTAACCTGATGTAGACGATGGTTTTGGAGGATGTATTCGGCAGCGAATATGGCTAACGTGTTAGCAAACCGTTGCCTATTCAAACATCCAGCAAAGCAACATTAGCATTCATTTGGAGTTATGTTTCTGTACACCTAATGAATGCAATGAATGACTGAAGGAATTGCTCTGTTGTGTTAACCAGCGAATGTTAGCCACTAACTTTGGTGCTAAGCAGTTAGCGCTCAGTGGGTAACATAAGTCTTACTTAGCAGCAGCTCTCCTTGGAGGTGCCTTCCTCTGCTGTCTGCCCCTCTCCTCCACATCCTGCTCCTCTTCCTCTCTCTCCTCTTCCTCCACAGCCATCCCAGACTCCTCTAGGGCAGCATCATTCCTCTTCCTTAGGTCCTGAGTGGGGGCTACCAGCAGGTCAGCGGGATAAAACTCATTCCTGACAACAAAAACAAAAACCCTCAGGACCTCCCACAATTCCTGTTTGTTATTTTTTTAAAGCTATATCAGGCAAACATTCTCCCTAATTATACGCTCTGTAAAAAAAAAACAAAAAAAAAAACAACTTACCTGATGAACCTGAGCAGTAGAGGACTAAGTTCTCGGCTGCGTGGTTCCACTCTGTCAGGATACTGAGCCATTGCACGCCACAGCAGGCTGCGGAAGTTGGGGAAGTCCGTCCTCTCATTAGGGTCACAGGTCAACTTCAGCTGCTCTAGGAACAGCACCCCAACGTCCCCACTTTCAATGACGTCACACCCCAGCTCACTCTGACGATTGGACTCTTCCTCTTCAGTACTGTCATCATCATCATCATCATCATCATCATCCTCCCGCAGTTCCTTTTCTACAACAGGCAGAGAGGATTTATTTTTTCCCCCTCACATTTCGATTGCATACTGTATTTCTCTTTGTTCAAGGCATTTTTTGCTAAATACCAATCATCAAATCAATGTCTTAGTATCTAAAATCCAATTCATGGCAATAAGTTGGACCAGAATCCAGAAGCCCAGAAGGCAGCCTTACCAGCCAGCCCTGCCACCATCTCCAGATGTTCATGGTAGACTGCCCAGAAGTCCTTGTTGTCCATCCCTCTGGCATGGCTCCTGTGAAGAGGAAAGAAACCAGTTTGTGCATTTTTAATATTTGTAAAATGTATTCGGCCAATTCAGACATAGTTCTGTAAAATAAATGTGTTTGAAGCTAAGGAAAAATGCCAACAACCCATGGTGCTGTGCATGGTTAGAAATTTTCACTTTATACGAAATTCTGATACTTTGTGTAATCACACAACTGACAAAAAAAAAACCAAATGTCTCAATAAATCAAAACATCACATTAATATTAATTTCAGCTGAATCTATTGTGGCTGGATTCTTTTATACTCACACAAGAAGCTCAATGACTGCGTCCCACAGTGGCCTGAAGTTGATGAACAACATTGCAATGAGGTAACGCAGAGGCACCTGAAAGAAAAGAAGGGGAACCAGGATGTTGTCATGTCTTTACTATTTAAATGAATAAAATAAATAAATTAAAACATTAAAAAAAACTATTAGAGCTTTAAACATTTGGTTTATTAATTGAATGGTTTGTCGACAGAAAATTAGTTCTGCAACTATTTTAATAATCGAGTAATGAGTAGGGAGGTCTTATTATACATTGATGTGTGGGCTGGAAAGTAAATTTCAAAATTCCTGGTTAACTTACATTGAGTCGTTAGGTTTGATCAACCAACCATTTAAACCTCTGCTGTAACTTTTTCTCTCTGTACCTGTTGGAAGGTGCCGGGGGGCCCCTGTGGCAGGCTGCGCTGCACCAGGTCGTGTCTCAGCTTCCGGAGGTGCAGCAGCTTCTCTCTATAGTCCTGCACTGAAGCCGGCACGAGCTCTGCCTGCAGGCAAACTGCAAACACCGGCTGCACCTCCACACTCTCCTCACCCTGGACAGAAGGAAGACACTCACACAGGTAAGTACACAAAAGACAATTATTGTTTGGTGTAGTTTATTGAGAATCTCGACTGACAGCTGTACCTCAGCCTGTGGAGGAAGTTCTGCCTCAAACTGAGAGAGAATCCTCAGAGTCAGGAGGCGAATCTGAAAGAGAAAACAACTAATAAAACTGAAGGAAATAAATGTAAATAAATATCTTAATAGCTCCTTTACTCTATTCATATTTTTTTTCAGATATTCTGGATTTATCTTCTTTTTAAAAACACACAAAGTTAATCTTAAGAATATGACATGGAAAAGCAGTAACTGTGTGTAGGTGACCTTCCTAAATCTCAAGGGATCTAATTTGCCTTTATTGTGACTGGAGACAAACCTTAGAGACGTTGGACGAGAGGTTGGCGTGCAGAATCTGGTAGAGCTCCAGCAGCGCACTGTGGGATAAATGCTCTGAAACACCGCTGAGCGACAGGCGGGTATAGTAGAGGTCTCCTAGCAGCAAGGCAGACAGGTCTGTGGGAAACTTCCTGTAATAGTAATAAAAACAATAATGATAAGAAATTCGATTAAAAAAAGGAAACCCTTGAATAGAAGTTAAAGTGTTTCATTGTTTAGTGTGATGATAGAGGACTTGGACACACATGGACAGGGATGCTGTGCAGAACACACCTTATAATTGAAGTGATCTTTTCCACAGGAAACAGTGAGAGAAGCTGAGCAGAGCCGTCCAGACTGAGGAGGCAGCTCAGGGCCTGTCTTGCTACAAACAGACCGGCTGGAGGGTGGAGGAACAGTGACAGGAGGGCAGGGCGTAAGTCAGTCTTAAGAACAGCAAAACCTGATGCACCATTCAAAATCTTGTTTGAGTAGACTCCAAAGAGAAACAGATTTATTTGTTTATGGGTGAAGTTCTCAAAAGCCTGATGTTTGTGATTACTTCAAGTCAAAGAATCATAACCCGTGTTCACTGGCTCAAGGAGTTCATTCAAACAATCAGTAGCATCAGTTCAATCTTTTTTGGCAGCTGATTATTTTTTTTAATAGATTAATCTATTCTTAATACTTTTATTAATTATTTAGACAATAAAATCAGGTTCCTAATAATACAAGATAAATTAGTTATCAAAATCCTCAGATATATTTTGTTGATTAAATGCTAATCACTTCAACCCTAATTAATCACACACTTTCCACACATGAAAATAAAAATAAAGTTGTCACAAACCTTTCCCCAGTTTCTCTGTGTCAATCTCACACAGGAGGTGGTTTAAGAGAGCACACACAGCAGGAACAACACTGGCTGGAGCCAGAGGTCTGGAAAATTAAAAACAGTAAATGAAATAGATGAGGAAAAATAAATGAGACATCAGTAAGACCTCTCAGTAATCCATGTGTGCAAGCGAGTGTGAGGAGAAGGAAGCCAGAAGGCGAAAGTTACAGCAACAGTCAGGGCTGCTGCTGTTTCAATAATTAAATCTTTGTAAATCCTATTCATTTCTTTTTGCTTTACATATTTTAATATGGAGGCAAACATTATCAAATTTACAGCTGATATGAAAAAAAACAAACAAACTCTAAAGTATCAAGTAATACTGTGATACAAGCTGGAGAATATGTTGTGCTTAAAATGTGATTTCACTTTTCCAAAGAATGTATGAACTTCCCTGACTCTACCTGCCTGAAATACATCTCTAAAAAACAGAAACTCTGTAACCAGGAGCCCACAGGTGTGGCAGTACATTCATAAATGTGTGTTGTGTGTGTGTGTGTCTCTTACCTGACATGTGGCAGCAGCATCAGGGCGGACCAAGGCAGCGACAGGTCAGTCATGGACTGGTTCTGGTCCCCAGGAAGTCTAATGAGAGACAGCACCAGCTCTGGCACTGGCTGCTCTGATGTCGTACTGCTGACCTGACCTGCCTCCTTACAGCTGAACACTCTGGAGGACATAAACACATTCATCTCATGGAAAAAATAAAATAAATATATGTGCATGACTCAGACAACCAAAGACCTTTCAAGTCTTACGTTAACTAGGATTCAATTTATGACCTAATTAGATGTGAATATTTGAGGTATACTGAAGTATCTCACCCTGTGGTCTGTCCAGTGAAGAGCAGTGGGTAGGTTTCAAAGGCCATGGAGCCGTCTGTCGGGGGCGGGGCTTTAGCAAGGATCAGGCTGACCAGCACCTCCAGGCCACAGTGGCGAGACAGGGCATCTCCACAACTGAACAACCCAGCTGTGAAGCGCAGTAGGCTGGGGAGGAAGAGCTGGATGAGAGGGGAGAAGAAAGATGTTAGGGAGGCACAGGCAGAGCCAGAGAAAGAGGAAAATACTGAATATATCACTCTAGTGACAACTCACCTGCTCAAACTCTTTCATGGTGAACATCTCCTTGGTGAACTCTAGGATCAAGTCTTGTCCCACTGTGCTGCTAAAGACCTGTTGAAGAAGACAGAGTCAGAAAAGAAGGTGTAAACACACACACACTTATTGACTGTAAAACATGAAGGTGTGAACTTTTTTTCTCGTCACCTTTTGAACCGTCTCCTGGATGAGTGATTTGGGCAGGCTGATGTTCTCCCCGAGGAGCAGAGAGGAGATGATCTGGAGAAGCAGGCGTGAACAAGGAGTTGACAGAGCAGAGCTCTTAATCAGCCGCAACACCATCTGCAGGCATGAGAGAATAAGATGATGAAAACATACAGTCCAAAGGAACAAGCTACATGATTGGCTTTACGGGGAAAATAAGGATTTTGTATATGTAACAATCTCACAAATCATTTCCTCCTCTTACCTGGCAGACGGCCTCCGGCTTGGTGATCTTGGCTCCGTCTCTGTGGGACACAAGGGTATGGAGAACGAACAGCAGCCTCTCCAACTGCTCTGTTGCCTGGTCTGCCTCCTCTCCCTTTGCCTCCATTACATCAAGGACCTCCACCACACTGACCTGCACATAGGTACACCAACACCAGGCACAAAGTTTAACAGTGATCTTGGAAAGTGGAGAAAGTACTTTAACTCAAGACACAGACAGTGCCTGAAATGAAGGGACAAAGATTGATTGTTTCAGCACTGTCATGACAGCGGAAACCTGAATAATGGTCAGTGGTATTATCTAAATTTGCACCTAATATTCTAACCGTCCTGCCTTACCTGTAGGGACTCCCATAAAATCAGGACGTGTTCTCTGTCAACGTGATTGGCTGCAGCCTGGGCCATGTGATCCAGAGCGTCCCTGACAGTGTCCCAAGGCAGTGAGATTCCTGGGTTGGTTGTGGGACCGAGCTTCCGCAGAGCCACAGGGAGAGCCTGGAGAGAAAGGTGCAGAGAAACAGAAAATGAAGATGTCTACTGTTACCATATTACCACATTATGATGCTCTAAATTTCTTGACTAAAAGACTGCTCTTTTAGCACAGCAGACTTCATTACATTGAATCCTACAAGCAACAAATCTCTATAACCTGACCAATAACTGGGTTTCTGAGGCTGCTACCAGCAAAGCAAAGAGGGTGCTGAATTAAATTAAAACCTTGTACAATATACAGCAGGTATTCTGCATAGAACCATCATTTAGTGTACATATAATGAAAACTCCTTTTGAAAAAAAAAACAAAAAAAAACAAAAACAAAAAAAACAACAACTCACATTTGCAGCACAGGAGTGGAACATGTTTCTGACTCCTTTGCACATCTCAAACAGCAGCTGACCCGCTCCTTCTGCCTTATCAGGGTGCTGCTGCAGGTCTGAGAACACATGAGTCAGCACGGCATCGAGATCTGGAACCTGTGGAATACACAGAAATATAAAAAAATATTTAATACTACACACTGACTTTTTCTTTTTTTTTTTTATTAAATCCATCCTAACAGTTGCCGACAATAAAAAGTCACAAAGAAGGAAAAAGTGAATTCATGTTTCGTGTGTGATTGCAGGCAAGTCTCCCACCTTTCTCATCAAGAAAGAGAAGCTCTCTGCTGCAAACTTGCGGATGTGTTCCTTCTTGTGTTCCAAAAGTGTGCTGTACAAACTGTGAGATGGAAAGAGGCATTAATGTCAACCAAAATGTGACCCGTATGCAGTCTGATTGCTAATAAAACTTCTTTTTTTGTGTATGTCACAGAACACAAACCATTGAACTAACCCAATTAGAACAGTAATTAAAAACAAGTTATAAACAAACAAAAAAAACAAAACAGGACTGTAAATAACACATCTTTTGCTTTCCAAATGTGATCAGGATATATTTTTAAATTGTCCGCGTTTCCAGGCAGAGAGTTCATATTTCATCTGTACAGCAGATGGAAAAAAAATGCCATTCAACACCCAGTACAGTGGAAAACATATTCACCAGTAAAACATCTGACTCCAACTGGTTTCTCACCTGTAGATGTTGGTCATGTCCTTCACCATGAGCCTCCACAGGTACTTGTAGAGGTAGGACAGGCAGGTGAAAGCCCACTCCAGGACCTCTGTGTCCTTTGTGTCCAGCAGTGAGGTGATGAGAATGAAGAAGTCAGGGAAGTGAGGGTAGAAGTCAGTCTGCAGGTCTCTGGCCAGCTGAACCACCAGGCTGGGGGTAGTAGGAGAGGAGAGACATAACTGGAGTCAATGCCATCCAAAGTTTTATAAGTAGTGTTGGTTTTAAAGCAACAAAAAAACACTTCTTGGCATTTGAACAATTCATTCTTTTGGTAAAACCGCAAATCACATGTGAAACACTTACTCCAGAAGTGGTTGGTAGGCCAGACTGTTGTTGACAGCCAGGTGTGTTTTCAAACTCTCCACTATTGACTTCTGATGGAAAACCAGCATGTTGAATGACTGGCTCTTGTTGGATACCTCTTTCAAAAACGTTGCTGTGGAGGAAAGGTGTCAGTTTTGCATTAGCTGCAATAACACAACATCTTTTCTCAGGGTTATGAGTAACAAGGTTAAGATATTTTTGTTCCTAACATGTCACTATGGCTAATGATGTGGTATTTCTTATATTGTTTACGTACTGAAATGCTCTGTCAAGTTGAGGTCTCTCCATTTTGTGAGTCCTTCAGAAAAGTATGTTTCTACTTCCTGCATAGAGAGAAAAAAAAGTCATTACCAAACATAAAATCATGAGAATATACTGAATAAATGTGATTAAAAATGAAGGTGCCATGATCACTGGCTGTACACACCTCAGCATAAGATCCAGTCCTGTCAATACGATGGATGACATCGATGTTGACATTGGCAAGTCTTTCAGCAAAAGTGAGAAACTGAAAGAGGAAAATTAGAGGAGTTTATATTCTGCTAGTGATTACAGCTTAAATGCCATCTTTCCAATAAGTTATTAAACAATCTTCCCTGTTATCAGTGAATTCCTCTACTTGCATATGATTAACAAAGCGGTACTACACCTAAGAAATGATTTGTGTTTATAAAGCTTTATCCCTTTTACTCTATTAGCATCATGGTGCAGTATATTGTGGACTCTCACCCTGAAGGTGTTCTCGGATTTGTGATACGAAGACTTCGACTTGATCTTCATCTTTGCGTCGATGTTTGATGAAAGGCAGTTTGAAATTCAAAGACTGGTACGCGATTAAAGCGATTCATGAAAACTACACTTTGTTTCTTCACTTAGCTGATGCTACAACTGTTTACACACACGCCGACACCAGGACGCAGCCATGTTGAACAAGGCATTATGGGAGTTTCTTTCTCCGCGTGTTGGGCGAAGAGAGGCGAGCAGAAGCGAAGACAAGCAAAGAGGCGAGAGAGAAATCCTCCCTTCATTTCCGCCGTCGTTTGAGGCTTTGGTTATGTTTCCGAGTTCATTTAAGTCTATAAGGCAAGGTTTAAACAAATAAATAGATACATTAATTAATGTATAATTTGTATTTGTAGGCAGACTTTAAACTGGTAGGCATGTCTGACTTCCAGTCAGGTCGGAGAGCAAAACTTAAACTTCCTACCGTTCAAAAGGACTTGGGGACATGTAAGAACGCGGATCTAAGCGAAAAAAAAGGAGGGGGGGGGAACTGTAGTTACAGTCTATGGAAAAAACGCACTCTGCCACGTTTAAATGAATCAAAAATCAAGCAAAGACAATTTAAAAATACCCTTTTCAGTATTTCACGAGCTATATTGTCATGACTTATGTAATAAAGACAAGATATGACCACTAGCAAAGAAAGTACAACTCCAGTTCAAGCTAGCTTAGCGTCTGTCCTATAATACATTTTTCCCACATGGCATTTCTTTCATTTGTTTTTGTGGAATAGACTTTGCTATGAAAATTTGAGTAACGCATAATTTCAACATAGGTTAAAACATCAATTAATTTAGCATTCAACACCAACCTTTTGCAGTCAACCAGCTCAACAGCAGTCAAACCAGCACCAGTTGTTGAATAATCCATCATCACAGCAAAAATTTAATGTCATGGCAGAAAATGCACAGGTGTAATTAATAACATTAATGTTAGTATTCCATTCAGGTGTGTTTATGCATGTTGGCTCACTGGCCTGGCTTATTTAAACACTTCCATCATTAATGTTATTAGTTACACCTGTGCTTTTCCTTCTGTAACAAGGAAACCATCAAACCACCAACTGTGAATGAGCTCCATTCTACCTTTTTGATTTTACCTCATTTACTTTTGTGTGTAAATTCTGAGTTTTGGAACATGTATGATGAGAAAAAAACTGACAGGTACAATATCACTAATTCACACATCTGTCATCTAGGAGCAAAGGCAAGGTTTCTAACAGTTTTTGGCACAGCTTGGGAATTTTTCAGGGCACTACATAGTACATACATTTTACAAAAGAATAAAATCTGGGATATACTTTACCCATTAAACAATGAATAATTGTGGAGGAGGTAGCTTTTTTGAGTGAGGGATATCTTTCATATATCGACCAATAGATATCACCAACACATCAGGCTGAATGTCACATTCTATACCAGTTTTCCAACTGCACTGAAATTAATTTTTATCCACCTGGACATTTGGCAGTAAAAGTCACAAAGAACTTCAGCCTGCTCCAGATGACTTAAATATTTTTACATCAAAATTCATTCATTTCAGCCATCAATAGTAACCATTATTTACAATTAACTTTCTTTTTTTTAATTTATGAAAAGAAAAAACATAGGCTACTGAAATTTCTTCTGCATTATGAAACTCCATGTTCTTTGCGTGTTGTCTTTTGCATCTGGATGGTACCAAACCCAGGCTGGCACCATAGAAAACTCCAGAAATAGGGCTCTTTGTAAAGGATATAATATACCATTACATCTATATTCCAGAATTAAGAAAAATATTATATATGCTATTAAAAAAAAAGTATGTGAGTTATTTAAATGTTTTTACATCTGTACTGATGAATGCTAAATGTGTGTGTGTGTGTGTGTGTGTGTGTGTGTGTGTGTGTGTGTGTGTGTGTGTGTGTGTGTGTGTGTGTGTGTGTGTGTGTGAAGAACTGATGATAGCTTTTATCCTGTGGTTAGGTGAACAGTTCATTCTGGCCTGTTGACTTCACAACATGTACCTGCCTGGAATGCTTTCTCTCTCTCTCTCTCTCTCTCTCTCTCTCTCTCTCTCACACACACACACACACACACACACACACACACACACACACACACACACACGTAAAAGGTTTCGGTCTGTAGTCCTGCTTCTGGCTCAGCATTGACTGAGAAGGTGACGTGCCAGGACCTCTATTTATCCACAGAGGACTCTCTGTTTCTGAGAACACATGAAAGAGTTTCTGCAACTTCCTGAACAGTTTTATTTCTAGTTTTGGTCTGAATTCTACCAAAATGTCAGCGGAATCTCTGGTTGCTGGCTCCTTTGTGGTAGCAGACTATGTGGTCTTTGCTCTCATGCTGATGGTGTCCGCTGCTGTCGGGGTCTACTACGCCTGGGTGGACAGGGGCCAGAGAAGCTCCGGGGACTTCCTAATGGGGGGCCGCAGACTGACGGCCCTGCCTGTCTCCCTGTCCCTGACCGCCAGCTTCATGTCAGCCATCACAGTGCTGTCAAATCCAGCCGAGGTAAGATTCCCAAGGGACAAATGCAAAAAACGTCTCTTGTGAAAAGTCATTTTGTGTCTGGTTCAGTCTGCAGGATGTATTTTTATGATACAAGAAAACTTTTTTGGTGAGGGGAGATCACTTTTCCACTGTAGTTCATGACTGTTCAAGTGAATCAGAGACATAGACTATGAGACGTGTTTGGGACATAAACTTAACACTTGAACTCATGAGCTGTAAGCAGGCTTATTCATTGCACCTGTGGAATTAGAGCTCATAGGAACATGTTTAAATAATTGAATTAATTTACAGAAAACATAATTTGAAGTAGTGCAAAGATGAAAAAAAAAAAAAAAAATCCAAAAAGTCAAATTTTGCATTTTATTCTGTAGATCTGAACTGAACTGACAACTGGCTGATGTCATCAAGACCAGTATCAGCGTGATGTTTCAGCAAACCAGAATCAGTTTAATCAGACAATAAATCTTTATGTAAAATCTCACAAGACACGCTCACTGAACACAAACAGAGACTGACTTCATTTCCTCAGTGTTTACTGGAGGGTTGTGGATAGATATAATTGATCTACTTTATGTGGCTTTGTGGTTTTTCCTTGCTAGTCAAAAGTTCACATCGTAATTTAAATTCCAATTTCTCCACCTTGCCACTTTACCATGCTCAAATGAATGATTTCTTTCATAACTTGCAAAAATCATAGAAAACATCAGTAATTCATATTATCTCTGGTCCTTAGGTGTATCGCTACGGAGCCAGTATTGGATTTTATGGTCTCTCCTATGTAATGACGATAGTGTTCACATCTGAGGTCTTTCTTCCAGTATTTTACAGACTTGCTGTCACCAGCACGTATGAGGTGAGTGTACTTTGGCTTTCAATGTATGTGCTGAGTTATTTATATTGTTTTGTGTTATGTTATTGGTGCGGTTTTGCATTGCAGTGGTTGAAATTTTCCTTTTTTCATAAAGGCATGAAATACGTACAATGTTTTGTGTACCTTTAAAACAGTAAAAAAAAAACTGACCCAGATATTTGACTGTTGTTGTCTTACTGTGCAAATACAAGGTTGGTGTAAGAGTTGTTAAAATTGACATTGAAACACTGAAGAGCACGTCCCTGTTGTAGTCTGACGTAGATATGGCTCTGCTCCTAAAAGTATGTTGAAACTGAGTTAGGTAAAAGTGAGGTGAGATGAGTTTGGGAAGGTTTGGTCAGAGCGGAGTGAGATTGTTTGTTGGTTTGGTTCTACATCAGTAAAAGTGTGCTGCAAAGGGTGTGGAGGGCAGCAGGCTACTGTGTAGTTAAAGCTACAGGCATGATTTGTAAAATAGGGTGGCGGTTGGGATCAGAAATTATGAAGCAAAGCCAGAAGACTGGATAGACTGGATGTGAAAACCTTTTGTATTATCATGCCAAAAAATTGTCCTGAACTTACTGACCTAACTTAGACTGATCACAGGTCTGTTACTAACCTTTTATATTGTCTGTTATTTTCTGCGTGTCATGTCTCTGCCAAGTATCTGGAGCTACGTTTCAATAGAGCAACCCGTCTGCTAGGAACTCTGCTCTTCATTGTGCAAACAGTGAGTAAGAAGCCAGTCAACACATAATTACAGGACTTTGACCTGTGTGGGTCAAACCACAAATCCAACACCCACTGAGGGTCATTTATGTTGGAATTGAATCTCTCTTTGTCACAGATTCTCTACACTGGAATCGTCATTTATGCCCCAGCTCTAGCTTTAAACCAAGGTATGTTGGTTTCAGTCTTCAGCAGTCAGGTTAGCACCACATACCTACATGAAGGCACTTAAAGCTGCTTGGTTTTGCTCAGCTGAGTGACCACTGCCTGAAAGCCTCCTTCTCTCTGCAGTAACTGGTATGAATCTGTGGGGTGCAGTCATCTCCACAGGTGTGGTGTGTACTTTTTACTGCACAATGGTACGTAACACACTCTGCTCTACTGAGTTCTGCTGTGCACATAAACAAAACTGAATAAACCTTTTAATTTTTTATGGCAAGTATTGACATCACTGATTGTTTTCTCCAGAATTTCTATTCTTTGAATTCCTGGATTTGAATGTACAGTCGACACAACACCTGTCTGTGGTTTACATTGTTACAGGGTGGTCTGAAGGCAGTGGTGTGGACTGATGTCTTTCAGGTAGGCTTCTGGATGAAAACAGTAACTGGTCCTACACAGTCAGATTTGTGAGGGAAAAAACTGACAGTTTAACTGGATATGTCACATATCATATGTGCTAGCAACAATACTGTAGACAAGTGTTTAATACACAGCTACACTAGTCTAAGCCATCTCAGTACGTATACACCAACTGTTTTGGCTCGTGTTTTGGAATAATGTATTCAGCTTAGTATGCTGTATGTGTATAATAGTTTAAGGAGAAAATGATGACTGTTACTGGGACAAAGACAACCCTAAAATATGTACATTTTCCCCTCCAGCTTGGTGTCATGCTTGCAGGTTTCCTGTCTGTCATCATCAGGTCCGTGGTCTTAAAAGGTGGAGTCTTCCCCATCATTTCAGATTCAGAACAAGGAGGGAGACTCAATTTTTGGGAGTGAGTATGATCAATGAAAACATTAAGTTGCTAGACCTCAGGTAAACAGTGGGAAGAGATTAAACTCTCGACACACAAGGTGCAGGAGCAGTACATTGTTGTAATAATATTATTATTGTACTATAACAGTATATAATTATATGTGAACATTTTGATCTTCTACACCAGAGTACTATCTTTCAGCCATGTGGCCACCACTGGGCAACAAACAAGCTGCCAATGAACTGAAACATCCAAACCATTCATGTTGCCTCTCTCTCTCCGTGGTGCTGAAACATTTAATCCCAAACTGTGTTACTAAATCAGAGGCTAGATCCTCTGAAGTCTGCAATTCTATATTCATATTATAATCATAACAGGTGTTTTTGTTTGAATTTGAATTTGGAGAAGACAAATGGAGTGTCCAGGTGATCTTCATCAACTTCTTCAATCTGCAAATGTAACATAACCTGGTAAATATTTATGTTCCGGTGGTCATTGATTTCTAGTAAATACAGTATATTACTTAGACCAATTAAAAAGCCATGCAAGACATAATTAATAATAGGAGTCAGACACAAACTCCATGGCTTGTTCTTTATAGCTGCTATGAAAAAAATTGAAGTTACACTATATATTATGTTATACTTTTTGCCAGTTGTGTGTTGTGTTGAAATTACACAACTCTGTTCAGTCATTATGGAACATTTGTCAATTTACCACTTCTGTTTACACTTTGTCAGCAATTTATGGGAAGTTTCCTGGACATAATATTTGACTTACAAGTTGGCAAGGTCCTCCTAGATACACCATTTGTTTTGCAATCTATGAGGCCAAACCATTTTATTTGAGAAGGAGGCTTTCAGGTTCTTTGAAGGAACACATCTTTGTGAATGGTGATCCAGTTCCTGATCTAGGGGACTGCTTAATAATTTCTGGCAACAAACTGTTGTCTTTTTTTTGTTTCACCAGCTTTGACACAAACCCTCTGAGAAGACACACTTTTTGGACCATAACCATTGGAGGGACATTTGTTTGGGTCAGTATCTATGGGATCAACCAGGCCCAGGTTCAGAGATATATCTCCTGCAAGAGCCTCGGTCATGCCAGAGTGTGAGTCTTGTTTTACAGGGGGGTACATTACCAGGACACATGGTGGGGTGTACCTATTCTTTGTGCTCTTAAAGGAAATCTTCCCCATAGCTGGGGAATTAACACATTTATCATGAAACATAGAAGTAGCTCCTAATGCTTTTGTATGTTTTTTGTGCTTTGCATTTAGTTAAATGTCTATTTGTGTTTCTTCTCATATCCAGATCTCTGTACATCAACCTTTTAGGCCTGTGGTCCATCTTGTTATGCTCAGTTTTTGCAGGAATGTGTCTCTACTCTGTCTATAAGAACTGTGACCCATGGACAGCTGGCCTGGTTTCTGCTCCTGATCAGGTATGATGGAGAGAGGTATACTACAGCTGTAACTGCGATCACTGGCTTAACAAAACACACATAGCTGTAGTCACCAGAAAAGAAACATTAGATTGAAATACAGTAATCTAGATTTTGTTGTATGTTTTTACAGATAATCAGCCAGATGTTAATTTTCTATGTGAGATACCAGGATGTTCCAACTTAGATGAGAGGTTGATTCGTTCAACTAATGTTAAACTATTATGCATTATTATAATATGCACTGAGAGAATCCAGTCCTGTAGATGATGTGTGTAATCCACTGTCACTCTTCCTCTGTAGCTGATGCCATATTTGGTGATGGACATCTTGGGAGACTATCCTGGCCTTCCTGGACTATTTGTTGCAGCAGCATATAGTGGATCTCTAAGGTTAATATGGCACTTGACATTATTTTATTTTAGTTATTTCACTCACTGTTTTGCTTGCCACATTTCTTTAAGCAGATTGTAGTTATGGTAAAAATATATCATAGGTGATATTAGGTCTGTATAATTTTTAATTTCTTCATTTATTACTTATTTGCTCTGAATATCAGCTCCTGTCCAGTGCTACAAAGTAGGGCTGACAGGGAGAAAAAAAAAGGTCTTTACATGTGTATATATCGAGTAAATTTTGTGTGTCTTTTGTGTTATATCAACCCCCAGCACAGTGTCTTCCAGCATCAATGCGCTGGCTGCAGTGACGGTGGAGGACCTGATCAAACCGTACACTAACATGTCTGAGAGACACCTGTCCTGGATCTCTAAAGGACTGAGTGAGTGGATTGTCCTTGCGTACAATCTTTCAGCTGAACGAGGTGTCTACTGAACGCTGATACAGTCAGGTGGTAATTAAAGGTTGAAATCTCTGTTGTTTGCAGGTCTCGTATACGGGGCTTTGTGCATCGGAATGGCTGGACTAGCTTCACTCATGGGCGGGATTTTGCAGGTAGAGTGGATCTGTTTCATAAGTGCTTCATATTGTAGGATGTATATAACTGTTAATTATACAAATATTTGTAGCCTTTTGAATGAGTCTCTGCCTTGGTTATTAAAAATCAGCCCTGCAATTTAAGTGAAATGTGTCTCTTCGTACAGGCAGCCATCAGTATATTTGGGATCGTTGGAGGTCCTTTACTTGGCCTGTTCACACTGGGTATCCTTTTTCCATTTGCCAATTCCAAAGTAAGTCTGTTCTCTTTTAACTGGACATTAATCCAGCATCGTAAATGAATTTTGCTGGCTGTAAGGGCTGTGATTTATTTGATCCATTCATACTGGTGTAGATGAAGTTATTAATAATGTACTCTATAAGATTTATTATAAATTATAAGGTATCTTTCCAAATTCTTTATAGCATTTGCCCGCTTACCACCCCTTTGGAGCTCCTGTATATCATTTATAGCAGATCCTCTTAAAAGCACATATTGGCATTTTCAGTGATTTAAATGCTTTGTAGGGAGCTCTGTCAGGTCTTGTGTCAGGGTTGGTCGTGTCCCTGTGGGTGGGCATCGGAGCCCAGATATACCCTCCCCCATCTGAGATGACTCGACCCCTGCCACTGTCCACTGAGGGCTGTAACTTCACCGCTACAGACAGCCTCAACTGGACCTCCACGGCTCTGCCAACACAACTAACCTCCATCACCACAGCCCCAGTACACAACCTTGACAGCAGGTAAATGTGTAACTAATTGTAATTGATTATTAGTTTGATATTATTTAACATAATTAATATCCCCAGTTGAGGTATGGGTAGTGCCTACCTGTAAGGATGCAAAATTGTAGCGTAAGAACATTGTGATCAAGTTAGTAAGATGTGATATATTAGTATTGAGTTTAAAGAACATACAAACAACTGACCCCACGTAGAAAGACATTAGAAATCAGCTAGTGACTTTTTGTTGGAATTATTATTTACTATTATGTCCTATAACTACACAACCCTGAATCAGCCTGTTTTGTTTGTCTAAATCTCTGCTGGAGAGTCCAGTTAAACACAATGACGATATAAGGATGAATTTAAAGATGTTGATGTCACAGTTTTGCCTGTATGTGCAAGTTTTTACTCCTCGTGCACTAATTTCTCAACATTCTCTACCACCACCAGGCCTGGGCTGGCAGATAACTGGTACTCTCTGTCCTACCTTTACTTCAGTCCCATCGGAACCATAGTATCTATTAGTGTGGGGCTGATAGTCAGCCTGCTCACAAGTAAATAACATTTAAAAGTACTTTGGTTATGAAAATCAAAGTAAGTTCTTCACTGTTTTGTGATGAGCTTCAGGTTGTTTTGACGTGTTCTTAATGTACATTTCAGGAGGCTACAGGCTGAAGGTGGAATCAAGGCTTACACTGATGAAAGAAGACACAACTCCTTATTACCTAATCAAGTTTTTCAAAGACAGAGTAAGTACTGCAGCAGTGAACCACATATCAAATGCTACAGACTAATAACAGCTGCTGACTTCTGCTTTGTGCTCTTCCCTCTCAAGGTCTTGAGACGAACAGGAAAGTTTGACCTGACAAAGGACAGAGACAAAAACTTTGGCAACACAAATCCTGCTTTCTGTGACACTGAGATGAACTTAACAAAAACCACCATTCCCACATGAAATGATACACATTTTCTAGATTTGTTTTTTGCATTTGTTGCATGTTCTTAACACAAAGGAGGAGTCATATTCATATATTATAGTCTAATACAAGAAATGTCAGGAAAAGGATTTAAATTTCAAGAAAGAAATGTGTGATTTATAACAAATCGAGATGCCACTGCTTTAAAAATATACATATGCACAATATTTATTTTTGTTCTCTGTCATATTATTATATCATGCCATTTAAACATGTATTTACAAATATTTGGTGAAATTTAAAACACAAATTAAAGCTCTGACATTGTAATATATTATTATTGGTAGTTCAGAAATGTGATTTTGTCTCTTCCCGAAATGACATTCATAGATTCATACATTACATAGATAATGAGTATCTAATGTGTGTGTCTGTGTGTGAAGTTCTGTGACCAGAACAATGCCTCCTCTTGGCTTATTCACTTCATGTACCTGTCTGCTGAAGCAAGGACACAAACATATAAACACACACAGTCTATACTGTAGGAGATTAAAGGTCTCAAGGCTGTTTTACTGTTTGTCATTGCTGAGTGAGAAAATATTTTGTGGACAGACTTAAGTTATTTGAAGTTTTGGTCCGACTTCCACCAAAAATGTTAAGGGGCTCTCTGGTAGCTGTGGCGTTTGTTCTTGAACTGGTGGTGACTGCTGGAGTTGTGGTCTACTGTGCCTGCGTGAACAGGGGCCAGAGAAGCTCCAGGGACTTTCTAATAAGAGGCTGTGGTCTGTGAGCTCTGCCTTCCTCCCTGTCCCTCACTGCCAGCTACCTGTCAGCCTCTGTAGTGCTGGCCAACCCAGCTGAGGTTAACAGCAGATAGACCCTTCATGCAAAAAACATCTCTTCCTGATCCAGCCTGTTGAATGTTAATTCCTCCATTAATGGGGTAAGATGTTTTTTTTATCTGTACTGAAATGTTGGTTTAATTATTTTAGGCAGCAAGTTGAGATGATACTTATAATAATAAAAATAGTACATGTTTTAATTTGTGTATATAAGTTTTAACTCTTTATTTTTTTATTAGTTGGTTAAGTTTCCTTTTTAAAAAAACAATTTTAGTTGTTTGAAAATCTTTCATTTTTTCTCAGTTTGTGAATAAGTTTTAATTCAATTTAATTTGCAGATAAGATATTTAAAGTTATTTTAGATTAGTTGGTAGATAACTTTCATTTCCTTTTAGTTTGTAGAGTGTGTAGTGTGTGTAGTCTTCGATTTCTTCTTAAGTTGTAGATAAGTTTTAACTTTTTCATTTCCTATTAGTTTTGGCTACTTTATTCCTTCTTAGTGTGTAGACATATAATGTAAGTCTTTCAGGTTTTTTAATATTGTCTACACAAATTTAAAGAAAAAAAGTAATGGTAAGTTTTCCCAAGGAGTCTTTTTCTTTTTCTCTTTTCTAACTTTCCTTTTCTTCACAGTTTCCTCAAAATAAAAACAAAAAAATTATCCAAAAACTCACAACAAAATAACCTGAATGTGTGGATGGTACATTTGTCTACAAGTTGTCACAACTTCATGACAGGGGTAAAGGGCTTCAGGAGGGTCTACTAACAATGATCCACCAAACAGGTTTTTGCTACAGTTCATATGTTGGCGTAATGACAGACTACTTTGGTAAATCTCCCATTTCGCACTAAGTGGATTTTCTTAATGAATGTCAAATTTTATCTGATGAGCAAGTTAAAACATTTATTAGGTGTGTTATGTCAATCTCATGAATTGAACTGAACAAAATAACATTGATGTACAATAATACCATAACAGTCTTTTATACTATATTTTTCAATTTTATGGCTCTGCCAACAGAGCAACCCGCCTGCTGGGAACTGTGCTGGTCATTGTTATGACATTAAGATGACAGTCAGCACATATTCTAATTCAATTTTTTTTCCATCTAATTGTCCTACTGTAATGGCAAAATAACCAATTTAAGCACCATTCATGGAGACAATACCCAAAATTTTACATCAGCCATTTGCTTAAATAGATCCCACAGCCAGAGGGCACTCTTGACTGGTTGATGTGCTTTAAGTTTGCTCTGATACCTAGACATCTGGACCGATGTGTTCCAGGTAAGCCTCTGGATGGAAAGAATGCCCATGTTGTGGTTGGTGTAGTAATGCCAGTAGTAGTAGTATAACCTCTGTCACTGACCGCTGAGGACTGTGACTCCATCACTACAGACAACTTCAACTGAACCAGGAAGAAAAACTGGTAATTGGATATTTGATTGACTCGTAAACTGAATGCGGGAGTAAGAGTACAGGTACATATCAAATGGAACAAAGAAATGCTACTGGTTTGATATTAGTTGCAATATTTGACATCTGCAGCTGAAATAATGACATTTACCGGGAAGGGTTTCAAATTAAGATGCAGTGTAAGATTATTGTGACACCGAAGCAGCATAGTGAACCTATTATATCCTGGCTTCAATATAACACCTTTATTTATCAGAATAAATTTATATTTTATATATGAATTTATATATAAAATTATATTTATGAAGAACTCAGTATATCATTTTCTAAACCTTAGAGTTGGGTTCTCACAGGAGGGGGTTGTTTGATGTGCAATGAGAACTGTGCAAGATTTCTGAGATATTCATATCAACTATCAATTTATATTTTATATATGTTTCCTATATAAAAAAACAAAAAACAAAAAGTGAAACAATATGAAAACCTATATACTGGTCAAAGCTGCAAGAGCTCAAAAGATTAACTATTTGTTGTGTAATTTTTACCTTTCTTGTGTTTATCGCTTCTTGTAAAAAATACAAATATGTTTACAAAATTATTTTAAACAAACAAAGAAAAGGAGTTAAATTATTGGAGAAACAATGACATCACTGTTTTAAAACATCTGTACAGTTTTGCAAAATTTTGTTTTGATTTCTATTTAATAGTGCATAGATACATGGTCATGTACATTCGTTCTTCAAGAAATTTAACCATGTATTTACAAATATATATATGTACACTGTAATACAAAATACATTTCACAATGTGGTTCAGTCAGTTCCTCTGCGCTTCTACAGGTTATTACAGATCAGGTGTAAGTCTGCTTCTTTATTATTAGCTGTAACTTCTTGGCAATGGTCATGATCCAAACACCAATGAAATGCCTAGTAACTTTTCTGGAAGAAAACCTGTGATATCAACATACATACAATATTTGAGATTAAAAACACTGACATTAAGATGCGACTTGTGTCTAAAAAACACAAAGCACATTCTGTAACAGCCACATTATTATCACTTTCTGGCACTTATTGCAGATGGATCTTCCATTTCCCTTATGAGGCAAGCATATTTTATTTATGTAAGGGCAACCGTCGGGGGTTTGTCATTTCTGCAGAGTAATGTGTAGTAAATATTATTGACACTTTGACTCAGTGTTCACGCTGCCCGTTTTAATTTCAGAAAGATAATCTGAATCTGTGTCTCTGTGTAATTACTTTTCTGGTTCATAATACCTCTGCTTCATGGCTCGATATTTCCTGAGGAAATAGAGGGCCTCCAGTTCCTTGATGACAAACTCGCCTCGGGCCACCAGCTTCTTGACCTTCTCGGGGTCTGTCACGTCTTTGTTCTTCATGAAGGCTGACTTCAGGCGATCTCTGAAATACGCTGATCCCTGGGGGTACTCTCGGCCAAGATACAGCAGCTTAAGGAGAAGGACAACCACACTGTTACACATTATCAGCACAAGATACAGCAGACCCTCGAGTCTAGAAGTGCGTGTCACTGACTGATTCACTTACCGTTTTGTAAAGTCTGATAACCTCACCCTTTAAAGGGTTGGCCATGTCAGGAACGAGGTGTCCTTTCACGTTCCTGAAACGAGAGGAAATGTAATACAGAAACAAGAATCGTGGTGATCGTGAGTGAAAGAAGCCAGACAGCCAGGCTAACAATAGAATTAGCCAGCTAGCTAGCTAGTTAGATAGTTAGCATTTACCTCATACTACATCCCTCAAACTCTACAAACAACTGTATTAAACAATGCATTAATATTTACACGCGTTATTTTGCTGGGTCGGTTTCCTCAAGCTGTACTGAAAACGTGTCCTTTTCACTTTGTCCTTCCTTTACCTACAGTGTACATTTCAGTTGTACACTCAGTCGTATGTCGTTTCGTCTTATGTCGTAAATAAAAACAGAAGACCACGCATGCGTACATGTTTCCATGGTTACTGGACGCTAGATTTTCATAGCTTCAGTATGGTGAGTTTTTAACAGTTTCTTTCAAATAAATTGCCCCTTTTTTGGCCTTAAACCAATAGTTTAAGAGGCAGGGTTTAATGCTGACTATAGGTGATAGTTACATATATATATATATATATATATATACATATTGAAGGTACGGCTAAAGTTAAATAAAGTAATTTATATGACAGTGAGAACAAGGCTGCAGTTAGCTGTACTGGTTAGCAGGCGAGTTAGCAAGAAATACCTTTAATTTTAAATTCTCTGTCTTTTCTTCATTTTCATTCTAACATTACCCTGTATCCTGTGCCTTGAATTTATGACTTAAAGCATGTTATTCTTTAACTCTTTCTCCATGTTTTCTCCTGTGAATGATAGCCGCCCAAGAAAGAAAAGGTATGAGCAAAAGGCAGTCACCACATTCTCTCTTTTATAACTAAATCAATCAAATCAGTTCTGTAGTCAAAGATGCAGAGTACACAATCCCCTTTTCCCTAACAATCTACCCATTTCCAAGTAAGTATGGATAGGCCAGTGAGCTGCCCTGTTAAACACTCATTTATAATGTTTTGCTGGTTTGAAGTCATCCAAAAAGGGACGTAAACCATCCAAGGCCCAGAAGGCGAAGCAACAGCAAGAGGAGGAGGAAAGGAGGCTGCAAGAGGAAGGTAAATCCCTGTCCCTTTAACTGGGGCAAAATGATAAAATACAGGTATTTGTTGTAAGCACTTGTAAACATCCGCTGTACAGTGTGTGGCATGAAATTCAACAGTAAGATGATGAAAAGCAATCTGTTTAATCTATTTTTGAGGTTTTACCAGTCACTGTTTAGGAATAAAAAGAGATTCCTACAGTTTTAGGATATGTGCTGAGGTACTCTGTACATCCTTTATGTTTTTGCTTTACAGAGGAAGCTCGGCTACAGGCAGAGAGAGAGGAACTGGAAAAGTTGGAAAGAGAGAGAAAGGAGAAGGAGCTGGAAAAGCTAGAATTAAAGGTAAGATGTCCCTGTGGAATATAATGCCATGTTAGTCATGTTCAGTGATACATTAAGCTATAGAGTGTGGAACATCTGATTCTTTTTCATTTTGAGAATAAATTTTGTTTCAAACAAGCCCTGTTTGCTATCTATCTATCTATTGAAGATAAGTCCTGTAATTTCCTCAGGAAACACACAGTCGTTCACTGTTGTCTTGAGTGGTCATACTTTTGTTGCAGTGTTCAATGATGTATTTGTCAACAGGACAGAGAGCGCAGAGAGGATGAGCTGAATGAACTACGCCATCTACTGGAGAATAATCATACTGCAGTAACCAAATGGAAAACTGATGCTATGGAGAAAGCCAAGGTGTGTGTTTTTTGTCTGTGAGTTATTTAGTTAGAGGGTAGAAAAATAAGACTTTAAAGTGGATACACAAACAACAACACCACCAAAAATGATCTTAACAGATTTCTCATGGCTGATAATAAATATACAGTATATTTTTTGTGTGCAGTGGGAGAAGTATATGCATTGTGATGGTACCCCTGACCCAGCAGTACAGCGGGATATTAACACATATATCAGCTTATGGAGAGATGACCCAGAGGTCAACATCACATCTGTGCTCAAGCAATGTAACCTCGCTCTACAGGTCTGTATTTTATGTTTAGATGTGTGTGTGTGGCTTGAAATTACTTGATTAGTCAAAGGACAAAAATAGAGAGGTAAACACTTTACCATTGTTCCTTACACTAAAAACAAGACCATTTGAGAACATGCCGATATAGTCCTTCCATAGAAAGTATAATTAAAACTAGGGTATCAAGAGGGAAGCTGAGTCCTAGAAATGTATTATTTGCTGCATTCTAATGTTACCAAATCGGAAAGCATGCACATTTTCACCCTTATAGCTGGTTGAGGAGCTGGAGGGTCTGCTCAGAGACGTTACAGATCCACAACAGGGCCAGAAGTACCAGGAGGCACTCATAAATTTGCAAGAGCTGATCCACTCTAAACACCACCGCACTTCTGAGGAGATTCTCAAGGTACAAAATTATAATTGCCATTGTGCAGTACTTCTACACTACACTACTACAGTGTAAGGAAGTGGTATGTAAACATTGGTGATTTATCATGATGTCTGTGGATTCCCTATTTTGCAAGATATGAAGCAATATTGCAAACCCCTTTTGTTGTTTATGTTGTGTGTCTCCCTGGTTACAGAGGGCCAGTGAGAGCATTGACACCGAAACAGGCAACATGCAGACTGTGGTAAAAGATGACAACATTACACTATGTCTGTGGGCCAACCTCAAAAAGGATCCAAGGTCTGTGTGTGGTAGAAGCTACTACAAACATATTGTATAGGTTATATGTTACAGTAAAAGAAAAGTCTGTAGATTGAACATCTGTTTCTAACTGTACCATTCAGGTTTAAAGGATTAAACTTTGAAGAGGTCAGCCTGGGCTTTCAGCTTCCCAAGCAGTTGGCTGTGAGCGATATTGCTGTACGGATTCTCCACACACACTACGACCACCTGTCTCTGCTTGCCAGGATGGCTCACCTGAAAATACCCACACCTAGCTCCAGGTGTGATATTACTGCCAACACTACAATTACTATGATTTTCTTCACAGTAATAATAATGCTGGTAATACTAACCTTGTCTTTCCCCATCTGTTCGGTCCCAGGTCTCTTGCAGGGGGTGACGAAGTTCCCGCAGACATAGATCTACCTGAGCAGGGGGAGACAAAAGAAGATGAGGAGGTGAAGAATGACAAGGAGACTCAACAGCAAAGAGTGGATGAGGAGGTGCAGTCCATCCGAGGGTTAGAAGGGAGGAAGATAAAACAAAAGATAGAGCGACTGGGCTGGGTTTTTACATTCAATGTGATGTTTTCATTCTTATTGTGTATGTTTCTCACAGAGTGCAGCCAGTCTCCAGCCTGCAGAATGCCAAGAGAGTCAGATACAGACACAGATGGAGGCACTCGGTGGTAAGATGCCCAATCTAACACTTCCTGACGTAAAGACAGCCACACCACACAGAATCTAAACCTGCTGTCTCTCAAACTGGTTGACAGAGTTTCTGATACATAAAATAACACTATTTAACAACTGAATCTACTAATTACTAATGTTTTTAAATCCTGATTAAGGGTTGTTTACATCAATCATTTTAGTAAACATAGGAGTAAATGAAGTTTAGAAAGACAAACATTCTTATTCTTTTTTGGATGATTCTGTTTTCGCTCCCCCAGCTGAGGGGGACTTAAGGTCTCACTCAGTGCAGTTCACAATGATGGACGGTGATGAGCATGCCCAGGTCGTGGACCTGATGCAGTATACACCTCTGGGTGGGGTCTTCTACTATGATGTGTTCTGTCTCCCACCACAAGCGCACCAGGTCATCGGCTGGGAAATTAGACAGGTGAATAGAAAAGAGTTTCCATACCTGCTTTCACCAGGCTCGGCTGTTGACCCCTAAAGTTGACCCCACTTTTCTATTTTTCTCTCATACCACACTCCTCATAGGTGTTGGACACAGGGCTACAAGTGTTTCCCTACCCCACAGAGAGGTCCAACTTGTATGACAAGGAGGCTCTCACCTGCCCCCCTGTCGGAGTGTCTATGACACTCCCTGACTCTATTGTCTTCTTGGAAACTCCCCAAGTGGCTCGCTGGGATGCTGCAGGTAAGACACACAGGAACACACACCGTGTAACACTGTCAAACATAGAAAAGCAATTGTAGATGAAATTGGAAATTGCACATCAGGTGCTGTCACTGACATGACAGTTGGTCTCTCATCCAGGTAAGCAGTGGAGGATGGACGGTATCACTGATGTGTCCTATGAGGAGGAAGAGGCCAAGATTTCCTTCAAGATGGAATCTTTCCAAGCTTTTGTGCTGATGCAGGAAACTTACGCCAACCTTCCCTTCCAGAACTGGGAACTCAGGCCACTGGGCCAAGACTCTGCTGTTTTCACTGTCAACGGAGCGCTCTTTGATTTCAGTATCATGATCCAGGTAGGAGACAGGAAACTACTGTACACACATCAGCATTTCTCCTAATTTAAGAATAAAGTTTGTGTTATGTTTAATTACAGGGTGACCAGTGCATGTTGCAGTCAGAGCAGGAGAAAGGACCCTCTCAACTCCTAGGAAAGTGGATGAGTGGCCCCGCCCTACAGAAAGCCATGGTCAACGTGGGGATCAACGTCTTTGTGAATGAGTACACTGACAAATATGTCAGCACCTGTGGCAAGGTCTGCATCTTCTACCTTTTGGCTTTCAGAATAAAAAAACTACAGTGCTGTTTAGAATGGACAAAACAGTGTTGCAAGTGTCTGGAGTGAATCTACATATCAGTATAAAGTGATAGAAAGTGATGTTATCCTGTCCTTCCAAGTATAATTTTAAAGATTGAGACATTGTTTAGGCTGGCAACACACAAAGCCATTTATGCTTCCAACTTATGTTACACAACATTTGGAGCAGTTATTTTAATGGCTTAGTTCAAAGAAAGAAGACTAAAAGTATACAGCTATGCTAGCAGCTCTGTGGGGCTGTTCTCAGGCACATTACTACTTTAACTAAATGCTAACATCACTATGCTAACATACTAACAATGATTGACATGTTGATGTTTAGCAAGCATGCATCTTAGTAAAGCATGTTAGCATGCTAACACGCTCTAATTGTCACAAAACTAAGTAAGGCTGAGGTTGATGCAAATGTCATTAGTTTTGCATGTTTTTGGTGACAAATCAGAGGATTGGGCATATTAAAATATTAGCCCGATGATGGCACTAGCTGAAAAATTAAGGGGTTTGTCAAAGTTACTATAATTCATACTGAGTGGGATGTGAATTTCATGCCAACCTGTCCAATAGTTATTGAGATATTTCACTAAAAATATCAACTTCTTGGTGGTGATGGATGAAATGTCAGATCACCAAAGTCATTACAATTTATCTCTGTGGACCATGAATGTTAGCACAAAATTAATAGAAATCCATCCAGTGGTTGTTTAGACATGTCAGTCTCGACCAAATTGGTGGACCGACCAATTTACATCACCAGCCACATAATTAAAATACTACTTAAATAATGTACACACCATTAGAGCTGAGACAATTACTTGATTAATCAGTAACTTGATAAAAGTAATCAGTTGCAGTCCTACACTGTAAGGGACCATTATACAGAATGAGGAGCTTACTTATTTTTTGGATTTAGCTTTGCTGATAATACTTTAGATGCAAGTAGATTACAAGATTAGCTACATTTTCCTCGATTATAAAATGTGCCGAGTTGTTTCTCTCCTCTTCAGGACCCACTTACAGAACATGCTGCCTACGAACAGATGGCCCTCTTCGCCTCTGCCTGTGCTTTCTCATGGAGCAAGTGGAATGCCAAATGTGGAGCTGAGCATCTGGTCATGCAGGTATTCTTACTCACACATAGATACGGGTGTTGGACAGAGGAGGGAGTATACAGTCCGTGTATGGAGTCAAAAGCCACATGCAGAGGTCCATCCCATTCACTTCTGCACTGGCAAATGACAAATAATTAGGTGTTGACAATGCAGTGACAAGGACTGCACCACAGCTGGGAGTTTACTGTGCCAGCTGGGTGCAACTAACACAAACAGATTTGACATGTACACATCTACAGGCAAAGCAAGGCAGAGATAAATTGCCTTTTCAGAATGAGGAAGGAGGAAGCTTTAAAGTGCCACGACTGAGTGCTGTCAAGCAGGGAGCACCTGTTTCTCACTAGAAGACAGTGAAGTTACTGGTCATGGTTAAATGAACAGACCCAAAATCAAAACACCAAATGTAATTTTAAGGTTCTCTTCTTTCTGTTTGCACTTATTGTTCTCCCCTTTCCACCACTAGGTGTGTGAGCACCAAGGCCCCGCTCCTGTGCTTAGGAACTCCTGGAGTCTCTACCTGCTCGGTGCTCAGAGGAGTCAGAAGCTACAAATTACAGAGAAGAGTGAGGCTTTCTCTCCAGACCTTTATCCTGGCAGTGAGTTTCACTCCACCTTCATCCACATGCTCCAGGACAACATGAGCACAGAAGGCATAGCTAGGACTAGGGAATCCAATTATCTGTTCATTGATACAGTACAGAGTCTGCTCTGTGCCACCAGACCCCTGATGTATTCTTAAACCTGTGTGAAATTAACTTGGTTGCAGTTTTTTGAAAACCCACTCATTAAATATATTTTAAACACCTGAATTTGAAATGTATGTTTGGATGCACATAAGAACACACGTCTTCTATTGTAGAATTGGCTACTTTATTTGTGCAAAGTTTCACGCATCTTCTTTGGAACATACAAAAGTGTATGAAGTTGAAAACGGTGACCATCACAGCAAGAACTTAGAGGAACATTTAAAAAAAAAAAACCCTTTGGTGTTAAGACTGTAACAATGTAGAATTATAACTTAACAAAAAATAAACATATTCACATCTCCCCACACAAAACTAACAAACTCATAAATATAGATTTCAAAAACACTTAAAAAAAACAAAACACTTTGAATCAAAGTTTTATTACCAGTGTTTAGAGACTAAAAAGAAAGGAATGAAAGGAATGGAAAATTCCATTTAAAAAGGCTGGCAGTCCCGTGTGTCCTCAAGTGCATGAAATGTGTTTAAAAAGCCACGTGGCAATCAGCCATTATCCATGATGTTTGTCAATGGAAAACTGCACTGTGGCCCATTGTACGACTTGGTAGAACAGTTCTATCATTCTGATTAAGCTGTGACATGATTGGTCAGCTTTGTGTCAGCTCTGATGACTGAAAAAAAGTGATTTGACATATTGTGTTGGGTCCAGGTGGACAGTTGCCAGCAGCACTGATAGTAAAACTGCATCATAATGTGTTAAAAGATTTTGAGCAGCCCACTGTGAAGAACATTGGTTGCCACCCCCTGTAACTGCTTCTTCTCTTAAAACACAGACACACGCATTCACACACACAGACTAACTAATTTAGCAAACGTGATGTGATGTATAAAATCCTCTATAGGGTTAACTATCCCCTGAGGACTGGCCAGTGCTGTCAAAGTCTTTTTTTAGGAATCTTCAGGCACCAATAAACATCCAAATGGCCTCCACCCAGGAGTGGTGCGCCGTCCTTTCCTCATCACCACCCCAGTGCACAGACAATTTCTGCAGAAGGCTGATGGACAATAACACCATCCATCCCAGGTCACAGGAGCTAGACAGGGGGCTGCCCGTTGTGCCGGAGCCCTGCGTAGGGCCACAGCAGCTGCTGGATGGTCATCCAAGAGTCCCCTGTCCCCACAGGGGCAGCATCCACTGCTGGCTGCATCACCAGGCTGGCCAGCAGTGCCAGGAGACCTGCAGGGTATGACAAAGAACTGCATATAACCATCCCATATGTTGACTTAAAAAAACATCTATGCAGGTGCTCGGCTTAGATGTTGAATGAGCAGGTATGTTATTTTTAATCAGACTTTTAGGCCTGTAACACCTTCAGAAAATTATTTTTACCAAAACAAAGATGAAATCAAACTCAAACATGCAAGCATGTATGAAAAATTGTGGAAAAAAGTTTTATTTGTGCTGCTGTCAAATCCAAGTTTGGAATTATCTGTAAGATTGAAAAAACAAAAACAAACATGTACCTCAAAAAGACCACTACTGACAAACTGAGTTTACCTGCCAGCACCACCACCATGGCCAACCAAAGCCAGAGCCCCCTGCCACCTCTGGCTACAGCTGCTGCTGCGGCTGCTCGGGAGGACGTCAGACTATGGGACAGAGACTGGGCCATTCCTGGGTCTGTAGACGTAGGGCTGGAGGAAGGGCTAGGACTGGAGGAGGGCAAGGGAAAACAATAAAAAGTTAGATAGAAAATGATACATGACAGTTGGATGGACACAGAGGGAAAAAAAGATAAATGGTATCAGATAAAGCAAGAGAGTGAATAAGTTACCAAAAATGACACACCGGGATGGGAGTAAGTCGCCACAGAACTGTCTTGACAAATGGCACTTTCTGGTCAAATCTGTGGTTCCTTTTTGGTAACTTATGCAGTGAATGGCAGAGTGAATTAGCTTGGTGCAGTTTAAAGTTGGCTTTCATGAAGCACATTTTACCACCCGTCTCAAAGTGTGGTAATGCAAAAACATTCACACCATCAGCATAATGAAAAAAGCTGTCAGTAGCACAGTTACTGGCATAGAGGTAGATGTGAGCAACGACTGATTAGGCAAAGGCAGCAGACAGTTTTTGGCCTTGAATATGTCAACAGTAGGAGTGCTGCTCCAAAACACTTTACAGTCATTATGAGAGTCAGTGTAATGTTGTAAGTGTCTTCTGATTGGCACTCCTATTTGATACATACAGGCTTTTGCATGCATTTATTGTTTTTTGGACAGAGAATTCACAAGCACTTCCAACTTTGGATTCTCCTCCCTACACACTTACAGCATAACAAACAGTTCATCCTGACTCCTGAGCGATGTGCAGGGAGGAAAAGAGGAAAGGAAAATTCAAGACAACACATGATCTGCTTGCATGAAATACTCAGTTGCCCCACATGAATAAAATAGTCCAAGTGAAGCAGTTTGCATTTAAAAGTGGCTGAAAATGTTAGTAAATGATGAAGAGACTAAGCCCGGTAACATCTTTACCGGACTTAGTTTGTTATCAGTTAGACGCTTTGCACAGTGCAGAACTTGAGATCCATGCATGACATCACAAAGCTTTCATTATAATTTGACAGGTTGACATACACTGATCTCAAGTCAGTTAACAGCTGAAGGAAAGGTTCATTTCTGGCCCTTACAGTAAAAATGCTCTGTAAGCATGATTAAAAGCTGATGAGCCCCTGGATCAAAGAAGAAGCTAGTCCAGGACAGACCCAAAGAGTTTCATCACTTAGGAGGTTCCATATGCTCACCCAACTTTAACAGGCAAGTATGATTTGCTGCTCGCTGTTACAGGTTAATTTGGAGTAATACTTCGGCTTCTTCTTTCTTGCTTGATCTACTTCTGTGAAGCACTGAATTTCTTCACCATAAATAACATTCATTTAGTTACATTAAACTGTAGAGATACTGAGCAGTTAGCATTGTGATAGCCACAATGGCTGAACAGGAAAAAGGACACCACCTACAGTGTCCAAGTTTGACAGAAAATTCAAATCTGTCACTGATGTCAAGATGTCACAGGTGTGTGATCCCTGCAGTGCAGTGTAAAAACACAATGTTGAAATGACTTGAACATCAAAGAGTGAGATAAAATGACAAAATATCTAATACTATAAAAAAATTCAGTTTGCAGCTACTGGAACCTCAGTGCAGCTAAATGGTGAACTCTCCCCCTATGCAGCTAGCCTCTTAGCTTTGCTGGCAGAAAGTGGTGCTGCAGTAGGCTAGTAGTGGGTATTTGGTTGGACTAACGTCTTAAGGGGCAGAATGAGGGAGGTGAGTTTGTTGCCCAGCTCACTGAGGCTGGACCTCCTCCTCTCTGCCACCGGCTCCTCCTTCTGCTCGTCCCCCGACTGGCAGTCGGTGTTGTCGCAGGCCGTCCTGTGGGCACGCGTGGGTCAGGCATTCACAAACACTGTTCACTTGCACATTCAAATACAAGCATGGCTACATGACCAAACCCTCTTTGTATGTGCACATGCCATGCACACGTGTACATTTCATGCATACGCAGACAACACAAGCAGGCAGAGGTAGACACCCTGAAAGATTCCCTGATTTACATTCAGCTGTCGTACACAAAGTTTTTTAGAGATCCCTGATAAAAATCACGTTTGAAATCATCTTCTACAATATAACAATGCATGCCCAGCAATACAAATTACTGGCAGAAAGTGGTGCTTCAGTAGGCTAGCAGTGGCTATTTGGTTGGACTGATGTCTAAAGAGGCAGAATGAGGGAGGTGAGTTTGTTGCCCAGCTCACTGAGGCTGGACCTCCTCCTCTCTGCCACCGGCTCCTCCTGCTGGTGGCAGAGAGGAGCAGCTTCACAACCTTTCAGATATGTGGAGAGCGTTGCTCGATTCATTTCATTTAAGCTTCAATTTTAGCTCAAACAAATTTATTCTACTTTCATTGTCCAAACATGAAAGCATATGGTGCCATTAAAAAAGTCCACAACGTCTCTTACTTTACATTTCACACAGACACCAAAGAAAAATGTGCTAGAGGATTTGACCAGATGCATTAAAGATGGCTGGCGTGTGGTTTGATGTCATCATTGCTTTTCCCTGGTCTCAAAAGACAACACTATCTTTCTTTACATCACTACTGCCAATGTCCACATAGTCACTTGGCATCGTAAGAGATATCAGGCCTACTTTTGTGGTTTTGGTCTTTGTTTCAGCTTGTATTTATTTTCTTATCTGTGCTTCATCATATTACACTGTTATAGTCAATCGTCTCACTCACAAAAAATCCAGTCATCTCTTCTCAGCAGAGCTTCTTTCACAGTTTCAAGCAAAAATGATTCCACATAACACTGCGAAGTTATTAGGAGAAATGTGAACTAACATGAACTATAACGCTAAAACTTCCCAGTATTATCCATCATCAGAAGTTCAGTCATGATGTCACACCACAAAGCTGCCATCTTTATGCATCTGTGTCCACTGTGAAAAAGTTTGTGTGACGCAGGCAACGTGGCATCCTTTTCCATGGAATTTCTTACCCCTTCATCATGAGAGAGGGCTCTTCAGTGTCAACCCAGGCCGCAGAGCTAACAAAGCGTTTTAGTGGAGGGCGTGCCGTGCTCTTCCCTGCCACAGTCCTGGAAACCACCATTATCACAACGGTGCATAACAATATATACAACAACCCTCATGTCATGGTACAGGGAGCCTCTGCGGCTTGAATAAAACATGCAACAACAGGCATTAGCTTCCCACACACCAGAAACAATGCCGGTGTCTTTAAAAAGTAAAGGTCGTTTCATTTCTTGCTTTATTGTGACCACACTCCCGTTCACATACAGACTAAATCTTGTTTGACTACTTGACATATTATGATGTAAGAGCAAATGTAACAAACATACAAATACCTACCATGGGGATCGCCTGGTCAGTCTCTCCGTTTCAGCCTCTGAGCCGTCTTGTGTTTTGGGCTGTGTTGGGAAATCAGACAGTTTGAGTCACGATCATGTCAACAAAAATGCTCCTTTGCACAATTTAAACCAAAACATTTTTGACTGTCATGCTTAACTAACTAAAATCTCTATGTAAATCCGTCCTACAGTTTACATGTTGAGGCTCACTGGTTTGAGACTTTAAATTTGTAGTTTAACCACAATCTGACAATTTCTTGTTTCCATGCACTGCATTACACTATGCTGCATTTTGTTTAGCACTGAATTCATAAGAAAACAGAAAATGTAGCATCAAACTGTGACAAAAACACTGCCTTCTACACAGTTTGAGACAAAATAATAATAAAGGGAGCAATTAATATGTTTATAAAGATATGCTTCCAAGTTTCCATTACTCTTTGGAGCAACTGGCAAGTAGAATGCAACTAGCAGTGAAGCATGATTAGATTAAACATCATGTTAAAATTTTAAAGTAGCAGTTGTGAAACCTTCACAGGACTTTGGAAATTTTAAGTAAAGTGAAAAAAAAATGAAAAGGCTGTCTGTCAATTAACATATGGGAAACCTCAGGACTGGATCAGTAAGGTATTGTCATGGTTGCAATGTGATGTGATGGCAGTGTCACCCTCACCATATCAAAGTGCATGTTGCCTGCACCAGAGCGAGGGATAGCTGCTATGCTGACCCGCCGGGCTGATGACTGTGATCCATGGGGAAAAAAAATTTTAAAAATCAGAAAAACACCTCATCAATGGACAAGCACATAATTAACACATGGAGAAAACCTGAGTAATGCAGCTCACCTTGTAGTACTGTGACGATGACTGCTTCTTGCCACGGAAGTCATCTGGAGAGAGGAACACTGTTTACATGGTATATGGTTTGTGTGTAAAAAATATATCACATACAGTATGTAGACATATACCCTGTTTGTATATACAGCAAAGACATGCATATAGTAGAGTTAGGTGATATAGGTTTATTAGTCTTGTGATGCAATATTTTATTTTACTGGTTATCAGTCTATCGTTAATGGAGGTACCACTTTTAATAATCTAAATTATAATCCATTTGAAGGCCTAATGATTATTTAGTATTTAGCATAACAATGGTCAATTTGAAGAGATTGAATATCAGCAAAAAATAACAGCTAATTGTAAAACACATACTGCACTGTATGTTGCACCTCGACAGACAGTATGTGTCTTTGTGTGCAGCACTTCCAACCTCTTTCACTGTGTGATCCAAACGACCTCTCATTCTGCATGAGTGTCTCTCTCAGTTCCAGCAGCTCAGCGTGCTCCTTGGTGTACATCCTCCTCAGGTTCTCCACGTGCTGGATCATCACCTCCACAGCCTTACCAATACGGCTCTCCTGACATCCACATACACAAAAATCCATTGAATCATCAGAATCAAACTAAACTCAGTCGCAAGACATTACAGTTTGTTCTGTTGTTGTCACAGCCAGGGATAAAAATACTTTCATCACACAGCAGGAGCTCATGTTGGTTCTCTTATGCCCACCTGGTGAATAGCTCCAAGCATCTCAGAGCGACTGGACACCCTGGTCATGGACTGGGTGAGGATATCTAAGTTCTTCTGGAGCCTCTGGATGATCTCCATGGACTGGTTGTCATCCTCACATAGAGGAGTCAAAGCCTGGGAGGAAGGTTAGGTCGAGGGAAAAATTATAGAGACATATAGAAAGAGAGAGCTCAAGAGAGAGTGAATGACTGAACCTGACACAGAAATGATTCTACTCATATTCACCATCTCAAACATATTCAGTTACACTTATGGCTTAATTCAGTCTTATTTCTATCTTTGGCAGTGGACAAGTACAGAAACTTGTTCAAACATGAGTTTCACCAAATGAAGCCAAACAAATCGAGCCAAAACATGCTGTGATGTTTTTCAGCATTTAGACAAAGATTCAAAATTGGAATGGTTTGCAGAACAAATTATAGAGCTGCACTACAAATATTCAGTGTGTAATCATCAACAAGTGAAGAATCCACACCCTTAACACTGAGAATGTAAATACAACTACACCTGACAAAATAAACTTTTGCTGACAAATGTTGGAGCAGAACTTAAATGCTCCATCCACAGAAAGCAGGACAATCACAGACATATGTACACTGACCTGCAGTAAACCCTGGCAGCTGGACACCTCCCTGCGGACGTTCTCTTCAGCCAGGTCACGTGATCTCTCTTCCAGTCGGAGTCTCTTTTCCAGGGTGAACATGTCGCACTTGAAGCCCAGTGCCAGACGCTGAAACTCTGCCTGAAAACATGACAAAGATACTTGAGTTTTGAACATTTTAGATTGGAGCTAATTGCTGGACAATCTGTGAATGTGACAGTATATTCTGCCAGACTTAATGGCCATTTGAAAAAGTTCTATGTTTGATTAATATTACCCAGTCAAAGCCAACATTACTGTGCTGCCAGAAAAGTTGCAACTCCCACTCTGCTTTGAAGTTATATTTCTGATTTCAAATCAATTTTCAATTATACAAAATCCCAGAAAATTGTGATCTTAACACTGTCCTTGGTAAATCAATGGTTTACATTACTTATTATAAAAGCACAGCTTCAAGATCTAATGGTATACGAACCTCAATCTCCTTGTCAGTAGGTGACAGGCTGCGGATAAAGAGACAATAGTTAGGACTTGTTACATGCACACATGGATAATTATGGATTTGAAAATTACAGTGGGTTATTATGATCATTTGGTGCCTCACCTGTTTCTGTCCTCTTTAAAGCTGTCATTGGTGTCAGAGATCATTGACGTGTCAGCTGTAGAGAGAAATGACATACAGATGAATCATGGCACGACATTACCCGACCAAATGGTGCAATCACCATTTAGACTTTAAATGACTTTCTGTAGAAGCAGTGATTTAAAATTGAAATTCAAATTATTATCAAAAGAAAGGTAGTGAATAATATTTAAATGTGTAGTAATATAGTCTAACATGAACATATCACACATACATTCCCTCCCATTGGTCATGCTGGTCTCACTCTGGTCCTCCTGAACCTTGTTCTCCTCGATGGCCTCCATGCCGTGTGAAAGCTCCTGCGGGGTCCGAACAAACATTACTGTGTCTCTCTGCTCCTTCTCCCCCTCCTGCTCTCCTTTTACCTCCGATCCCTCCATTCTCACATTCATCTCAACATCCATACTGCTTCCTTTACTCGCTCCCTCCCTTCTCTGCCTTCTCCCTCAATAGTTAGTCTTTACATAATGAAAGTGAGTTGTGCAGATTTAAAGTAGCTGTCAGTGAAGTTGACTCTTGATTCTGAATGATCTGGTCCTGAGTGGAGACAAAATGAAACTATGCACTCTCCCTTCCTCATGCTCTCTCTCTTTCTCTCTCTCTCTCTCTCACACACACACACACGCGCTCACACACTCACATAGCTGGAAAGACAGCATTTCTCCTCAGGTCCCAATGTCATGTTGAATGATATCAATGGGTTAAAAAAACAAAACTAAAAAACCCATGTTTTTTTCTTTGTTTATGATTGTGTGGCTATTTACATGGCTGTCATTATATCTTAAAAATTGCCTGGTCGTGCCATAAATATCAAAACTAAACAAAAAAGACCCGTCAGACCTTCAATTACTACAACATTTGTTTCAAAACTTGTTGGCAACTATAAATTAAAAATCTGTTCTACACAAAAGCAGCAGTCAAGTGAATGGCTTTAAATCCTTTAATATGTGGGATAACCCATCTAACAGTCAGCGGAGAATGAAGTGGGAGAAGAGCAGGTCTTACCAGTTCCCTCTTATTTTTGCTGGAGTCCTTTTTGGCTGTGTTATCCTCCGATTGGCTGGGGTCAGAGGTCACGCTGCCCATGCCGCTCCCTGATTGGCTGGCATGTGTGAAGGACGATCTCGACTGAGGAGAGCTGCTGTTAGATAAGGTGGTTGCTCCGCTGCTGTTGAGCCGGTCTGTCCCTGGAAGGAAAAGTTGGTGTGTGGGCGGTCAAAGTTACACATAGATGTGAGGAGGCATAAATAAACAAACAGCTTGGAAATATCAGATGCTCTCTTCGTCTCCTTCATACACACTCATGTGATAGTTTTTCTTCCTACCTGCCATGCTGGTCGCTACTGTTGAAGCCTCAGCTGTGCTGTCCTGCACACTCTCCTCCTCCTCCACCAACACAGGTAGCAGGCTCGTGCTGGAAAACACACACAGTGCACCATTACACAGAAAGCAAATCTGAACTTTAATGTGTGGAACAAAAAAAAAAAGAAAAAAAAAGAAAGAAAAGAAAGGTGGCTTTTAGAATTGATACAGAGAAAAAAACACTTCTGTTTTGACTCTGTTGGATGTGAAGCGAAGTGAAAACCCTGTGAGGTCAAAAGGTTTCAAATGATAGTCAATCACTCACCTGTCCTCCGCTGCTGATCTGTCTGCCAACTGGTCCTGACTCAGGCTCTGAGATGGACAACAGTAAAGGAAGAAAGGGAGGGAGGGGGTGAGAAAAAGACAGGTGGCCTTGCAGCACATTTTTCTGTCCCACATTACAAGAAATGGTCAATGATTAAAAGGCACATGTACACATGCGATCATATACATGTAGCGTACCTGTCCCATGGCAGTGAGATGCAATCTAAGCTGAACAGAGTGTGGAAGAGAAAGATTGGGCTGATTCCTTATATAATATGGAGCTTCATGAAGAGCCCTGCAGCTCTATGAGTGAGTGTGTGTGTTGCTGAGAAGGGTGCTCAGAGAACACATTAACATTGGCACAGTGCTAAGTAGTGGAGGCGGACTGTGTGTATACACAGTTGTGTGAACATGCGCACGCACGCACGCACGCACACACACACACACACACACACACACAATGGAGCAAGGTGAGTGTTCAGAGCGATGCAATAGGATATTGTGTAAGAAGTGGACGTAATATCCGTTTTGACACTGCTCAAAAATAGAAGAGAGCTACCTTACCATTTCACTAAATACTCCAACTTCAGATTTCAGTGTCATTTTACATCCAAAACAACAGTGAAGCAAAAATAAAACTGGGTCTAAAACTACTAGAAGCAGTGTTAAATGGTATCAGATTTGTATCCAACACACTGTTTATTTACTTGAACAAACAGTCTTTACAGTCTTTTACAGTTAAAAATCATCCAGTCCTCCAAAATGCTGTGAATTTACTTGTCGAGCTTCTTTCTCTGCTAAATAATAAAATTTCATTCCTCCACAATCATATTCAAGGACATCATCTTAGTTTTTGTCATTGGTGTGTCGGAAATACCAAATGTTTGACTGCCACTGAACAAACATTACTCAATGTTAGACGTTACTTGTCACTTCTTATTATGTGTGATCTCTTTGTAAAATCAATAGCGACAAAACATACGTCCAGTACATTCATCCTGGTGAGATCTTTACAACCGGAGAACACAAATCTTCTGAAAATGACTGGATTTTACTCCATCACTTCTCTCACTGGGACTAACATGAGTTAAAACCATTTAATGCTGAATAACTTAAAAATTATAATACTGTGATAAGAAACTATTTTTTACCCACAGCATAAATATGGATAGAATTCCATTGAAAATGTCTTCCATTTACATGTAAGACTGTAGATCTGAATACATCCGAAAGTTTTTGTTCATAAAATCTCAACTCATCTTTGTTAGCAGATTAAAAGCAGGAGTTACTGTTCAGAATTATTAAAAACATTTTGACCTGGCTTCTATAAGTTTAAAAGTGCATTTTGTTGTCTCTCTCAGCTCCATTCAGACTATCTCTCAGTGGGTGAGAGGGGTGGGAGTCCTGCAGGACACCTGCAGGTAGGAAACTAAATAAAACAAGCTGATTGATCTCTCAGCAGGACACAAAGCCGACTGTGGTTAAGCAGCATCACGACTCAAGTGAGCCAACAAAAACCTTCTAACATGAAAACACAACTAGCCAATGTGAGGCTGGGCATAATTATCATTTAACAACCGTACTGTATAGACCATGCATCAAAGCAACTCATTGTAAACGCTAATTGGTCCATTCAGACAGTAAATACAGCAAGATCCAGTGTGTCCAGGCTTTTGCTAATAAGCTCCAGAACATGCCTGTCATCTTCTTGGTAAATTCTTCTGCTTTTATATAACTGTTTCTAATCACATTTGTCATTTATTTGTCAGTCATTTATCAGGGAAACTTTGCCGGTTTAAGCTTCTCAAATGTGAAGATCTCTGTTTGATATTCTAAATTTTATCTCATATTTGGTCTCTTAATCAAACTACATGACAGATCTGAAAATTGAATTTGTGCACATTTCACTTTCACTTCTGTTAATTGATGACCTGCTCTGAACTGGTATCTTCTTTTCCCATCGTCTGAAAATCTGAAATCTTAAGCATTTCAATTCAAAGTAAACTTGCGACACCAAAAGCTTTAACACTGACACTTTAGTATGAAATATCATATTGTACTTGCCTCGTTTGGCAACAGAGTTCAGGGAAGCTGAAAGACCATCCTGTTACTCCCTTTGCTGGAGCAGTCAGCAGAATGATGGCCTCCTTGATTCTCTGATCTTTCCCTTAATTTTACATCCCTGTCCTCTCCTCTCCTTGAGGACTCTGCCCTCCACCCCTCCCCAAAAAACCCCCCTCACACACACTTTAAAAACACACCTATTCTCTCTCACCTAAGACATACATGAAGTGGCAAAGAGAAACAGAGAGAGCAGGGGTCAGAAAAGAGGAAGCAGTGGAGAGTAGAGAACAGAGGAAGCTGCATTCCCTCATGCATAAAACACTTCCCCTCTGGTACTAACCTTAATACGGCTCATGTCTCCTGTGCTTGAGTCTGCCTCGCCTTCTTTCTCTTCTGCTCCTCTGTGGTCCACACTGGTCGGCTGAGTGCTGACCCCAGGTGAAAGGTCAAAGGTCAGCTGTCAAGCACCATCCTTTTTCTCATTCTTGATTTATACTTGGACACTCTCTTGTCATCCAATAACCCAAAATTGTTACAATATGAAACGGAGAGAGAGATGAGGAACAGCCTTCGTCTCTTTGTAGGTGGACTGTGTCTATGCAAAACATTTTGGCATTGAAACTAATTAGCCTGCACACTCCTCCCATAGCAAGTAAAACACCCATTTGACTAGCAAATGTTGACCAAGTCATAGGGAAATGACAAAAAAGTAAAATGGTGACTTCAGCTGTGTGCATTTATAAGACCCATCAACTTCAAATCCAGCAGGGAAAGTTTATATTGCCATGAAAATTAGGCAGGATGCTGGATGAGGTTGGGTGGTAATGTCAGTTTCCTGACAATGGAAGCTTCTGTTTTGTGCCCCTTATCTGGGATTTGCCAATCCAAACACCAACTCAACAAGTGTGTCTGTGGACAATGTTCCTGTTTAGTTGTCCTGGAGAGAAGAGACTCAGCAGGAATGCAAAAACATAGAAGGCTGATTTAGAGTTTACGTTTTCTCATTTAAACCAGCCATCTCAGTAGTCTTTAGATAAGATAGCAATTCTCAATATTTTTAAAACAACCACATCACCACCTGGTGCATTGTCATTGTTGGGTAAACTCCCAGCTCTTTTTTGCCATCTGTTTTCTGCATTCTTGGTTTTGGAAAATCCTGTTTTGGTAGTAACTTATACTTATATCAGATGTGTCATGGGAAACAAAAATGTATCACAGGTCATATTGAGAAAGACCTACTGTAAAACCTGCTGTGTCACCTATGAAAAAGCCACATCCCCTTGTATCTCTCTCTCTCTCTCTCTCTCTCTCTCTCTCCAGAAACAGAGGCAACATTTTTGTTTCACAGCTCCATTGCCTATACTTTTACATTCTACTTGACTGCAACAAAACATGTGTTGCAATTTGCTGAAACCACAAATAAATATCTACAATTAAAACATAAAACCCAACTATAACTATATAATTCAAGCTACTATGCAAATAAAATGGAAAATTCTTGACTTTGGCGCCACCTAGTAGTAGTACCAAGAAAACACTGTGGCAGACAGCAGTGTAAGAGGTTTGTTAAATAAGCAAAAAACAGAAACACACTATTTGATATTATTTATAATTTCCATAAGGAGAAATGCGGTCCCTTACTCTAATTATATGCCGAGTACATCAAATACAATATTTATTTTTTCATTTACCTCAGACTCTTGGTAATGGTCTCATCTGTTCCAGGTGATGTGCTGTCAGGAGAAACCATCTCAGGTGCTGTGGGAGGGGGATTACCAGGTGTGACCGTTTGGGCTGCACCATCGGAGTGACACTCTGCAGAGACTTCTGCATTTGGTCAGACAAGAAAAATATTTCATCTTTACATTGTTTTATTTTACACTGTCAAGTATCACACGAGTGTGATGGTTGGCGCACTGCAGGATAACAGGTTATTGTGTTATTAACTGGTGCAATTTTCTCTAATGATTATCAGTGTCCTGTCCATGTAAATAAATACATTAGCTTTAATATTTAATGTAGTTAAAATAATATCTTAAAACATTTCTTAACATCTGAGAACATTTCTTTTCTTGAACATCACTTCATGTAGCATATCCAGAGTAAAATTAGCAGAAATCAGTAAAATAATAATTGACTTAAGTTAAGAAAATCTGTGTCCGTCTTCATATGATGGTAAATGACACTAAAACAGCCATGCAGTTCTGGATCACATAAAAACAAACAAACAACAAAACGAAAAAAGTGATGTTCATTCTGTGGTATTTGGTAGAGTTTGACCTTTATCTTGCAAGATTTAGTAAAGGTTTCTCTCCTCTAAACAAACAGCATACCAAGTGAGTCAGGACATGACTCACTCTTTAAGATGTAAAACAGTAGAACTGTAGACTAGCTGACAGTACGGAGAAAAGAAAGAGAAACAGAAAGATAGTGAGTGATCCACATAGAGAGTGAATAACAGAGAGAGAGAGAGAGAGAGAGAGAGAGAGAGAGAGAGAGAGAGAGAGAGAGAGAGAGAGGCGGAGGTCTTACTGTTCTCTGAGTGGGACGGATCAGGGAGAGCATCCGCCTCTGGGTGTCTAATGCTGACAGCTTGTGAGTGGGCGCTCAATAGCACTGTTCCCTCTTCCTGAAAACACACACACACAGACACACACACACAGACACACACACACACAGACACACACACACAGACACACACACAGAAACAAAAATATAGATAAATATTCAAATAGGGAAAAGGATGAAAAGGTCAAACAAGCAACACACAAACCATGTAGCAAACAGCAAGCCCACAGTCAGTCAATAGAAACAAATGTTTGTCAGATGAGATGACATTGCATAAAAAGTCAATAAACTCTAACAGCTGACAGACAGCACAAAGCATCAGTGATTGGTTGTTGGAAAGATCCTCAATTACTGTCATCTTCATAGGAATTCAAACGCAAACATCACTTTCATACTGACTGCAGAAATGATGAAGTGTTTAAATTAGTCTTGTAAACCTTGCAGGCATGAAATTAAACACTGATGGCTGCAAGTGAGAAGAATGCATAACATCCAAGATTAGAAAGTGAGGAAAGACTTGGAAAAGATCACAGCTATGTGAAGTGTAGGTTCGTATATACAATGCATGTGCATGTGTATATGATGCAGAATACATTCAAAACATTGTTCTTCAAATGCAGGTGCATAACCCAGTCTTTCACTAATAACAGCAAGTCCTTCTCCCTTTGATCTATATAAGGAAGCACAGAGCTTCAGCTCAACTATGCAGTCTGCTGCTTGTGAGGAGAGGCTGTGAATAATATGTGAAGAGCTATTTGGTAGGCAAATGGCAAAAAGAGACAGATGCAGAAGCTAAGGTAGGAGAGTGAGAGAAAGGCAATGGCAGTACAGTGTATGCACAGTTCTTTATATTAAGCATTCATATTACATTATGAAAAAAAGAACAAATCACAGTTACTTTACATTACTGCAGACAGTGTTTAAGTATTCCTACCTTCCATGCAGTCAGTGCTTCCCAATTATTTGAGAGGTCTATGAAAATTAACTTGCAGAGACTGAACACTTGAGACAGTCCATCACAGTGGCTGAAACGGTTTTTAGCCCTCCTTGTTGATGGTGCGTTCAAGGACATTCCCCTGATCTGATATTTGAAACTCTGAAATTTAATATGTAAGAGCATCCTTGACCACACTAACAGGAAGCGTTTGCAAAAGAGTCACTGCTTGTAAGTGCATTACTATAAAAGTGTGAAAAAAAGTGTGATAAGTGTGAAAAAAATGTAAGGCAGACTAAATGTGAACTGTGATGATGTGATCACTCATCAAGAGCAAGTTTCAAGCAAATTTTCAACTTTCAAGTATAAAGAACATGATGGAGGGATGGTTAATGTGCCACAACAGCCAAACACGGCCATTTAAAGTGTCATTTTAATCCCCTTCTAACTGTAACTCATGACCACAACTACACAGGAAATGTGTGGTTATATTTTCAAAATAGCAAAGATCTATATGCCAAATGAAATATATTTTTAAACTTTACTAAATCAAGGAAAATAAGCTGAGCATCACATCTGCTTTCTGTTGACACAGTTGACACACCTGTCACCCCTGGCAACTGCCTCGTACATCTGCAACTATTTACTTTTGGCCTCTGAGCAGCTAATGCTGCAGTGTCTAGCACAATAGACCAGCAGTAGTCGTTCAGGAAGGAAGAGAGTCAGCGTAATCCACATTTCCCAGGTTAGTGTGAGAATTCAAAACAGTAAACTGCCAGTCACTTGTCCTCTGTACAGCCCAGCTGAAATTAGTCATTAGCAACAAAATGGTATGTGGTATCAACAAACATAACATCATCTTGGCTTCTCTACATAGTTTTCAGTATATCAACTAAAAGTTTTTTTCCTTAAACTGCAGTAGAAGCTTAAAAATCCATGTGAACAACTAGGTTTTCAATGGAAAACAGACAACAACTTCTTTTGAGATTGTCCATCATTACAATGTTTGGTGAATTGAAAGGGATCTTGATTCTAAACCAGGAAATCCAAACCAGGAAGTCACAATTGGAGGAAAAACTCTGTTACACTTATTACATATGCCTAAAATCCCTGCACTAAGCTAAAAGCACACAGGCTTCCACAAGGTCAAAAATGTAATTATCCTCTAATAATCACATTTGAGCCATCACAAATCAATTTGGGCATGTGCTTTTCAGGGATTGAACGATGCATGGAAGTCTGGAAGTTACATTCAGTTTGGCTATATTTATAAAAAAAAAAAAAAAAGAAGGAAATAACTACACATCTATTTTGGCCTGGTATTAAGTTACTTAGTTATGCAACTTTAGTTCAATCAACATCAACAGCCCACTGGGAAGAAGAATCATGATGTTCAACTTTTTATAAATACTACACCTAGCACTTGAAGGAGATTAGGTTTTTCTAAAGTTTACTACAGAATGCTCCATTATCATGCAAATTAAAGATGTCAGTCATTAATCACAGAACTACTTTATATACTTTTCAATATTTAATAAAATATTAAGATGTGAAAGGTTAATACACAAAAGGTCACACAAACATGGTGAGCATCTCGTACTATACATACACCTCATCCCATGAGAGGATCTACTCACAACTCAATTTACCTGCAAAGGTTGACAGTTCACCTCTGGCTCAGACTCAGCGCAGACTGCAGCATCTACAGACAAAGAGGAAGAACAAGAGAATAATAAAATGATATAAATAATAAAAAATATGAAAAAAATGAAAGTGGGAAAGATCAAAAGACAAACCAAAAGAAGCTGTTCATTAAAAACCCAGACCCTTGTCCAACTCATCTAGAGGGGTTAATAGACCAAAAACAACAACCCCACCTTTTACCATAAAAGGTCAGACTGTCTATTGTGCAAGGCATTGTGCTGAGGGAGGGGCAGGGGGGTTAAAATACCATGCATGGCTAAGGTGGCATTAATGACCACATTTGCACTCTCGTTTTCTGTCTCTCTGCCTGCTAGCCACTCATGCAGGCAGAGGAATGGGGGATTACTGAGCTCACTTCATGGACTTGGACCGGTCTTATACCTGGCCATAGAAGGACCTTAAGGAAGAGAGGATTTCACATATTGTGTGGAAACGCACACACTAACTCTCACTCTCACACAACCTTTAGAAGCCCAGGGCCACAACAACCATAGAAGGCAGGGGTCTACTTCCAAGGGCCTCAGAGTGTGTGTATCCTTACAGTTAGTTAGTGTGTGTACTGTACTTGTGCTTCAAGGGTGGCTGAGTGCCCTGTGACTCCTATGGATTACAGAGGGATAATCCACTCTCACTCACTCACACACACTCACACACACACATCAACACTCAAAGACAATAATGGCGTCTGTAAGCTGTTGTTCACCAACAGAGTTTATCTTGTGAAGGACTTTGTAAGAAGCTGTTAAACCTGCATCCTGATGCACCAGCTGGACTAGTGTGTGAAGTCATGATTACTTGGCCTTACATTAAAAACTGTGCTTTTTGGCTGCACAATAGGAATTTAAGGGAGTAAGAAAGACTCCTATAACTGGAATATTGCTGCTGACAGCGATCAGTACCATTAATGTGCATTTCTCTTGTCCCTACTGAAGACAGTCTGATTTAACAATAGCTGTGGATTAGCAGAGATAGTTATAATCAATGTAAGCAATAACAAATGCTTATTATGGATAAAATTATAGCTGTCTTTGACAGCTACCGCAACGAGTATGTAGTGACTTAGAGAAATGATTCCATTTAAAATTCTTGTTTGAGGCCTTCAGCACAATCAGTTGTGTTAATGTACAAATACGTGTTGTTTCAATAACCATTAAATGTAGGAAATGTTTGTCTATTGTTTTTAAATGTTTATATAGTCTCCTGGTAAAAAAAGAAAAAAAGAAAAAAAGATGCTGGATGTATTAGCTCACATTCTTGTTACATGAGGCTTCCCCCAGGCTTGTTATTTTTAATGTTAATCCTACTGAGTTTGATCCAGAGCTGGGAACATGGTGAGCACGGGGGTCACAGCAGGGCTAGAAAAATATTAAACTATATTTAGCCCTATTTGGCTTTGAGGTTCCAGTCTGGGCTAATTCTGCCATATGCTGGATATTAAAGGCTTAAGGAATACCCCTATGATTCAGAACATTTAATCTGCTGAAAGACAAAAAGGTTATAATAGCCCCTTAGCAGTTCAAGTGTTGAGATGTTGGTGTGGGGTGATCATTCACATGCATCTTGGTGTCCACACTCACCTTGACCCTCTCTTACTGCGGCTTGCCCAGCCTGGGCCTCCCCAGAGAAGGCAGACAGAGGAGTCGACGTGTCCCTGACCTCTCCCTCTCCTGCTGTATCCACCACCATCCACCTGTCCTCCCCGTCGTCCTCTTCTCCTCTGGCTGTTAATTTATCCACCGTACCCTCAAGCCTGCTGTCCGTTTGCCCGTCCTGCACCCGGCAATTCCTCTCCGCCAGCTCGTTCTTCAGGAAGTCTTGGAGGGCAAATTCCTCATCCCAGTCCAAGTCTCCATCTCCAGGCTAAAAAAAAAAAAGAACATAGAAAGAAAAGGTCTGAAGAAACAAATGCATAAGTGAGATGGAAAAAAGCTGTGACAACCACCATGGCCTTACAGAAACAACTACTTATTAACAAAGTTAAAAAGTTATAAAAAATGTTATAAAAATACATATTTAAAAAAAATGTAGTACAACAATGGTTTTGCCCTAAACCAGAGATAAGTAAGAGTTGCATTATTTGTTAAGGACAACCTGGCCACTGTGTGTGGAACCTCAGCACAGAGCTCATTATGTTTTCCAGTAAAAACAACAGTGCTGTAATGGAAATGTCTAAGCATGTGCTAGTGCATTTTGTGCGAGGAGCTGTGCGTAGGTGTGTGGTCGCATCACACACTCACACACTCCCTCTCTTCTACCAGATACTCCATCTGTCTGAATACAGTATGAGCTCTGGCACTGATCTCCAAGCAAACCATCCAATATCCATCTCCAGTGGTAACTGAATGTCAATAAATACAAAAACACATATTATTGAATTATTAAAATTGAATGCATTACAAACCTTATTGGACTTTTTTCAATCCAATGAACATTTGAATGGTCCAAGTGACACTCGTTCACCGCCCAGAGGGTGTACATGTTTGTCAGTATTTAAAAAACAATGTATACAGTTGCTGCCGTTTATTATAGGTTCACAGATATAAACTTGCTTCCTTCCTGTCTAACCTCTTCCTCTGGTGCAGGTGTCTGGCATGAGGCCTCTCTGCTGTCCTGGGGCGTCTTTAGCTGCTCCAGCTCCTCACACAGCTGTCGCTTCTGGTTCTCCTGCTCCTGCACCCTGCGTACAATGATACACAATCATGGTAATTAAAAGCAGCTGGCGGATTATTTGTTTTTCAAGAAAAATGTGGAAGAAATACGCAAATTATCAATGCAGACTTAACTGTCCACAGAGTAAGAAAAACACATGCACAGGCATCCTGCAAGACAGCACAGTGGACATACTGTACCCAATCCGCAGGCCCATGCAGTGTCCCATTCTGTTGCCCAGGGTGACCAGCGCCAGTTCTCCGACTGGCCCAGTGACGATCCCTTCACTTCAGTTTCTTAGATCCAGTCCCTACCCGACCCTCTAATCTCAGACTACACACAGATTCTCAGATGTGTCCTACAAAGTCCTAATCCTAGCACTGTCTCACAGTCCAGTCTTACTCTGAGCAGTCTGTATTATCAGAGACAGTCCAGAGCAGGAGGCAGATCTATACCTACAATAAGTCCTCTTCAGTTTCAGTTCAGTTTTTTCTGCCAAACAATATTAAAGTTCCTGAGTTCACCCTGGCAACTGAGCACCAGTAAATCCCAGCTGGACAGCCTGACCAGTTCTCCCTCTCTGGTCTGACAATGTACCACACCAGCTCTGTTATATATCTGAAGGGGATGTCCGTCTCCATGAACACACACATACAAACAGACACACACACAGCACAAGGAAAACCCATCCACACAGATTGAAGTCCAGAAATGGCCCAAACCCAAAGCTAGTGAGGTGGGCCCTTTGAGGTCATTGAGGTCAGGATGATTGACACATCTTTCCCCCACTCAGTACAACTGACTAGCCAACTGAGACAGAGCACTGGAGAGCAGGGATACCCACCTCAGAGACACTTGCAGAGGTCTGATATTAAGTGGTGTGTGTAGTGTTATTTATGTTGACTGATAAAGTTTTATAAATATGAGCTGCTCAGAGGCAGAACTCCTCCCTGGCAGAAACTTCATTGGCTGCATAATCCTCTTTAGCTCTGCCCATTAAGTTTTAAAAATTCATTCAGGACCATGTAGCATTTAAGATCCTGGAAGCCCTGCAGGCATCCTACCAGACAGTTATAGGCTTGTATGGACTAATCAGCTAACCCAGTTAGCTCAATATATTTAGACTGCATTTTATCAGTTAATAATTATGTTGTTAGATTTAATCAGCTTCAGGCTCTGTTACTAATGTGCTTTTCAGTGGTGTTAGTATTACCTTACTTAGCCAGAATATTCTTTAGCACTGCCTACTCTGGTTTATTTCAACCAATGAGATCACTGCTACAAAGAGCAGCTCCGCCTCAAAGAAATGTTTTCCTACCTTAAAGTCAAGTTGTCTTTAATTAGCCAGCACAAGATTCAGTGCAGTTCTATTCTCTTCCATCTTCCTCTGGTATTTCACTTTCATCTTCCTCTGCTCTCATAACAACATCACTCACTTCAGCGTTCAGCGGCTCACACATTTCTGAGTGCCCACTTCTTTTCACACACACTACGCCACAGATACACAGGCAGTTCAGACAAACAAAAATCTTCTCACCTCACTGAAAGGTGGAGGATCTCAGTGCGGGACCTCCTCATGTTACTGGCCATTTTGATCAGCTCCTTCTCCAGGGAGTCTGTGTACTGGGCCAGCTGGTCCAGGCTGAGGGCCCAGTCTGCCCTCCTCGCGTCCAGCTCGGCCTGCACCGTCTGTGGGAAGACAAGGCCACAGGGTCAGCCTCTCGCTTGGGTGAAAGGATGCAGGCTGTTGCACAGCCTAAATAGCTGGGTGTCTTTTTTACGCCTCCAAAAAGTTCTGACACCTTACTGACAAAATCTTTCCTAACCAAGAGAAGCCAGACTTGTACTGGTACAGCTCTGCTCCACTAATGATTTCTGTCTCATTTGGTATGTTTACTGCTGTATGGCAGTACGTGGCTAATGAATGCAGAGTGGCAACAATGCAGGAGGAGGGGGGAAAGAGAGAAAGAGCGAGAGAGACAGAGAGATACAGAAAGTCAGAGTGAGGGAGGAGGGGAGTGGGTTGTGTTCATGGTACAACACACTGACTAAACAGCTCTGCTTGGATGGGGCCTGTTGGAGAGTTATATAAGTGAGAGATCTCTAGAGAGGAGAGATAGTGGGTGGGAAGGAGAAAAAGAGCAGATAGACAGTGATAGATAGAGAAAGAGTGCAACAGGTGGAGGGAGAGGAAGATAGAGATCAGATTATATAATTTTGAGATTCATATCTTTAAAAAAAAAAAAAAAAAAAAAAAAAAGTACTGACACTGCCCTTTTTGGCCTTAAATCAGCCTGTAGGCATACAGTATGCAAACACAGGAATGCACACAGGAACTAAGACTGTAGTACATTGTTCTGCAACTTTTCTTACAATTAGTATCATAAGTGGGCTGACACTGAAGGAAAGAATGGAATATGTGTGTGAAAGTGTGTGAGTATCTGACCTGAAGACCGGTGTCTGTGTTGCTCTCTGGCTGTGTGAGGTCATCCAACAAGCCTCTAACTGTAGATAAGACAGAGTCTGTTTCGTCCCTGAAATCCCTTTTCTGAGAGAGATAGAGAAAGCAAGACAAAACTTTACATGTATCAATATATTCACAAACCTTATGTGATACTATTCTAAATGTGCCTGGATGAAACTTCAAGATGAACCACTTTTTATGCACCTCAACAGTTACTCCAACACAATAATAACTATGTTTCATTAGTAAGGGGAAGATCATCCAGATGCACAGAGAAGCTAACGAGTACACATTCAAGCTAACTGTTATGTTGTCTTATTTAGCATGTATCAGGCTGTAGCTGAAGTTATAGAAAGAAGCTGGGCACATTTAACCGCCATGCAAACGGCTACAACTGACAATCCAAGCTAAACTTTTTAAATATTAGTCTTTGTAACAAAGTGATTTTTAACAAATGCTACAACTGATGCCAAGATGGTTTTGTGTTGATTGGAATAAGTGACATTTATATTTTCAAGATGAATTCACATCTCAAATGTGACATATGAAAGACTTTCGATAAGAAAAACCATGAGACTATTTTAGGTGCCAATCATCCACTAGCCACCAATCTAGTCTGAGCTCAAGGCATGGCTGCACAAATGCTTCATCACACTTGGTTACCAGTTTGTTTAACAGGCGCTTGAACTCCAGAGCCATGTGTTCAGGACTGGGTCCCTGCAGCATCAGCAACACTTCCCTGTCCAGCGTCTCATCCAGTGGAGAGGCAAAGCTCATAGTGGTGGACAAATGGTCAACTCCATGGGGAGCCTGTGGGAGATAGCAATGCATTTATATGAATGAGAAAAAGATGCTTAAAGCACAGTTACCATCAGTCTAACTGTTGCAGAGAGACTGGACAAGGACATAGCATGTGGTGAACAGCATGTAATGTTCGGACAGTGCTTAATATTGTGTGCAGAATATGTGGGAAGCCCTGCAGCTTGTGGAAGAAAACTTCAGAGATTAATCACCTGCCTGTAGGGATAAAAATTCTCAGAACAGCAGTTGGGATCAAAAGAACTATAAACTGAGATTACATAACAAAGCCACTACTAGCTCTGTCTGCTGGAGTGGTTGTTCCGTGTGAATATGGTGTTTCTGTGTAGAACACATTCAGGTTTAAATGTGCAGCAGTTTGGCTGCTACAAGGAAGATGTCCAGGAGTTGCCACAGCCACTAATTATTCATCAGGAATACGATACCTAAGGACCAGAGACTGTGTGCAGAAAGATGAGCATACATGTCAGAATATAAGACAAAATGAGAGGAGAAGGAACAAATGAGTAAGAGATAAGAGCAAGGGTGAGAGAGAGGAAAAGGAAAGCTGAGCAAATGACAGCCAGAGTAGGGGAGTGCTGACCTCCAGTGGTGACTGTGCCAGAGCCAGTTCTGTCTGTAGGGATCCTGAGCTGCTCTGGTTCAACCTGTAGGCCACTGTAAGGGACAGACCAGCCCTGTAAGAGACAGGAGGAGAGGTCAGGTGCAAACACATTAAAGAAATTAATTAGAAAAGGCGGTAAAAATTAGAGACTAGAAAACCAAAACTCAAGTTTTTTTTTTTTAGATAAAGTTCGTAGCTTAAAGGGGTTTCTCCTAAAAAAAAAAAAAAAAAAAAAAAAAAATAATAGTGTAAAAAAGAGGTGGCTAATGTCTACTTCCTTAGTAGTGTATTAACCTTCAATGTCAATATCTGAAATCCTTCCTCTCCCAGGTCATTCTTGGTTTACTTACCCAGCCAGGTCTGGATGTATCATCTGCATCTGGTTCTCCAGCTTGCTCTTGTCCGCTCTCAATAGCTGGAATCAACAACAGAGGAACCAACCATGACTCAGTCTTTCAAATAAGATATTTAGAGGCCTGCTACATAGCATACCCTTTCTCCTCAACAACAAAGCTGTGAGCTACAAGCCCTGTGAGGAAGGACACCAGGTGATTTCATTCCCACAGTCGGTCTTCACAACCAAACTAACACATGCTGATAATTGTACCAACACACTGGATACAACAGAGAACTGTCAGTGTAGTAAAAACACTGACTTGCACAAAATGGACAATTTGCCTATCAAATTACAACATCACATTTAGCTTCATATTGTAAATGTTTTTCCCCAAATATTCATGAAAATAAATAAATAACTACCTGAAGTTTATTTCTAATCTGATTTTAGTGTCACTCTTTTATAATAGAGAAGAATCTGAAAAAAGTGGTGGGAGAAGACAGAAGGGTTTAGAAAGGGGCAGATAAAATGGCCGCATTGGCATGAAGCAAAAACAAGCCAGGAGACATATGGAAGAAGTAAAAGAGCACCACTGAGAAACTATAAGGAACTGTTGATGCATAGAAGTTGAAAATAATGATTTGATGTAAAGTTCAACACACTGACCTCTGTGATGGAGCAGTATTCCTCCACCGCTGCCTTCAGCTCATCTATCTGTCTGCCCTTCTGTAAAAGGAGGCAAAGGACACAAGAGCAGTTTGAGTTTTGCAGACAAATGGAAAAGAGGAGAAGGTTCAAGCATTTTTATATGACAAAATGATCAAAAACTGCCACAAATAGCTAAAGCTTTACAGTTACAGTAAAATGGATAGTAAAACCACATAAGGCACTGACCTCAAGTATCACAGCTTCCTTTTCACTAACGACAGTATCAAAAGAGTGAATTTGCACCTGAGGCCAAGGAAAAGGCAGTTACATAATAACATAAAGGAAGCACAATGAGATGGCAACACAGTATTTACAATGTGCCTGTGACAGATTTACAATGTAGGGTCATTTTGCGAGGAAAGAAGGCAGATATACAATCAAAATGCCTGAGTGGATGGAAAACAGAATAAGAGAAGGATAAAGTGTGAGAGGAGATTGAAGAGGCAGAGTAGATGTGTAGTAATCCAAAGCAAAATGCAAAAATAATTTTGCACAGATAGTAAAAGGTACCTGAAGGTCAGCGTTAATGTCACACAGCTCTGCTATTCTCCTCTGAAGCTCGTCTGTCTCCATGGTGACCTTGAAGTTCTGAGGAGCCATCACAGGGGAGTGAGGACACCCATTCACATCCTTTCATGAACAAACTTGCAACAATATACTCTCTGTGAGCTATTTATGAATAGGTGAGTGCTTATGATGCCCTGTGAAGTCAGGTCATTGATTTCACTGTCAACTGCTTTGACAAGTCATTTTACACAGTGAAGTACCTCTTCCTGAAGAGAAGCAATCTTGGCAATGAGACTCTGGTTCTCTCTCTCCTACAAAGAAGAAAATCAATCAATAGCAACTATGGTAACACATTCTCAGCCCTTGACTCGTACATTTAAGATATTACCAAACTACAAACACAAGACAAGAAAAATTTATGACAGCATTTTCTGAATATGAGGAATTTCATTTAAAATTTAAACGTAGACTGTGGCTGAGACATGGGGTTGTCGTTCAAGGCTTGCACCATGTTTCTAAATGTGCCAGAAACTGATATAACAAGTTGAATGTTATGTTATATATACAACCATTTACTTTTATAAAGCCTGTTTGCATGTTGCAAATCCTAAGTGCCAATATACATGGCTGAAATACATGCAAACTGCAAGTCAAAGGATTCAACTGTCAATAAATGTAACATTCATTTCAAATACACAATAATTTGTTTTACAAGAATTTAAAAAATTGCTACAATGCAATACACGAACAAAAAAGACACAGTTCTATTTTTCAGTCATAAGAAGTCATGCAAATCAAAGTGGCAGAGCTTCGAAAAGATTAAGCTGCATGACAAGAATTATTTTAATCCAAATGGGGTCAATAACAGCTGATGCTATGACTTGTGGTCTACAACACAGTACATTTCAGCTGCATTTGTCTGAACATAGACTAAGAATAAACCCCCTGTAACAAAACAAAGGACACCTCTTAGCATGTGAGCAGAATGCACTTTTATATGTCCTTTATGTGCTGCCTGAGTTTCACCGACCACGTGTTTGCTGTGTGCGGAGGCGCGAGCTCTGCCTTCCTCTGTACAGCTCAGAGTAGCCTTCATCTCCTCCACCTCGTCCTTCAGCATCTTCTCCTTCTGGGCTAGCTGATGGTTACTGTGCAAGAGGACAAACATAGACAGAATTCAACAAACCGCTGCATGCTACAGTAATTAAAGTAAGTGCTTGTGGGTATGTATTTGCTTCTTACACCCTGGCCTGGTTGCGTAGATCCTCATTCTCCTCTGCCAGTTTCTGGTTGCTGTCCTCCATGCCCTCCACCACCTGCTTCATCTTCCTCACCTCCTCCTGGAGCTTTTGGTTACTCATTTGAAGGTCAGCAACACAATACACCAGCTCTGATGTTTCACTGAGAGGGGACAACACATATAGGCATAATGCAACTTAGTTGTATAGATCAAGGACATGTGTGGGTGGTAATACACACAAATACAGGCATGTTATGGCCCATTTATAAAGACAGCACCACTATTTCACACACATCACTTACAATTCTGCTCTGGATGCCTCCCCTCCAAAAGCCTCCAGGCTTCCTGAGGTCATATTGAGCATCATGGACCTCTTGGCTAAAACATACACAGATCCAAAACACATTATTAAAGCTCCAAGTTTCATAAAAAATTAGACATGTGTACAATACAAGGAAATGAAAAGCAAACATGTGAGTGTTTACATTGCACACTCACCAGACAGGCTGTCTCTGAGTTTGACTGAGTCTTGAGTCATGTCATCTGTTGGCTCTTCCCTTAGATACAACAGAGAAATCAAACATCAAAATGTGCAACATCAGTTACTTTCACAATCTTTTGCCTGAATCCGACAGTCACGCACCATGGTGTTGCTCATGGACTCCTTCTAATGTGTTTGTAATGCATCACTGACTTGTTAAACTGTTTAGTTTTTGGTGCCTGGCACACCGAGCACCATGGCCCTGCTGCAAAGAGAGCTTTCTCTTTGGTGCACATTCCTTACTCATTTAAACAAGTTAAACAAGTGTGTATTCGGTAACAAGATACATCATCACCAAAACTGGACCTCTACTGTAGCACTTACAGCCCATCAGATCATGAAGTCTTTAGCTCTATTTGCAGCCCACACATTTTAAACCACTGAACATAATGGCCAATATTATGTCTCACAGGTTTGTGACTTGCATAAGAGATAAATGAATATAGTATTAGCATCAACCCCAGAATCTGTGTAATGCTGTACAGTAAAGGAGAATCCTCCAGCCAAGGCTCATCATACTAGACCATTTGATATAGACCTGACAGAGTGCAGTGCAAAGAAGATGTAAAACTGCCTCTGAGACAAAAGACGCACTCTTAAATGAAGATACTAATTGAAACTATGGGGAAAAAATACCACCAGTAATCTCACATCTGATGCATAACCCGCCTACACAACTCTATCTCCGTGCATTGCTCAAACTGAACATATCAGTGTGTGTTCTCTAAAAGGCTAAACAGAAAGCAGAGGACCTGTAAAGACGGTGCAAAGTGTCCTCTCCTTTTTGCACCATGTGAAAGAGGTTGTAAACTCTAGTAAATACAAGTGTACCGTATAAGGAAACAGCAAACATGTGAAGCAATTTTAGCAAATGATTTAGTTTTAGTGCAGATCTGGATTAGAATATTAGCTGACAAAAAGTTTCTAAGTTAATTTTTCATACCTCTAAATTAAAGTAGGTATTCTCACAAGACAGATGACCAGAACACATTTAGTGCCAGCAGAAAGCGCATTTCTTATCCTTCTTTCTTGATTTATGAAACTGACAGAGTGGTCCCTGCACGTAGCCACAAAACAGCACTGGTGAACCTGGATCCAGCATCTGGCTAAGGGCTGCTTCAATAGACAAAAGCTTGACCTCAGATGTTCCAGGATGTTCACCTAACCTTAATTGCAAAGTCATATTTTATTTAAAAAAAAAAAAAGGAAATAATATTTTAACATTTTTTCCTCTAAAAACTAAATCAAAACCACCAGACATTTCAAAAACTAAAAACCAGATGTTACAAACTCAGACAATTCTCATTTCTAAATAAAAGGGCCCTAAATTGATTTTGCACGTCTGCCTTTACCCATTGTTGCGGCAGTCATCAATCCATTCCTTCATGACGGCGTGGTAGGTGTCCAGGTCAATAGAGACATCTTTGTGCTCTGGATCCAGCATGTTGCAAAGCTCTTCCAGTCCGCTGTCTTCCGAGCTGCGACTCGTGGTGTGCCGCAGGTAGTCCACAATGTGAGACACGTACACTTTACCTGGAAGATGGGCCAATCACAGAGACATATAGATAATTTTACCCTCTTAAAACATGAACTGTGATGCAATACATTTCAGGAGTTATTTTGTGATTGATGTGTGATGTAATTTACTTTTGTAGCATACACATTTCTCCTCAACCTACTTGTCTATTTCTACTGCCGATTTGAAAGCTTTAACACCCCCAGACAATTCTGATACATCGTGACTTCAGATGTGGGTTATAGGTGTAGGTGGCAAAAGTAGTAACCATAGTGACAGTAAGAATCATAGTTATCAAAACAATAAAGACAGCATTGAGCTGACTTTACTGTTTTGATAACTATGTGAGGACTGAACAGTGGTCTAAACTGTGGACTATTCTTTCGTCTGGACACAAAATACATTCAATGTCAAAATTACTGAACATATTTCTCACTCAAACTCAACCAGCAAAATTTCAAAGAAGTGCAGTACTCTTAGCTGTTAAACCAAACATAACACAAAGTTGAATTAGACAGAAATTTGCTATATGTCCACAGCAGTACTGTGCTGGAACAAAAACTAGAAAGTTAAATCAGACCAATCATAGCTGAATCCCATTTTAGCTAAGGACCTACTCAATTATGTTCTTTTTATTTTTCAATTTAAATGACATCTGTGAGAAACCACAAAAGACAAAAACCTGGACCCATCACCTGAACAAACAACAGAAAAGACAGTAGCAGGAGTCTTCTTCAAAAAAGGTGAAAAAAAAAAAAAAATCCTGAAATCAAATAAAAATATAAAATAAAATAAAACAAACAAACAACAAAAAGAATCGTTACTTCCTACTGCTTTAAAGATTCCATATCCACATCCCAATATCCTGTACATCTGCTGCACAAGATGGTTCACTCCAGAACAGCATTAAATATGTCAAGAAATCATAGAAGTCCCTGAACAGCAAGAAAACTTGAAGGATCTTGCGCCTGCCAAAGCCAGTAGGCACAAGAGGAAGACTTAGACAACACTGATACTGTGTCTGTTGGAAGCTGAGGGAGTTACATACACTGTCCACACAGAAACACACTGCCATAGTACACTCATTGACAAGGTATAATTCATCATTACGCTGCTGTACACAGCTTGCTCAAACACTGTGTTTCTGTGTGACCCAAGAAGTAAGGGTGTGTGTGTGTGCGCGTACCTCGACGCTGAGTATCACAGGCATGGAAGATGGTATCAAGCAGATTCTCCTCGCAAATGAGGCTGATTTCTGCCATATTATCCTTCCTTTTCTCAGAGGCCACTGAGCTTCCTGAACGTGAATAACACACACACACACACACACACACACACACACACACACACACACACACACACACACACACACACACACACACACACACACAAAACACAGACTGTATTGAGCAAACATAGCAAAGCAAGCACATGATACATTTTCCTTCAGGCACAGCAACCATTACAAAGTTGCATGAAGCAGTTTGGAGCTACAAATATTATTTAAATTTTTTTTTTTTTTTTTTTGACAAAATAAATTAAAATCAATGTCTTAAAATTGCAAACTTAGCCTCACTAACGGCCAAAACAATGATATGAAATAGAGAAAAGGAAAATTCTGAGCCACCAAGCCCCAATCATCCCCCATTCTTCTCAGTTTTTTAGTGCTGGAATACACCCTCATCCTGATTTTGCTATGTGTTTTAACAGTTTTAATTTAGGAATGTGGAATATGTAAGAACAAAAACGAAATAATTCAAACTATATTTTGATAAGACTCCACAACAGGGCAGAATCGACTTTTAGGCCCTAATTAATTCTGAACATACATACATACATACATACATAAATAAATAAAGGGAAAAGCCAGGGTAACTAGTGATTTCAGGGTCCCAGAGTTCTGAAGTCCTTGGTATAATGCTTTACCTGGTTAGTAAGCCAGCCTTTTGCTGCAAAGTAGCTGCACTCTTCATATTCATCCTTTCATATTGGCATTCAGCAGTTACTATTAGAGTCCCTGATCTGAAAATCCTTGGAAAATCTACAAAAACTACACATAATAAAAATGTTACTTTGAAAAATTAGACACCCTCCCAGGATACCCAACTTCCAGTCTACAACCTAAAACTTATGTACAAGAATCAGCATTTCAATTATTTCTTTCTGGTGCCAAAAATATAATCCATTTAGTTTCAAAAAAGGTCCACTTACAAGAGTTTTCCAGTTTTCAACTGAATCTCACGATCTAGATGCACTTTGCTCAACAAACAGAAAAAACTCCATCTGGTAAAGAGTACCATAAGATGTGGCTGAAAGCCCAGGAAAAGATAGTAAGTGGACCTTGAGTTAAATTTTGTCAGTCTATCATTTTTGTGTTTGCTGTAACAACAACCTGCACATCCCAGCTGGGCAGCAGCAGCAGCTCCTCCCTACCTCCATCTCCCATGGACAGTCTCTTCACAACCAGAGCTGGATACGGCAGCTCACACTCCATCGAGTTTGTTGTGTCCGCTGAGCAGAAGTTGAGGTTGTAGGAGACGGTGCTGTGACTCGGGGTGAAGGTACGTGATAGGGGTGGGCTCCTGCTTGGCCTCACATTCTCAGGCTGCACCGACTGAGGTCCTTGAGTAAATGTAAAGTAAGGAGAGTCTTTGGACTGGCCTGTGGGTGTTGAACAATACCTCTGCCATGTCTTAACCTGTCTTAAATCACTCCCATCTGCACCTCTCCTCTCCCCCAGAGTGCTAGTGATGGTGTATGTAATGTTAGTTGGCGTAGCAGGGGTGGAAGGGGTGGCCAGAGGGACGGGGGGACCCATGCTGCTCCTTTGGTAGGCTGAAGAGCTCGGCATCCCCATCCCTCTCCCCTTCTTCTCCTTCAACCTCTCCTTTCCCCTTTCCCCTTCGTCTCTGTGGAGGGCCCCTTTCTTCAGGATGGCTTCTAGGTTGTGCCTGAGGCCACACTGGGGGCTGTCGTAACTGCTCGAGGAAAGCTTGGGAATCTGGAAAGGTGAATTGGGCTCTCGGTCACCGCGCCACTGGATGGTCTGCAGTTTGCGGCAGATGCTGTCCACGGGGTTGTGCCGACGATTTGGCTGGGGCGTGTAATAGTCCATGCTGCTGATGGCAGGGCGGCAGTGCTGGCTTCCTGGCTAGAGGAGAGGCTGAAGTCTGAGGAGAGACAAGCAGAAAATATTAAGTTTATAGTTTAAAATGGAGACAAAAGAAAACAGAAATAAATGAAAATACTTAGTAGTTATCCTACTGGTAGATGATCAACAGTACATAGTAAACACCATAAGGTCCTGGATAAGTGGTTTGCCCTGTTTGGAGTAACTCACAGGATAGAGGAAGAAGATGAGCAGTTAGAGCTGCAGTGTGTCTGGTATACAGAGAATAATAGAGACCAATATATGGTATTTCAAATATGAAAAATGACAGCAATGGTATGATAAAAGCCATCTAATATCCAAATAGTTAATATTATTCCCAAGATCCAGTATCTATCATAGGCAGGTTTTTGTGATAAGAGCTGTAAAACAAGCAGAAGGAAATGAAGGACTGAAGAAAAGAAGATGATGAGGTAAAAGAAAGACAGATGGGGTACAAATTTTAACCTCCTAACAACACAAATTTCTTAATAAGGGACCGGAACTATGACTGGAGGGCCCACAGAAATGATTGTACATGCAAACCTGCCCACAAGGTTTCAAATCTTGGCTTCTCAGTGTGAAAAAAATGAAAGAAAGTACGTTTAAATCCAAAGCACCAACTACTTAGGCTCCAGGTGTGCAAACGAGCCATTTAATTCAATTCATCACGAATTTATAACCTATTATCATTTATTTCAATAAATATCTCATTTTCTCTGATAAACTCCCTGCAGTTGAACTAACAGGTTGAAATTGGATATTACAATTGATTTCATTACAGAAAATGAGCTACAATTATAAAACATTTAAAATATGTGTCCGGCCACGGCAGACACACCAGACACAGGGAAATTTAGCGCAAATGTAAGTCCATACAAACATATGCACCTGACCACCAAGTCTAAAAAACACTCACCTGCTGTGTCACACTCTCAAACAGCCTTAGGCTAATGGCAGAATGTGTATTTCTTGTTGCCGTGTAAAGCTTGTATGAGCAAATATCCACGACGAAATGTTTGGCTAAGTGACCAGGCGCAAACACAGTGAGCACGAGCACAGGTGGTTCGAAGCTGTGCGCTCGAGACAGGAAAGAGTTAAAACCTCAGTGGGTGTTCACGGTGGTAAAAATGAGGCAGCACCCCCTCCCTGCGGCTCGAGGGCGACACAGCAGCACCCACTATAACAGCAGGGGACCGCACAACTTCAAATTTATGGTGTGGTAAGTTTTATTGGTTTTAAGTCCAATAAATTAAAACGAAGAAATTGCACTACAACTAGCCTCCTCCTCCGCTACACGGACAGCGAAAGCTCCAAACTGCAGTGCTAGTCCATAAAATTAAATTAATTCGGATAAAATAAATAGAAACACAAATAAAGACAAAAAGAAATTCCCTTTAGGAGTGGGTTAGCTGTGTCACTGATGTACTACTTTGGATGTTTGGTGTAACTGCAACACAAGAATGGGACTTATTTCAACCTGAGCAATCAGTAAGCGGTTTAGCAGGGACAACTTGAAGGTGCACGGACAGTTTCATTTTCATCACAGCCACCTTTGAGTCAGACGTCTCTCCTACTCTGAAGGTAACCGGTAGACTACTAACGTGAATGTTGGGGATAAATATTGGTGACGCAGGCTGTGCTTTAATCTGGCAGTGAGTGTAAGTACACAATATTAATAACCTATAGCCTTCTAAAGCAGTCTGATATGTTCATACACATTGACCTGTACTGCATTGTGTCACCGTAGGCTGTATGTAAATGTTCGTGAAAGCCAACGATAGAACGTCTATTTCTGTTTACACCTGCATTTAAAAAGATATTTCAAAAATAAGAAACAATAGTCAAAAGGGTCTTCTATGAGCTGTTGTATAGATTTTCAACAGGAAAAAAAGTGAAGTAAGTCGTGACGAAATATTATGTGAATCAACCAACTTAAGTGAGTGAAGGACTGTCAAGTTCATTGCTCAGTCTGATACAAGCTGGTTTGGCTACATGTTTAACCTGTCCAGCAGGTCATGCTTCCAGTAATGCCTTCCTCATACAATGTCGCTACATACTGTATTTGTATATGCACATATTTGTAAGCTTTTTTGAAGAAGAAGAATAAAGTATAGGTGCATATTTAAAGTCTATTTTTATTGTCATTACTGCTTCAGGGAAGCAGCTACCTGTCTACCACGCCAATGGCTGACAACAGCATTCCAAGCTTTAAGGTAATGAAACAAGTTATTTTATTATATTATTATTTGGTTTGAATGGATGGTATGCAAAGCTTCAATAGATGTTGGTCTAAATGCCATTTTGATTTAAGAGCACCCACCCTCAGTAGCTGCTCCAGCTGCAGCATCTTGATGATTCCTTGGCTTCCTGACACTCAGAAATCCCCCCTGCTTCTCCACATAGAAGATGCTCCTGCACTGCTTCTTGTCCTCATGCTGCCGAGAGCAGCGCTCAAAGGCCTTGAGAGCCACAGTCATTCAACAGTGCTCTTGTCCTGACAACAAAATGCATGAACAAATAATCCAGCAGAAAAAGTCCACTTGCTGTCAATCTGAACAATCCTTTTCTGAGGCTATTGATTTAGCCCTCAACTTCCCTTGAAACAGAATGATGTCCAAATCGTCGCCATTTTCGGGGGGAAGGACACGGTGTCCACTCTGTTACTCTTCCTCCTCTTCCTCCTGGTGCAGCCTGCTCAGCAGAATCCACTTTCTCAGCTCACGCTAAGTCGCTGGAGCTTTGCTTGTTTTCTGACCCTGGACGCCTGAGCAGTAGACAGCAGGCTCAGGTAGAGATTAAGATGGACATGTGCAAACACACACACTCACCAGGACGAGTGTTGACATTGGTCTGAAAATGTTTGCCACCTATCGCCTCCATTGAAAGAGTTAATTACTGTAAATTTATCTTGTGGTTTATCATTACACTCTCTTATGATCTCAAGATATTGCACAAACAGACTGAACTTGTAATAGCAAGTGTATTTGAAGCCTTGTGCTCCCTCTCACCTCCTTCACTGTTCTCTTACACACCAGAAGATGGTTGGGTTTTCAGCCAAGCTCATATTTATAGCCACTTAATCCTGGCCAAACATTGGCTGGACTGTGTGTGAACTCAGGGATGCAGGTAACAGTGAAGAAGGATTATAGCTCATTCTGAGTGCCACTGTTCATAGTCTACTAGGCCTACTGTGTTATTGTGTTATCTTGTGAGACATCAAGATGGTGGGTATTCTTGGCTCTTTAGCAGACAACATGTAGGAGAGAAGGTTAACTGCTAAATAGATAAAAGAGTTGAAATCATGAGCCCTTATGTATCTGGGCATTTGATTAAAAAGATAACCAGAGACAAATTTACAGTGGGAAAAAATGAAATATACCGGTAGTTAAAAAAAAAAAAAGCAATACTCTGACCACTTTCACACAGTGCTGTGTTGTGGTTGCCACTGTGCTCGCCACTTTCCAGTACTGTAATCTGGGATTATGGTGTGAGCAACCTTCTGCATGAGAAGGGAGGGGATAAAGGTTCAGTCTAATCCCAGCCAATTGGAACAAGTAACTAACTGAATGGTGGGCCGGTGAGAAGAATCACATTACTCAGTCTTACAGAACAGTAGGACAGGACAGCGCTCCCAACTGTCTCTCCTCTCACTGCTCTTGATAAATATGACACATCTCTCTGAGCCTGTTGTTGCTGCAGCGCTGTGGAGTTAGCATGGGGACACAGGGGAAACTTGACTTTGATTCAAGACCCTTCAATGCTAATGTGATGCTACTGTATCAGTCTCTAGCAACGACATTTGACCTCTAGACGGGGTAATTGAGAAAGACAGCTTCATTGCAGTTTCACGGTCACAGAATCAAATGACAATAATATATTGATATATAATAATGATAAGTATGACGAACATAACAATTACATATTAATTTTGATTTTGAGTAATGTCATCTATAGAGATCTTGATAGTGTTCATGCATAAATTAAATAATAATTAATAATCAATATAATTATAAATCTTATAATATATATATACTATATTATTATTATATATATATATATATTTATGTATGTGTGTGTGTGTGTGTGTGTGTGTGTAGTTTTACAACACATTCTTTCATCTTTGAGTGAACACCACTAACATTACTCTTTAACATATTCAGAAGCCATGAGTGAAAAAAGCCACAACAAGAAATGATGTGTGTTTGCCTTGAAAACTATGATGTGTAATAAAGTATGTGAACACAATGCTCAATAAATGAAAAGATTCACTCTAACATGAAACTATTTGCTCTGTGTTTTTTAACCAGGCAGCTGACCTGGTTATCCAGCTGTCCTCCACTCTAAAGAGCAAACCAGACGTTTTTTCCTTTGGAACTGTCTTCACTGACCACATGCTCACCATAGAGTGGAGTGCGACTGAGGGCTGGCAGGCTCCGCTCATCAAGCCCTTTGGGAACCTGTCACTCGACCCAGCCTGCTCGTCACTACACTACGGCATACAGGTGCACTGACCAGGGATGATTCTAGCTTTTTATTCCTTTCCTTAACATTGATTTACACAGTATGCTGCCTCATCTATATCAGCACAAGATCTACTTACACAACTTGCAAGTAAAAATATCGGATTTTAATCAAGACCTGGTAAAGATCAAATAAATAGGAAAATGACCTTTTTGTTCAATAACCTTTTCAATTTATAAGTATTTAAAGCATATACACACACAGAAACACAAAAAACAAAGAAACAGGAAAGTTATTTGTTATTTATGCTTCCAGTTTGACTCCTGGGAGGAGTTATATTCTACAGTTAAAAACTAATACTTGTTTGGTATTTTATAGGCTATTCCCAGTGTTTTTAGGCCCAGTATGTTTGAGTTTGACTACTTATATGACTCTAATGACACAACTTTAACTAAATGAATAAATTACTTAGTGTTTCCCCACCAGAAAGTTATTCCTGATAGAATGGAGGGGTGGTCTTTGAAACAGCATTTAGACTTTTATTTTAGATATTAAACCTGTGATGATTTATTTTATTTATAAATTCCTGGGACATGTAGAATGAATATGTAATTTGGCACTAATTACAAGGAAACAGTCACTGTTGTTCGAATCAGAGTTGAGTTAAATGTCGGCGATATTTGGTGGGATGTCTGTGAAAGAGTTAGAAAAATGCAGTGCTTTTTTTTATTGGTGCCTTGGTTGGGGGGGGGGGGGTTGGGGGACTTGAATTCATGCCCTCAGTATTTCTAAAATCCTGATTCTGGCCTTTATCTCAGCCAATACTGTCAGGAAATCCTCCTTTAGGTTGTTAATGAAACAGTGTATAATAATAACATTGTACTACAGTATTCAAGAGCCATTTCACCATGTGTTACTATTACTATATTTACTTAACACTCTTCTCTTCTCTTCCCTTCTCTTCTCTTCTGTTCTCTTCTCTTCTCTTCTCTTCTCTTCTCTTCTCTTCTGTTCTCTTCTCTTCTCTTCTCTTCTCTTCTCTTCTCTTCTCTCTTCTCTCCTCTCCTCTCCTCTCCTCTCCTCTTCTCTTCTCACCAGCTGTTTGAAGGCATGAAGGCGTACCGTGGGGATGACAACCGACTGCGCCTCTTCAGACCGATGCTAAACATGAACCGCATGGCCAACTCATCTAAAAGAGCTTGTCTACCTGTAAGATGAATGGAATAGATGAATGGATGGACTGATGAAAGGATAGATAACAGCAAACAATAAAGTACTGTTATCTTTTTTCTGCCTCTCTCAGGCCTTTGATCAGTCAGAGTTGCTGGAGTGCATCAGACGACTGGTAGAGATCGACGAGGACTGGGTTCCTCACACAAACTCAGCCAGTCTGTATATTAGACCAACATTTATCAGCACTGAGGTAAGGAAGATCATCAAGTGCTGCAATCATTTGTTTTTTGAATGACAGTGAATGAAATTTAAAATACATTTCTATGTGTCCACGGCAGCCCTCTCTGGGTGTAAAGAAGCCGTCCAGTGCCTTGCTGTATGTGATCTTGTGTCAAGCAGGCTCTTACTTCAACAACGAGGCTGAGGCCCTCTCCCTGTGGGCCGATCCAAAGTACACACGGGCCTGGAAAGGAGGAACAGGAGACTGCAAGATGGGGGGGTGGGTAGGCACATACTGTGTGCATGCTTTAGTTTTTATTCGCTAATAGTCAGTCAATGCACTCAACTCGCACATCTGGCTGCTGAAACCTTAAAGACAAGTGCAGAAGAACCCTCAGAGCTACACTTCTTCCAGTTTCAGTTGGATTTATTATTGAAAATATCCAAGTTCTAGTTTTTTTCTGATATGAATGAGTCATGGTGTTTAATTTTATATACTTCATTCTTGCACAAATGGAAGGTGTGTGTTGGGTGCAGAACAATCATCCCTAATACAAGCACCAAATAGTCTTGTGCCCTCACACAAATCTAATCTAACAGCACTATTACAGTTGCATGTAGCGCTGTAGGCACTAAAGTAACTGAAGTAACTAATTGCAATTGTTGCTGTGGATTTATGCAGGAACTACGGGTGTGCTCTGTTTGCCCAGTACGAAGCAGTGGATTATGGGTGCCAGCAGGTGCTGTGGCTATATGGAGAGGACCATCAGATCACTGAGGCAGGAACCATGAACATCTTCCTGCACTGGATCAATGAGGATGGGGGTGAGTCTTAATCAATACCAGAGCTGTGTTTGGCCAGTCAGTCAGTAATGTAGATTGCTGTAAGTGGAAGATGTGGATGTATAATTGTTTTCATACTTGCAATGCAATTATTAATCATAGAACATGTGCTAAATGAGAAGCATCTGTTCGAGCATTTTACAAATGTGACCTCTACTGGCAGAACAGCTTCATTACAACTGCAGGACATATTTTTGCCTCAAAATTAACTTTTATTTTTTGATTTATTTATTTTTGTATGTTTTGTGTAAATAATGTATCATGTTTTTCAGAGGAGGAGCTTGCCACTCCTCCCCTGGATGGCATCATACTCCCAGGTGTCACCCGACAGAGCATCTTGGATCTAACCAGGAAATGGGTGAGAAAGACACACACACATATTTGCAGTAATACAGTGATATATGAATGCTAATGACAAAACCTTAAATTTCAGCATGCATGGATCATTTTCTTTACATTTCCTCTGGTCTCTCTGCTCTTTCCTTCCCCCAGGGTGAGTTTAAGGTGACGGAGCGCTACCTGACCATGGGCCAGTTGTGCTCAGCCCTGAAGCAGCAGCAGGTCAAAGAAATGTTTGGCTCTGGCACCGCCTGCATGATCTGCCCTATAGGACACATTATTTACCAGGGAGAGGTAAGAAAGACGAGTAGACCAGCACATTCTGAATGAATCTCTCTGTACACAAACCAAATTTAATTATATTAAAGTATATGATGGTTTATATGAAAATAGAACAGCTTGTTGTTTAACAATCTATGCCAAAGTGGGGAGCAGCAGTTGCCTGCAGTTGCAGCAGGATTTATATCTTCTGATCAAAAAATGATTTTGTCTTTCAAGAAAGACATACTTTTGTTAAATATAATATCTCCCCCTGCTCTGGCATTTTACAGTAAATGATGTTGTTAAGCCTCCTAACAAAGGTACTTCTTCATATTATTTTGGCAAAACAATAAATTGATTATTTCCAGAATTGCCTGTGTATAGTCCTGTCTGACTTTACATATTTAAAACCGTATAAGTTAATCACAGCAATCACCCTTCTCAGTTTCCTACCACTTGCTGTGTTGTAACAATTATAATTATTTGTAGACCATGTAATAGAACTGCAAGTTATATGTTCTTAAACAACTCTTTATCAAGATGCTCACAGCCATTGACACTAATTAAAATGAACTACAAAGTAAAGTATTCATTATACTGCATTGTTTACGTTATATGTTATTTATACATTAGGACTATTTCAACATTTTGGGAAATATGCTAATTTGCTTTCATGAGAGTTAAATGTGAAAGGTGATACCACTCATTTAGTATCTATGCTGTAAATATAAGGCTACTGAGCTTAGCACAAAAAATGGAAACAGGGAAACCTTGACTCTTACCAAAAAAAAATCTATAAAATAATCTGTGTGTCAAATAAATGTGATCTTAACTGGAAGGCAGATTTTATTAACTTCAGATGTAGCCAGGCTAGCTGTTTCCCCTTGTTTCCAGGCTTTATGCTAAGCTAAGCTAACCAGCAACTGGCTGTTGCCATATATTAAATGAACTCATAGCAAGACTGGTATCATTAAAAAAAATAAGCATATTTCCAAAAAAAAAGGCAAAATTCCCATTTAGCCCTCTAATTCTTCTTAATGATGTAATAAAGGAAGTTAAACTTTGCAAATAAAGCCTAATTTTATTCCAGTTACACTGTAGAAGGGTTTTGGTATCTTTGCTTGATTTTTTTTTAATTAAGAAGTACATTATGATAGAAGTAGAAGGTTAGGGCTTTGATGAATGATGCTCATTGTCTCCTGTGACCACATGGACAGTTTTCATCTTTACAAGGTCGTCAGAAGCCTGCGGCTGCTGGTTTTTTTAATTTAGATTTTTTAATTAGATTCACAGATCCAATTAAATTATTAAAACTGTGTGTTTTTGTGTGTTTCAGAACTTGCACATCCCCTGTCAGGATAAAAACTCACAGTTGACTTCACAAATAGCAAAGGAACTCACAGATATACAGGTTGGTGGATGCACACTCATACACACACACATACACACACTCATACACACACACACACACACACACACACACACAACCCACAGATGTTTCCCCTAGCTCAGTAACAGCTGGTTGAACATCTGTGTTCTTTACACCCCTGTCACCCTCAGGTCTCTGTTTTCATGTAGTAACAGGTTACTTCAAATAAAGCCTTCAGTGATGTGATTGTAGGTGAAGAAATGGAAGAACAGGAATCGGGAATAACAGGTGGCAGTAGTTGTGGGCCTAGATGACGATACCTAGAGCATGTATACTTTGTCACATGTCAGCCTGCGTAATGCTCACATTTATAGTAACCAACAATGAAGAGGCTTCACTGTAAAAAGACAAATAAATAGAAATGTTCTGACTGACTTTCTAAATTAAAAATATGGTTGATGAACAGAAAAACCTAACAAAAACAAATCTTCCCCCCAAATATTATTTATCTTGCATCTTCATAATTATTTAGCTACAGGATTGTTATGTGTGTTATTATGTAACTTGATGAGATCAAATTAACTTTTTTTTTAACAAACCCCATTGGTCCTTATTCATTTTACAGCCACTACATGCATTATTTTGCCTGCAAGTACATAATAAGTGAGATATCTTATTAGATAGTGATTAATGATTTGGTAATATGGCCTACAAATACACCACTTCTACAGTCTACACAGCACTGCAGGTTTAAACAGATTCATAATGTTCTTTGCTGAAGGCTTGATTTGTGTTAATGAGTGTGTTATATATCGCTGACTTTCAGTTATTGTGCTGTGTAATGAGTCAGCCTAAGATGGCTCTTGGTCCAGCACCGATCAGATCTTCATGTTGCAAAAGTGCAAATGCCTTTGTTAAGGTTTGGAGATCCATTCTCCACCAGAAAGAATTGTGCATGTTTAACAGAAAACTTGCAAGTCTTGTGTATTGCATAAAAAGGAGTAACATTAAGGAACAATAATGTAAAATATGACACTCAACAATCAAGAACGCTCTTTGAATCGGGGGCCACAACAAATGCAAACAATTTCATGGCACCTTCAATCCTGAATACGCCTTTACACCTGCAGTAAGCATTTTGGCAAAAGCTGTTGTCAGGGTGTGAGGATAACATCTGGCACAAAGGAAAGGTGCATGGACAGAAGCCAGGAGAAAGGTGTAGCTACAGAACCAAACATACTGTAGATTAACTGTCTCCATAGTGGAGTGTGGCAATACAATAAATTCAACTGAAAATGATAATGAACTTTAGATAACATAAACCAAGACTTTTTCCATTTTACCCCTCTGCCATATCTAACCACCAGCCCCAGAGTTAAAGCTGACCAGGAGTCATCTGACCACCAAACTTCAACCAAATCTGGGACGTTTTAGACACCCTGTTGATAAGCAGAGAGGTGAATTCACAACCACCTTCCAACTTCACTGGTGAAAGGGAGCTGAGAGTAGAGCGAGGTCACATTAATGACTTGGGTTACATCTGTAGCTTTTACAATCTTTTTAGTTCATTCTATTGTGCGCTGAATAAAAGCTCTGCATTGTTGATGTGATAGATTACAGTTTGAGTGTCATTGTTTGTTCACTACACCGAATAAATCCGTACTGCTGAATTGTCAAGCTAAACTTAGTGTACTGGATGAGTATTACCGACAGAATCAGTGGCTTTTTGTGTTGGAGCTCCTCTTACATACACTGGAGTGCATACTAGAGTGTATGTCTCTTACATTCACTGGAGTGTATGTAGGTGGAGTGTATGTTAGAGAAAACCTTGAAGCCTATAGAGAAAATCATAATGCTGTAAGTATCTTGCAGATACTCTGAGGTAGGTGCTTATATAGGTTTCGTTTTATTGAACAACTGACTGAAACAGAAAACTTGCTCGATAACCAGACTAAATAGCTACTTATTTTCACTTTATTCATCCTACATGGATTATGGTAGCTTCAGTCACTTAAAGTTTTTTCACATTTATCAAAGAACTACATGGATTTATTTCTGTGAAAACGTGTGTCAACCTTCTGCTCTTGCTGCCATTGTTCTGTCGCTGTGCTTTGGTTTTCCAACTGTTAGAAATATTCTCGACTGGGGAGGAACTAAGGACTTTCAGATACTTTCAGAGTAGCATCGTAAACTTTTCCTGGATTTGCCCAGCACAGGCCTACACTACATAGTGGACTAGTTAGGTAGTAGACTTTGGGTTTCAGTTTCTGTCCTCCTGAACTTCTTAATGTCCTCGAAACACTCTCCTCTTTAACTGCGACTTTTGTCCTCCCTTTTGCTTTGTCTTTCTCTTCTGCTCTTGACAATTAGCATATCTGCTCCATCAATCAGGCCTTGTATGCATGCGTGACATGTGTTATGAATGTGTTGACCACATCTTTATGTGCGATAACATCTTCCTTCGTCCACAGTGCTTCAGAGAGAGAGAGAGAGAGAGAGAGGGGGGAAGAGAGAGACAGTTGGCAGCCTAATGGCGGAGCGTGGAGAGTTGGAGATAGGGGCAAGACAAACTCCTGGATTCTCTCATTAAGCTCGCTGTAATTGCACAAACCCAATTATTGCCACAGCCTTTTGTGATCTTCAAAGCCAAGATGCTGCAAATGAAGCCTCGAACAAGTGGGAGAGGAGGAGGAGGAAGAAGATTTAGGCAAGGGGGGGAATGGGCGGCAGCAAAGCTTAATGAACAATAAAATCGACAAAACGCTGGAAAACGCCGCGCTCCTTCCGCAGTGCTGTTAAATCTGTTGACATTTCATTTGGAGGGAAGCAGCACAGTGTTATCCCCCCACACACACTCGTCCTCCCGCCCCTCTTGAAGACAACATTGTGCAACAAACAAACGAGTGGTCTGAGGCAGCAGATGAAAGATGGGTTTACTAAGTCGCCCTGCTGTTCCTCTTTCAAGTTAATTAGAAATCACATTCTTTTGTTTCCCCTTCGCAGGCGTTTATTTACTTTCTCACTTCGACCATTAGAACAAATTTGCAACATGAGACACAAATAATTGGATTTGTCTCCGCGGCTGTCATGGATTGGGGAACATTTTGTTTTGATTTTTATTATAGTGCCTTTTCTCTGTTGTGTTGTGTTCTGTTGGTGGCTGAGTTTGCAGATTTGCTTACGGATATTTGATCTCATATTTTGATTTGTGTTTTGCTCGCAATTAAGCGGCAGCAGGCAAAAGAAGTTTAGTGCTTAGCGACATGAGATTTTTTTTTACTGCTCAAGCCCCAGAGAACCAAAGATTGTCATATAACCTCTTCATGACCTTTGTTCTCTTACAGTATGGCCGGACACCCAGCGACTGGACTTTCCTGGTGTAGCAGGGATAAAGGAGCCTGGCGCACACGTTTAAACAGTGAACAGTGTGTGTACAGAAAGACATATTATTATGCAACAAACCAAAAACATACTGTACATGTATAATAATAAGGAAACAGTGTATGAGCAATATTTGTAGTGCAACTGCAACATGCTGAAGAAAAGTTGGCTCTGCGGTGAGTATGTCGTACAACTTTACTTCCTTTTAAACTTAAATTAATGACAAACACACAACTGTCCAAAATAATTAACAAAAGGGGCGAAATATCTCATGCAATACTGCACAATAACTTACACTGTCTCTCGCCTTCCATCCAACCAACATCCAGGATACAGCTGTAGCTTTGATACAACATCAAAAGCAAAAAAAAAAACGTGCAATATTAGTTACAGAGAATTTCATATTTCTTGTGTCAGAGTTACAAAGCAGCTTTAAAGGGACTTGAATCTGTGGGTCTGGTGTGAAAAGATTAATTAAAAAAAAGACAGTTTAGGAGGGAAATTTTCATTTTCAGTTTTAGTTGATACTGTATACTGCGCCAGTGTCTTTCTGGCGTTCACTATGCAGAATTCATGGTCATTTCTTTCTGGTGTTGTAAGCAGGTGTGTTTTAGACAAAATACTATCTAAAGTCCTGATATAATAAAGAATAACATGTTAACTTAAACTATGAAATGGTCCGAAGTCTTGTCAATGTTCAGACCAGTGTAAACCTAACTCACTCAGTGTAGCACAAGAAATGTTCAGCTGACGAATAGGACTTTTGTGCTACTTTAAAGAAATAGTTTCATATGTTTTTTGATTTCTTCATGAGCTTTAGATGAGAGGATTCATTCACAGTGATAATAAGACTCCAGGAAGTCACTGCTACCTGGCCAAGAATTAGTCAGACATAAAACTGCGGCGTGTCAATTTTAGACTTCACCTTTGTATGAATTATACAAACAAGATATAACTTGTTAATTAGTGAGTCTTAGAGGTGCTGGGAGGTGTTTCCTTTGAATAGATACAGGCTCGCTGTTTCCACCTGTTTCCAGTCTTAATGCTAGGCTAAGTTAACTGGCTGGTGGCTGTAGCCTCATATTTAAAATAGAGACACAAGAGCGGTATCAGTCTCCTCATTTAACTCTGTTGGATTAAAATGGACCTATGTACCTCGTTATGGGTACTGATATTTTCTGGTGATCAATATATGATGTCTTAAGTCCAGTAGTTGAACTACTCCCTTAAAGATGATAAATTATAATATAGTATATATATGTATATGTATAATATAATATGATATATGTACCATTAAGAAATGTAACTTCTCTCTGTCAGTTTGGCTCAGCTAATAAATTCACAGAGTACATTTTAAATGTTGGCTGTTTTTCAATGTCATGAGTGCTTTAGTAAATGTGAGGAGAGCACAGAGAGTATAAAGAAAGCATTCGCACTCACACTGCACCTCTGTATCTTTTATTATGAGGAAGATGTTTAGTTCAAAAGGCTTTGTCTTCGCAGAGAAAGATCTTTTGAATCAAACACACTGTACACTGTGTGTGCTGGAACTTTCTTCATTTTCACTGATGAAGTAGAAGGCGGAATAAAGTGTGTAGTCAGTACCTCCCATGAACGTCCTCATGCTGCTGTCTTTGTCCGACAGTAAAGCTGCTGTATGTGAGGTGGTGACTGTGGTGATGATGGACCTCTGGACAGAACAAGGAAGTCTGAGATCCTCTTAGGAGTCACAGCCAGGATCTGCAGGGATGCTTCCACAATCCTTAATGATGCTGTGGAGTGGCAGTGTTTTCCTGCCATCCCACACACACACACACACACACACACACACACGCACACACACACACACACACACACACTCACACTTATAGAGAACCTGGAACAGAACCAAAGCCATCAGTATAATGGAGTCATAACAGAAAACCATCAAACCGGAGAGCACTTGGCTGTTTGGCTCTGTACACACGTGCGCACACACACACACACACATAAACACACACGCAACATAATTCAGGATACGGATATAGGTAGTAGTTTAAAAATGAAAACTCAGGTGGTAAATTGTGTCCACTACCAAAATCAGGCCTCATTAACTGGGCTCTTGTTTGCATATCTGCCTCTGATTGCAAAGGATGCACATGTATGTGTGTGTGTTGGTGTGTGTGTGTTTATGTGCGCACATGAGGGTGTTCAAGGGGGTACCCAGTGGCATGCTGGATGATTTTTGGCTCTTTGTGAAGACAGCTCATTTTGGCGGCATCTCCTTCCTTGTGTTGTATTGGCACAGCTGCTTCAGAGCCCAGCGAATGTGCATGTACACACACACACACACACACACACACACACACACACACACACAGAGCACATACTCCAAAATGCCAAACTCCCATCTAGCCTGCTTCATCTAGGCCACTGGTGAAATTACCGCAGCACGTATCTCAGTGTCTTACACTCTAGTGTAGATTCTTTTCCTTTCGATCAACTGCTCACAACAGTTCAACAATAATTAGCTGTGAACTTGTTTGTTTTTTTGCAGGCTCTTTTCTGCATCACTCACCCACTGGGATCATTAAAATTAAAAATCTAGTGTGATCTAAATAACCTCGAGACAGGTGAGGACATGGTTGTTTAGGGGCATGTTGAATCATAGTTGGAAACCACTCCAGCAAATTGCTTCATAGACATCCACTGTGAGTTGACAAGTGTTGATTGGACAGTCGCTTGTCCACTCACAGAGCTGATCAACCTCTGAGGTGACGGTTTATAACTATGTTGAAGTGTTGAAGTAACTCCCATGGTGTGAACTGATGAAAACACTGGCAATGTGCTGATTTAACACGGTCTGAGACTCTGATCTGATTATGTTAGACTGAATTCTTCGGTATTGTTCAAACCCATTTACAGAATATTAACTTCATCCACAGCAGTGGTTTCCATTCTTTTTCAACTCATGGCTCACTTGAAAAATGTCAAAAATGTTGGCAGCCCCCATCCAACCCCAACAATACGGAGGCCAAATAATATGTTCTCAGAGCCCTTTTTTAAAAATAATAATCTGTCTCTTGACTCTCTCTCCTTTAAATTCTTCCTGTTTCTAAACAGCTATCCATTTTTGATTCGTGTTGCCATGGATGTAATCTTTCAGCGCACACTGAGATAGATAAAACATTAATACATGTCCTGTATTTTTAAATTGACAGATTTATTTTATTTCTGCTGAATTTTCCATGACATGGTGATTTAAAGTGTTTATGACGTGTGCCATATGTTTCATGGTTGTTTTCTTTGTTCCATCCCTTACACATTTGCATCTAATACACGTATCAGTCTTCACAGTTCAAATCATTCAGCTTTATTGGCTTTATTAAGAGTTCAGATATGTTGCCAAAGTATCTCTCTCTCCGTTTAAACAGCTCATAATATATTTCCCTCCAGCTCCTCCATGTCTTTTATTCTCTCTCTCCCCCTCTCTCTCTCTCCCTCCTTCTCTCCATCCCTCACAGAGATCAGGGACCCTGGCAGGCCGCTCCCATTCAGCCTAGAGACGCCGATGATGTTTTAATTGTCACTTCTTGTTAAGGCGGCCGTGACATTCACGCAGGGACAGAGGCATAATCAGGGGAAATGGAAAGAGAGAGGGGGGAAGAGAGAGAGCGAGAGAGAGATGGCACCCATTGGTGGTGGTATTTGGCTCTGAGCTGTGTGCCTCCTTCTCTCTCTCTTCCCTCTCTCTCATCCTGCTGGGGCATGATCTGATTTGACAAGTGCAACGCTGTCATCTTGAGTTTGTCCAATTTGAAATTCTAATTAATGAACTCCGCGCCACTTTGTGTTTTTGTTGTTGTTGTTGTTGTTGTTGTTGTGGCGCTCTTCCTCTTCTTCTCCTTCCTCTTCTTAGGCCAGTTTGTCTTCTATTTGTCTTTTCTTTACCCTTCCTCCATCTCTCTCTCCTCCAGTCTTCCTTCGGAGGCGGTGTGACTGCAGAGGCCGCCGGTCGCTCTGGGTGAGATTGTGGTCTCACACCATAGCAGATGATATCAGTGGCTTTAGGTCACCCAATTAGAATCAAACTGTGTGTGTGTGTTCTGTGGGTGTTATACATGTGTGTGTGTGTCTGTTTGTCTCTGTTCTGCTTTTCACCCAGAATTCTAATGAGGAACCAGAAAGAGGAGCTGCTGATCACTGATGCTGAAGGGCAGAGGAGTGGTCCGTCTCTCCTTCCAGAACTTCACACATTTACTGTACAATCCATCCCGACGCTCCTTAACACTTTGCACCTAAAACACAGACAATGTGAGGTCACGCAGGTCATACTTCGTTGTCATCTTCAGGTAATGATTGTGGACTTCTCTCTCGTGAGATGCAAACTGATGTTTATCTATTGTGCAAAGGAGAAATACATCATAGAAAAGACTAAAGACTAATGCAGTGTAACCACAGTATGGACAGATGTAGGTCTGTTGTCAGTGGTGTGTGAACCGCCGTGCTTTGGGTGGTGTTGGCGAACACTTGTGTCTATGAGTCACTGGGCCTCAAAAGAAGCAGCCCGTATTCTAAAACACAAATAAGAGACGGCTTCAAAATCAGATTCCTCTCATGTGAATCTGTATATTCACATCCAAAGAAAACCAGTGTCTAACTGAGGTGTTGGGCCACCACAAGCCTCCAGAACAGTTTCAATACTCATTGGTATAGATTGTTTCTGTAGCTCTTCTGGAAGGATGAAGATTATTTTTCCTAAAGATATTCCAACATCTGGTGTTTTGATGATGGTGGTGGAGAGTGCTGTCCAACATGATGCTCCAAAAATATCCCATAGGTGTCCAATTAGGCTGAGTGGACTGTGAAGGGTCTGAAGTCAATCCCAGCTGAGGGTGGGAGCAGGGTACACCTTCATACTCACATTCACACATCATTGGGTTGTGGGAGGAAGCCTACGGCTCGAGGAGAACATGCAAACTCCACATAGAAAGGTATGGAAGTACCAAATAATTCACTAAATATTCACTACACAAATACAATGCGATCCAATCTTTTGCTGCTGACTGTTGCACATTTACCCTGAGTTCATACAGCAGAAGCTCTAGTCCGTCAGCTTCAGTGTAACCTCAACAGACTCTACTACAAAACTCACCCGGTAATCTGTTTTTGTTGAGCCATGTCCCCGATCATGGCACAACCTTGCTCTCACTTTAAACTACAGTGAGGTGATGTGGAGCAGAGAAAAAAAAGAAAAGAATGTCATGTCTTTGTGTTACCAGCAGGTGGTGCTAGCAGCCTACAAACTGACACGGCCCCCGCTTTAGAGGGGGATAAATAGAAAGAGAGAAAACGGAGAGGGAGTGTGTGGAGTGAGTTTTTGGAGGCCTGCCAATCATGATGAAAAACCACTGCATAACTAATCTATTTTCCATGCCCGTCCTAATCCACCAACACAACGATGGCATCATTTAATCACAAAATCATCATCACCATCACCACTATCACCATCATCCTCCTCTGCCTCACTCCCCTCCCCCTCTGCTGCATTAATAAAAAATGTATTTTTTGTAAATAAGAGCTTGTGATTAAGAGCAGATTAGCGCGCCTTCAGACAGACAGACAGACCGTGATGGGTTTTGTTAACACGAGAGTAACACTGGGTGTCAGTTGTGTGCGTCTGACATTACATCAACGTTATCCTCCTGCCGCTCATGTTATCGCTCTTGGCTCAGAGTTTTAAGGGGACTTTTTAACAGCAGCACTGCTTAAGAGCTTAGAGTAAATGGATGGATGGATAGATGGATGGATGAAGATCAGGCACACACACACACACACACACACACACACACACACACACACACACACACACACACACACACATCCACAGAGAGATCAGTGTCACTCACGCAGCTTCAGCACCAAAGCCTGATTTGCTTTGTGGTAAAAGCTGTTTTATTTCTCATCAGTGTTGTAATGGAGATGCTCTGCTGTCACACGGCATTTGAAGTCTCATTTTGGAAAATCAGCCATTTTGCTGCTGTGGTTTTCACTTCATTCTGAATTATAACTGCATCTGATGTTAATGTACCTCCTTTCCCTGAAGGCCAGACACTGGGGATTGATTGCAATAAAACAACAGAGTTAAAGATGCATTTAAAAAACATTTTTTTCACAGGACTGGTTTAAGACTGAACATTTATTGCCTGTATTGAACACCAGCAGTATCATAACACTTC